TATTCCGCGAGTCGATGGGTGATCAATCGGATAATTACAGCCACCCGAATTTTGGGGTGTCACAGTTTCTAAATCAGCAGATAAATATATACCCTTTTTTAAAATCCTCCGCAGGTCCTTTGTGTGGAGCCCAGAGGCCGAGGAGGCCTTCCAGAAACTCAAAGGTTACCTCGCCATACCACCATTGATCTCCCATACTGTACCAGGAAAAACTTTCTACCTTTACCTCTCCTCTTCACCCACTGCCGTGAGCTCTGTCCTTGTTAGAGAGGATTGAGGCATCCAAAAGTCTATGTATTATGTAAGCATAGCCTATCGAGAAGCAGAGGTAAAGTACTCAGAACTGAAAAAATTGGCTCTCTCCCTTGTCATTGCTGCCAGACGCCTGTGCCATTACTTTAAGAGTCACACCATTATGGTTGTCACGGATCAGCCACTCAAAAGAATTTTGGGGAAACCTGATGTCTCTGGCAGATTGCTAAAGTGGGCTGTAGAGTTGAACGAATTCGATGTGCAGTACCATCCGAGGGCTACCATCAAAGCACATGTACTTGCAGACTTTGTAACAGAGTTCACACCCTTACAGGAGTCACGAGAAGAGGTACCAAGCGCCCCTATCGCCACCTGCTCAGTACACACTGACTCCACTCTCCAGGAGACCGGTTTAGATGTTGCCCAAGGAAAAAACCATTACTTGGAGAAGGAGCAGGAGACATCCCCGTAGACTAAACAACCTTGGGCGCCGCCTAGCTTGCTTGGGGCTTCGCCCTCTCAACTCGCATCACACTCTCCTCACTCCTCTATCCAGACGTCGCCTCCATCACCCACTATACCATCTTGGAAACTTTATGCAGATGGGTCCTCCACCAGCGAGGGTGATAGTGTCGAACTAGTGCTGATCAACCTACATGGCATTCCCTTGAAGTAAACTGTCTGCTTTCATTTCACCACATCAAACAATCAAGCTGAGTATGAGGCTCTCGTATCTAGATTAAGACTGGCATTGGAGATGGAGACCCTCAACTTGATGGCCTACAGTGACTCGCAGCTCATAGTCAACTAGGTGAGGAGAGATTTTGAAGCAAAAGAAGAAAGGATGCAAGAGTACCTCTTAGTGGTCCAAGCCGTACTCACAAAGTTCGCCTGCTTCAACATCTGCCATGTACCTCGAGAGGAGAACGTAATGGCAGACGCCCTTGCCAAATTCGCCTCTGCCAACCTACTAATGGGGCCGGCACTGACAGGTCACCAATTCAAGCCAAGCACCACTAGGCTTGAGGAGGGTAATGTCCACTACACATCCTGAGAGTCCAACTGGATGACTCCTATCCGAGCCTACCTAGAGGAGGGAATTCTCCCAGACAATCCAATGGAAGCCAAAAAGTTGAGGATGAGATCAGCCAGATATGTTATCCTACAAAACACCCAATACAAGAAAAGTCATTCTCTCCCACTACTCCGCTGTCTCACACCTAAGAAGGCCTACTAGCCATGAGAGAGATACATGAGGGAGTATGCGAAAATCATTTAGGAGGGCGTGCATTGGCCCATAAAACATTTAGACAATCATACTATTGGCCCACCATGATTTGAGACACCCGAGACTTTGTCTAAAGGTGTGACAAATGCCAGCGTTTTGCGACCGTGCCTAGACAACCGTCTGAGGAGCTCACCACCATCCAGAGCCAATGGCTCTTCTCCATGTGGGGGATCGACATTCTAGGTCCCCTCCCTGTGAGTCGAGGTCAATGCAAATTTGTAGTCATAGTCATCAACTACTTCACCAAGTGGGCAGAAGTTGAAGCCCTAGCCAAAATCACAGACCAGAAGATAAAAGACTTCATATGGAGGAATCTAGTCTGCCGCTTTAGGATACCACACGTCATTGTAAGTGACAACACCAAACAGTTTGACAACAAACTCTTGAACAGCTTTTGTACAGACCTCCAAATCAGACAGCCCCGCCCATCCACAAGCAAACGGGCAAGCAGAGGTCATTGTCAGGACCATACTTCGCAACTTGAAAGCCAGATTAGAGACTGCAAAAGGGAAATGGGCAGACGAACACCCAGGGGTACTATGGGCCTATCGAACGACACCAAGAAATCTTACGAGCGAGACCCCTTTCTCTCTAGCCTATGGGACAGAGGCAATGATATCCTTTGCAATCAGGGTACACTCCATTAGGGTACAATACCATGACCCTACCAATAATGAAGAAGACCTCTGCATCAACCTCGACTTGGTGGAGGAGGAGAGGGAGATAGTCTCAGGAATGCAGAGTACAAGTGTCACATGACTAAGTACTACAACTCAAGGGTGAAACCTCGTGCCTTCTTAACTGGGGACCTGGTCCTCAAAAAGGTCATCTTATCTACCAAGGACTCCCGGGAAGGAAAATTGAAACCCAATTGGGAAGGATCCTACACGGTCACAGAGGTGGTAAGGCCGGGTACCTACAGAATCCAGAATTTTGAAAGAAAGGTCCTGACCCATTTATGGAATGCGGTGCATCTAAAGAAATACTATCAGTAGCTGGGGGCAGTGAGCTACAAGTTGGTGGTCACTGCTTAGATTTTTTACCTTTTGAATAATTTCCTATGACTTTTTATGTCGGTCGATTTTCTCCAAATATTTACTTTGAATGATGGAATAAAAGTTTTGCAATATTTTCTTCAAACAAGTTGTATTTTATTCAATAACCATGAAACCTTTACAAGAAAAACATTTCATTCAAAGTCCATGAGACCTTTGCAAAACAATAGAAAACAATATATCAACAAAAATATGAAAGTGCCACCCTACTGTCAATGCTCACTACCTCCATTCCCGTCACTGGCATCCTCCTTATCGGTCTCCAGGGTCTCGTAAGGCTGATAACTAGAAAAGTCATAAGTAAGGAATACTGCTGACACCTTCCTCCTGAACTCATTGTAGCCATCAATGAAGGCACTGGCCCTGGCCCTCTCTGCAGTATCCCTCATCCTCCTCATCTCCACCTTTGCCCTGGTAGCTCTCTCAAGTGCTACACGCAGGTCAGCCTCAAGTCGAGCAGCCCTCTTGTGTGCTAGCTTCAACTCCTCGGCGGCATCCTCTCGTGCCTGCCGCTCAAGCTTCAGTTGCTTTGCGACATCTTCTCGTGCCTACTGTGCAAGCTCCGCGGCATCCTCCCGTGCCTGTCGCTCAAGCCTAAGTTGTTCCTTAGCAGCCTTGCATGCCTGCCTCTCCCTTGCCTGGCCATCGACTGTCTCCCCGATCTTCAAGGTGTTATTAAACAAGCTTGGTAGGATAGCCACCACCTGCAAACATTCAAAGACGAAAACACGAAGAATGTCATAACTAAGCCAAGATATGACAAAGAAAGCCGGATACAAGGCAAGAGTGTAGAACATACCAAAGCGAAACCCTCTACAGTGGCGTTGACCACGCCCTCCGGACCCCGAGAAGTAACCTCTTGGGCTTCAATGACGGATACGAAATCGCAAAGCCTCTCCCTTGCCAACCTCACGTCCTGAACATAGACATTGAGGTGTCACCCAAAGTGGGGCAGATTGGCAGACCCTGAGTCCTGGCAAAAGACGACACCAGAGTCTCAGCCCCCGCAGTAGTGCTAAAACCACCTCGGGGAGGTGAGGAGGCATCAACCAAAGAGGGAGGGAGTGTAGCATCGGGCTCTGCCTCTGTGCGATCAGCCTGGCCCGTGGAACCTAGCAGAGAAGAACTGGGGGCATTAGTCTTTGTCCTCTTGGGAGGAGGAGAAGGTGCCACTCTGGAAGCACATAGTGACCCCACCAACGACCTATCGATAGGGACACCTGTAGAATCAATGTAAGCCAAAAATCCAACAACACTGTGTTTTCAAAGATGATAACTAGAGAAGCCAATACCTTCTTCCTCGGCCTGGAAGGTGCAATGGAATTACGAGCCACCAACATAATCTCCGAGAACTCCTTCGTCGGATTATTGCAAACCATTTGGAGCAACCTCTCTTAGTCCTCAGATATAGTTGGCGGAGCTACGAAGAAACAGTCACACTATAAGAACAAATGTTAGATGATTAAGACATAAGTTAAAGGTAAAATACTCACCTTGATTGGTTTTTGGAACGGTATCCCATCGGGTAGGTACCACATCGTGATCAGACTCGAAAGCCCACTCACATCCAGCGAAGAAGAATTTTCCCTTCCACTTATGGTGATTAGACGTAAGTTCGGTAATAAACTTACCCGATCTCGGAGCAAAGGGATACCACCCCTGGTGTGGAGAGGGATTCTCCAACAGCACATATGTGGCAAAAAATTCATTAAATGGCGGAGGGACGATAGCATTATGTACCAACCGCCACAAAGCAAAAAATGTAGAAATCACCTTCCAACCATTGGGAGCCAGCCTCCCCGGAGCCTTACCTGGTGAATGAATTAGTAATTAATCTTTTTTAAGTTACCCTCCAAGACTTATGCATGCCACTTATTATAACCCAGTTACGAGCCAAAACAAATCATCCTTTGCCATGTCAGCAAATGTGACATACATTATACATATCCCGTTCGTTTTGGAGAAGCTCATTAATTAACATCTACTAATCACTAGTGTGAATCGTGTGATGGCTAACGGCTTTGTGGTGTTTTAAACTCGATATGGCTTTTCTCCGTGATCTTCGTCACTGCATGCATCAGTGAGTAATGGTTACAGAAATCCAAGTTGCCTATCCTTAAAAGCTCTCCATTGTAGCACTATCATCCACATATATAGATGATTTGTAGATGCATTTCTTCAGGTCTTGGGTTGGCTTGTTTTTCTATTTATTATTATTATTTTCTAATATGAAATCAATTAACAATGGATGCAGAGACCACCCAATCAGGCTAATCCAAATATTTCCATGCAAGATACAAGCTCCCTTCACAGTGCACTCCTCTGGTTACAATCTAGCACGAAAATACAAGGCATCGCGAAGAATTACTACAGATAAAACGAAGAATAACCTCTATATATCAAACATTCCGCAGTCACATACAAGTCCAAATAATAGTATAACTTCCTGGTCAAGCAACTGGATTTCACTGATGCATCAATGTTTTTGTACACTAGATAATATTTGATTTGATCCACGGCAGCAGCTATTACACAGAATATTGTAAATGTTTGGCAAGTGACGAGGAAATGCCTTGCTGTTTTATCCTCAGATGTTAAAGAAGATCAGAAAAATACTTACTGATATGAAAGAACAGCCCCAGAAGACCTCCACCCAATCAATAAAAACAACAACAGATACAAAACAACCTCAAAAAAGAACAGCAGCTACAAAAGTGATTCACAGACTCCTCTCAATGAATTCCCAAATCCTCTCTTCCATATAGATCCGGTCCTTAGGTGAGCGAGGCATGTGACGTTCATCCGGGAAAATCAACAGCTCGTAAGCCTTTCTAGCTGCCACAAATGCATTCACAAGTCTGGCAGTGTGCCTAAAATGCACATTTTCATCAATCATCCCATGCACGAGTAACAACTTCCCTTGGATCTTGTCCACGTGTTGCATCACAGAGCCATATGAGTAACCAGATTCATTTTCGACAGGCAACCCCATGTATTTTTCAGTGTAAAATGTGTCGTATCCATCCCATGATGTGACAGGGGCCCCAGAAACAGCACATCTGAAAGCTTCTGGAAATCTTGCCAACGTCATAGCTGAGAGATATCCACCATAGCTCCACCCATACAGCCCAATGTGGCCAAGTTTCGCTAGCCCTTGTTTGATGAGCCATTCTGCCCCAGTAAGCTGATCCTCAGCATCGGTTCGACCACAGTTGTACTTCAGGGCACCTTCAAACTTCAGTCCACGTCGAGCAGTTCCTCTGTTATCCAACTGAAAATGGTATAGCACTATAATATGATATTTTTTCCCAAAATATATTAATGGAACTATGCACAAGTACAATAGTGGTGACTTCAACAATATATTGCAAAGGAGCCACATTCAATAGTGCTTGCGGCAGAAGTTGAACAATTGATGGCACATAACATTTGCAATGATGATAGATTGGGAAAAGGCGAAAAATATACTATGCTTCAGACTCACAAAATTGGTGCATATGATGCAGCCGCAGAGATGTTCTAATAATCAATTATTTTGGGAAATCTAAAAATTATCAATTGCTGGAAGTAGTTTCCAAGGACTTTCATCAGTGATGAAACAACCTCCGATTACATGATTCCACAACAAAATGAAAGTATACTACAATTTCTCCACAGGTGATTGATGATTTTCTTGAAAATATGTAAAATGTCCCATTCAGGTCACATGTTAGCTCACAATATTCTTCTTTACTACCATCAAATTGATAAACTTAATGATTTCCAGATAATATATACATAATGCATAAACCTATATATATTTCCTCTCGTAATTACTCATAAAAGGATTTCTTTGGAAAAACCTATTAATTATTCGCCACAAAACAATATTAGTTGCTCAAAACATTAGTAACTAATAATGAATAAGTTAGCAAATGTCAAGTATGGATTATTAGTTAACAATTACAAAAGGTTTCATGGTAAAGGCTAACCTTCCATACTAAGATGCCTTGGCTCCTTAGATATTGAGCTCGCATATCAACCGTGTTTACCCAAGAATCATAGACACACTGTACACAAGGACCACCATACACATTAATCATTGTTTTGTACGGTGGAGGTCCAAACCTTGCTACATCAGGTTTGTATAATGCCCCAAATAAGATGGTGTCATCCTTTGCTTGTATTTGGACTATCTCTGGTGGCTTAAGTTGGAGCTTTTTGAATCTTGGAATGGTGAATGTTTGTTCATACAGATGCATAATCAAGCTTCCTTCATGCAAGGAGCAAAGCGACATTCTCGGAGGTGAATCCAAGGAATCATGAATATCAACAAATCTCTGCATCTGATGATCAAGCACAACCACGTGTTTTCCCTTGCCATGAGTCAACCTTATTGGGGCCTGCAAGGTTTTGCTCTCATCAGGGAAAAGTTTAGCACAATACAGGTGAGATTCCAAAGGGCCATCCAAAGTCCCAGTGAAATATACAAGACCTGCAGCCTCATTCACACCGGAAATTTGCTCAACCATCCAATCACCTTGAGTGATAGGTTCCAAGCAAACTCCATTCATATCATGCAAATACAGATGTCTAAATCCTGTTTTTTCGCTAGCCCAGAGAAATCCTCCGGAAAATCTTGCGAGTCCTTTGTCCAACGGTGTGAAGCAATCATGCAGATTAATCCATGTATCATCTTCTTCTTCCAAGATAACTTTTCTTTGACCCGTTTTGATATTAAAGTTTAGGAGCTTTAGTTTGGAATGTGACCTGTTTAAAACCTGAGCAGTGAGAATATTTCCATGCATCCAATTGACTCTTGCCAAATATTCCTCATCATTGTTTGCTTGGCCATTTTCTCCACATACAAGATCCATCCAAGTTACCAGACCTCCAGTGGCGGAAATCACCCCAAGGCGAACTTTGACATTTGACGCCCCAGCAAAGGGATAAGCATGGTCTTCCTGTGCCTCTATACCAACAGAACTTTTACCCTGGTGCATGATTCTGAATAGAGGAATGTTAGATGAATCAACCTCCGTAAATGCTATGAATTTGCTGTCCAAAGACCACCAGTAGCCATTCTTTCGATCCATCTCCTCCTATAGTTGGAGGATATGAAAAAATGAGGATCACTTATAATTTTAAGCATAGAGGAGTGATGAATAATATCATTTGGTCTGTAATTGAAAGAGCTTTCTAGCATCTTATATGAGAAACTTCTTTTCTTTGCCCTCCAGAAAGGAAGAAAGTTATTCCAAAATATTTGCAAAATTACATTTAAACTACAAGAAAAAAACTGGAGCCCAAAAGATAATCTCACCTGGGCTATGTACTCAGCAAGAGCATGTGTCTGAAATACACAAGAAAAAATCAATGAAATATTCAAGAGGATACATCTTAACAAATGTTAAGAGTACTAACTAGTCTTGCTACCTTTGAAAACAAATTACAAATAAACACCATAAGAGTAAACCATTGCACAAATGAATAATGGCATGGGTGCACATAACATTCATGATAGCAGCTATGCAAGAAACTATTAAACTAGCGATTCAACTTTTGAAACTTAACCAGGGCAGGTTATCTACTGTATAAAATTTCAGTACAACCAACATATTTGACTGAAACACATAATCCAGGCATTGTGTCGACATTAAGGCTGTCTCTACCACACCCTGCACTCGAAACTTTTTGGTAAACCATATTATACAGGATATAGAGGCAATATATTTAAAACATAAACCAAACAACCAATTGACTTCTATGTTTCTAATCATAACTAATTCAGGTTCAACAGCAAAACAGTTTAAGAGAATAGGTGGCAACATATGTAAAGGATATTGAATGGAGAATTATATATCGCATCTGATAAAGCCTACCGCAACTTTTCCGTCAGCACCAGAGGTTAATTGTCTTGAAACATTGGACAAAAGATCTAACACATGCAGCTCGTTATCTCTCACGTAAGCAAGCATACTACCATCTGGTGAAAGATGTGGATCAATAATTGGAGAGAATGACGCACTTGGAAGCTTAAGCTCTGCCTGTAAGGAAAGATCCTGGAAATAAATCTGTTCACAGACACATCAATATATACTCAAGTGGCTGCAGTAGATAAGTAACAGATTATATGGAATGTACAATCCATAAATGACATCTTATAAAGAACATCAAATCATTAACATCCCCCACAAAACTATCAATACTGCCAATATTACAATTAACATGAGGTGGCATAAGTTTAGCAGACACTACTTGCAGCGAGAGGTGTATTTTACTTGTAAATAAATCAAAAAAAATGATTGATAAAAAAAAAATCAAACCATAATTAGCTGAAGAACTTTTCCTATTATCTTGCCAAGTAAAAAATGCAACGTAAAAGAATCCCTTTGCAACGTAGCTATCAAATTGATGCAACAAAAGCAGGTCTTACATCATTATTGTTGGTTTTTTTGTAGAGTCTAGTTTGTATATGTGATCCGGATGATGACCCGACCCGAAGTAATGTTGCGTGGTTTTTTAATGAAAAATTTTCTGAGACTTAGTCCATGAGCGCTACGGCTTGGGCCCCAGTGCGTAGGACATATAAACCCCGTTGTTTTGGTGATTAGGGTTAATCGTGGATTGTACAGCCGCTCTCTGTATTCAACTCTCTCAATAGTGAAATCCCTGCAGCTTCGTGGACGTAGGCAAAATTGCCGAACCACGTAAAATCTGTGTCTTGTTCTTTCTTGTTTCTTATTGCTTTATATTCTTGATTTGTTCTTCGATTGTGTGTGTTTGTTAGTGGATTTAAATCCTGTTAAATCCCAACAATTATATATACATCTAGACCGCATCTTACAATGATAAATGGCCCCTTTGTCTGTAATCAGGAAATCAATTTGAACTTGATAGAAATAAAAACCATCCAAAAAAAAAAAAAAAAAATCTGATAAAGCTATCAATTAGAACCAACCAAAGAAAACAGGTGACATACTTCAGGGGGAAAAAGATCAAGTGGAATGGAATGCAAGCACAAATATGAAACAAATGAGTATTCCCTAGAGTAATTTTGCATGAGAATTGAAACTGGAACCATAAATAAGATGCAAGAGAAGGGAACAAACCCCAGCAGGCAAAGGCACCATGATTATTTTCTTCTTTGAGCTTGTCTTCACCCATTCATACCGTGTCACCCCCAACCCACGTTCCCTTGACCTCTCCCTTCTCAATTTCTCTTCCGCAGATAAATTAGTCTCATCGAGCCCACCATCAGGGGGGCTAAAAAACAATTCTTGCTTACATGTACTCAAATCAAACAAATACACCTTCCTATTCAAAGTTTGATCAGGACTAAACAGATAAGTTACCACACTATCATCAGAACTGAAACTAATTGAAGTTGGCGCTCCATAACCCGGCAATGGATGTTGCACTATCTCTTCAAGAGGAAAAGACAAGCAATTGTCGAGAGTGTTTGCTACACTGGTGTCTGTTGCAGGCATTTTGCAAGGAAACANATATAGAAAGTGAGGTGAAGTGCGTATCCACATCCAAGGAATTTTTTGGTGGCAATCAAATTCTCATAACGATATAATTTCAACGATCAAAATAGTCTGTTGGTCAAGATGTTGATACAATCTTGTTGTGACGATAATATGCGAAGCTTGTTTGGAAGACGAAATGATATATTTACTGCACAATAGGGGAACAAACTAAAACTTTTAAAAATTAAAAACTGTGATTATGATATTGAAAATGCTAATAAAAACCAANTTTGGTTGCTTGGAAACTGTTTAAAATGAAATAAAAAGGACAACTATAAGTTCTTTGAATCGGCAAATGTCTATCATCGTGGGAATGAGATACAACAAAACCACAGTAAGATAATTTCTCAAATAATTCAACCAGAGATTGAGGTTCGTTCGTCATTTTTTCTCTTTTACTATTAATGGAGAGCAAAAACAGAAAAGAGACAAAAACAAAAACATTATAAAATTTAACGGCAATTTTTAATTTCTTCTTCTTTTTTTTTTCTTTTTTGCCTCAATGCATTGCAAAGTCAACCAGTGAAATGCATTGTTTGGACGTTGAGAAAGTTGTGTAAAGAACAAATAATTATTTGTGAGTTGGTAAAGTTTTGTTATTAAGGATAATAGATTAAAAGAATCACTTAACAGTTTGTTTTTTCCAATTGAATTGGCGTAAAATTGCAAATGGACTTGTGTTTAATCAATTGATTTTCCAGGAGGTCCAAAGAGGAAAATAGCAAAAAGGAACATGAAAACTCAGGATTAAAAAGTGGAAATAAGACACAATTACCAGCTAAGAAACTCCAGGGATAAGCTCGGTTGCCAAGGATATGCATTCAATCCCGATCAGAAACTATAGATAGATACCTACATAGAACCAGGTGAACATCGACAATCTAATTAATGTGTAAACGGCAATAACAGATATGACTGAACACATGTGAGTAGTTTGCGTATATAAAGGCGGTAGAGGAATGGAACCTGAGAAAGAGCAAGAGACGATCGAGCATGAAAGCGAAGGAAGATAGTCTTCGGATTCCTATAAATTAGAGAAATATTTGTCATCTTCTGAACGAATCGTGATGGAATTGGGAATCGATCCGATGGGGGAAGAGGAGGAGGACGCGCGGTGTCTCAATCTGGGGACTATTTTTGTATTTTTCGACGTCTCAGGAATGGGAGTGCGTGGCGAAGAAAGAGAACCTCAATTGACAGCCAGACCCTTCTTGCCTTTTATATTTACTACTTAAAGCAACCATGCGTTAGACGCTAACTATTTTGAATATTGCATAGACTAGAATATTTTTATTATTTGAGATTTTAAAAAAAATAAGTGGTCACCATAAAATATCACACTCTAACCGCGAAGTAAGCGATTTTCTAGAATTTAAAAAAGGCATGCACTCTAATACAATAAAAAAAAATTATTGAGAACTTTAAGACTTTAAAAAAAAAAATTATACTGAAATCAAAGCAAAAGATATGCTAAAATCAAAGCAAACGATATGCTAGTGTTAGTTGAAATGTTACTCAAGATAAATTCCTATCAGAATCTTATCTAATTTAAGATTTATTATTATATTACTTTTGGCCCATAAGTGAAATCAAAAATCATATGAAGATCCTGAGTCAACACATAATGTAATTATTAGTATAAGAAATTACACACGTATTAATAAAAAAAATTGTAAATTTTAAAAGTAATACAATGTAATACATGATTTTGTAATAACACTTAAAATTGCTCTCATTACAAGTAAGTTTTTAGAACATCCAATTGTTTACAGAATTTAAAACACCAACTATTCCATGTATTTTTTCCTAGAGATTCATTCCACCAAAGTGTCGAGGGCAAGTCGCATGTTACACCGCTTTGTAGATTTTGATATCAAGTCCTCCAAAAAATGACTTATTTTTCAGATAAAACAATAAATGAAATTATGAGGAAAAAAAATATTTCCTCTCAATCTCTTAAAATAAATTTAAAGGATATAATAAAAGGGTCTATTGTAGTATTATTTCCATCAATTTTGATGGCAGCATTAGTTGCAATATTTTTATTCTTTTTAATCTTCAATGATGAAAATATAGCATAACTCAAGAATACAATTTTTCCTATTTTGTTGTACGAAGCAAAGAGTTGGTAAAAGTAACAAACAAATTCACAAAATTAAAAAAATCAACTTATTAAAAGGAATAGCTGCTTTCCTTTACTTGAGTCTTTTTGGCATTATGCTTTCACCCAACAATAATTCGCCAAACTTTCAAAATTCTTCAAATACTTGTTGATACATGAAGTTTAAGCACACAAATATTAGTACACTTCTAATATTAAAATTACAAAAGTGCTAAAAGTTGAAATTTAAAAAAAAATCACTAAGCATCCGAAGACCAGCACGAGCTTGTGGGCTTGGCCTTGAATTTTGGTCAACTCCACAAAAGAATATGTGTTTTTTTTTTGTGGTCATTGCTGATATAAAAGATTGAGATTTACGAATATGATAAATTTCATGTGAATTGGTTAAACAAAATCCCAAAAATTGAAATTTAACTCAAAATTCATTCTAACATAAAAAAAAATTGAGAGCCACAAAGAAACCATATATGAAATAACACCTATTCAAGTATAAATTGATTCAAATCTCGTGGTTTATAGCGTCACTTCTCCAAGTAGGCGAGGTTAATCGAACATATAGGAAATCTATATATAGAAAGTGAGATGAAGTGCATATCCACATCCAAGGAATTTTTTGGTGGCAATCAAATTCTCATAACGATATAATTTCAACGATCAAAATAGTCTGTTGGTCAAGATGTTGATACAATCTTGTTGTGACGATAATATGCGAAGCTTGTTTGGAAGACGAAATGATATATTTACTGCACAATAGGGGAACAAACTAAAACTTTTAAAAATTAAAAACTGTGATTATGATATGGAAAATGCTAATAAAAACCAATAGTAGAGTTATTAAAGGGTATATAATTTGGTTTTTAGGCATTTTTAAGAGCAAATTAGGAATTCAAAAGTTTTTTATATTAAAATTTTATAGTAATATAGGTATAGATATAAACAGNGTTCGTTCGTCATTTTTTCTCTTTTACTATTAATGGAGAGCAAAAACAGAAAAGAGACAAAAACAAAAACATTATAAAATTTAACGGCAATTTTTAATTTCTTCTTCTTTTTTTTTTCTTTTTTGCCTCAATGCATTGCAAAGTCAACCAGTGAAATGCATTGTTTGGACGTTGAGAAAGTTGTGTAAAGAACAAATAATTATTTGTGAGTTGGTAAAGTTTTGTTATTAAGGATAATAGATTAAAAGAATCACTTAACAGTTTGTTTTTTCCAATTGAATTGGCGTAAAATTGCAAATGGACTTGTGTTTAATCAATTGATTTTCCAGGAGGTCCAAAGAGGAAAATAGCAAAAAGGAACATGAAAACTCAGGATTAAAAAGTGGAAATAAGACACAATTACCAGCTAAGAAACTCCAGGGATAAGCTCGGTTGCCAAGGATATGCATTCAATCCCGATCAGAAACTATAGATAGATACCTACATAGAACCAGGTGAACATCGACAATCTAATTAATGTGTAAACGGCAATAACAGATATGACTGAACACATGTGAGTAGTTTGCGTATATAAAGGCGGTAGAGGAATGGAACCTGAGAAAGAGCAAGAGACGATCGAGCATGAAAGCGAAGGAAGATAGTCTTCGGATTCCTATAAATTAGAGAAATATTTGTCATCTTCTGAACGAATCGTGATGGAATTGGGAATCGATCCGATGGGGGAAGAGGAGGAGGACGCGCGGTGTCTCAATCTGGGGACTATTTTTGTATTTTTCGACGTCTCAGGAATGGGAGTGCGTGGCGAAGAAAGAGAACCTCAATTGACAGCCAGACCCTTCTTGCCTTTTATATTTACTACTTAAAGCAACCATGCGTTAGACGCTAACTATCTATAATATAAAATAGGACGGACTTCAATAAGTCAATCCAACGGTTTCAAATAGACTCATTTAACGATCACCAAAATTCATCTTAAAATCATTTACATTGTATCGTGCCTTTAGGCACGAGTTACCTCTAGTTTTGAATATTGCATAGACTAGAATATTTTTATTATTTGAGAATTTTAAAAAAATAAGTGGTCACCATAAAATATCACACTCTAACCGCGAAGTAAGCGATTTTCTAGAATTTAAAAAAGGCATGCACTCTAATACAATAAAAAAAAATTATTGAGAACTTTAAGACTTTAAAAAAAAAAATTATACTGAAATCAAAGCAAAAGATATGCTAAAATCAAAGCAAACGATATGCTAGTGTTAGTTGAAATGTTACTCAAGATAAATTCCTATCAGAATCTTATCTAATTTAAGATTTATTATTATATTACTTTTGGCCCATAAGTGAAATCAAAAATCATATGAAGATCCTGAGTCAACACATAATGTAATTATTAGTATAAGAAATTACACACGTATTAATAAAAAAAATTGTAAATTTTAAAAGTAATACAATGTAATACATGATTTTGTAATAACACTTAAAATTGCTCTCATTACAAGTAAGTTTTTAGAACATCCAATTGTTTACAGAATTTAAAACACCAACTATTCCATGTATTTTTTCCTAGAGATTCATTCCACCAAAGTGTCGAGGGCAAGTCGCATGTTACACCGCTTTGTAGATTTTGATATCAAGTCCTCCAAAAAATGACTTATTTTTCAGATAAAACAATAAATGAAATTATGAGGAAAAAAAATATTTCCTCTCAATCTCTTAAAATAAATTTAAAGGATATAATAAAAGGGTCTATTGTAGTATTATTTCCATCAATTTTGATGGCAGCATTAGTTGCAATATTTTTATTCTTTTTAATCTTCAATGATGAAAATATAGCATAACTCAAGAATACAATTTTTCCTATTTTGTTGTACGAAGCAAAGAGTTGGTAAAAGTAACAAACAAATTCACAAAATTAAAAAAATCAACTTATTAAAAGGAATAGCTGCTTTCCTTTACTTGAGTCTTTTTGGCATTATGCTTTCACCCAACAATAATTCGCCAAACTTTCAAAATTCTTCAAATACTTGTTGATACATGAAGTTTAAGCACACAAATATTAGTACACTTCTAATATTAAAATTACAAAAGTGCTAAAAGTTGAAATTTAAAAAAAAATCACTAAGCATCCGAAGACCAGCACGAGCTTGTGGGCTTGGCCTTGAATTTTGGTCAACTCCACAAAAGAATATGTGTTTTTTTTTTGTGGTCATTGCTGATATAAAAGATTGAGATTTACGAATATGATAAATTTCATGTGAATTGGTTAAACAAAATCCCAAAAATTGAAATTTAACTCAAAATTCATTCTAACATAAAAAAAAATTGAGAGCCACAAAGAAACCATATATGAAATAACACCTATTCAAGTATAAATTGATTCAAATCTCGTGGTTTATAGCGTCACTTCTCCAAGTAGGCGAGGTTAATCGAACATATAGGAAATCTATATATAGAAAGTGAGATGAAGTGCATATCCACATCCAAGGAATTTTTTGGTGGCAATCAAATTCTCATAACGATATAATTTCAACGATCAAAATAGTCTGTTGGTCAAGATGTTGAAACAATCTTGTTGTGACGATAATATGCGAAGCTTGTTTGGAAGACGAAATGATATATTTATTGCACAATAGGGGAACAAACTAAAACTTTTAAAAATTAAAAACTGTGATTATGATATGGAAAATGCTAATAAAAACCATTAGTAGAGTTATTAAAGGGTATATAATTTGGTTTTTAGGCATTTTTAAGAGCAAATTAGGAATTCAAAAGTTTTTTATATTAAAATTTTATAATAATAGAGGTATAGATATAGACATATAAATATTAGTATTATCTAAATCATAAATTGGGTATACACTGAATGTTTATTTTTGAAGTATAGACAGATGTATAGATATAAATATAGATATTTATATCGATTATTTGCGTAGAAAGAAAAGTATATGAAGAGTTATTTGGATATTTAATTGATATTGGATAATTAAAGACATAATGATATAGTTGCCGTTAATTATTTTTATAAGGGCATTATGGTCAAAACAAAATTTTCATTTTTGTTAACATTTTACATTAATATAGATATAGATATAAATATTCTCACTGTTGTGGGTGAAGTGTGAGTTTTATTGGGTGGGCTGAGTGATTGATGAACTGTTATTAGAAGATAGAACAATTATCAACTTATTATCTGCATGCATTCAGAGGCTATTTTTTTACCGGGTTTCGAATCCCTCAAAACAGAAATTGCAAAAAAAAAAAAAAAAAAAGAGGAATCAATGTGTTTTCTGGTTAGAAGCAAGGAAATGACAAATGTGTCAGACCCCCTGATTATCGAAGGGGATAAACATTAGCATGTCAGACTTTTGAGGTATGAAAGATCCTCTGTGACATTAAGTTGGACTTGATATTATTTACCTATGTAATAATAGCATGTTTAATAATTTTTCAATTAGTTTATAATTTTTCTTCATCAACACAATCATATTTAACCTTTTGGGAACATAATTACAAACAAAAAAAACTATTGTTATATCGTTTGGGTAGAAAAATATGTTCCCAATCCCAAAAGGTCATGGTGTGTAGCAGGAGCGTGAAAGGCACTCCAGGGTCCAATTTCAAGAATCCTCTCTAGTCTCTGTGTGTGTGGGAACTGGAAGCAAAGCAACAGAGAGCCCCAGCTGCTTCATGTTTTAGATTCACCAAACATCAGCCACGTGTTGCGTCCTTGTGTCAATAAAGTCACTAGTGCTTTTTGTCTCTTCGTAAAGTTGAAGTTGTAGACGAGAGATTTAGATCCGTTACCCATCCCTTTCAATATTTTTTAATACAATATTAGATGAGTAACGAGTGTAAAATTTTAAATTTTAATAGATAAAATATTTTTTCATTCATTTTTATTGTTGATGGAGGAGTGTTAACCATTATTAAAGAATTTTCTTATAAGAAAAAAATCTTATCCATTGAAATTTAAAATTTTAAAAGTGTCACTTATTTAGCACTGTATTTGAGGGGAATGAATAATAGAGGGGATTTGAATCCGTAGACGAGGACCACACCCTCCTCTCCTTCCCCCTATATTATTTTCACCATCCTGGCCCGCCCCTGATTTCCTGCCAAATTCTGAACAATGGGGCAAACAATATGTTCCACATAGTACCACCATATGATATATATATATATATATATATATTCCATATCATTAGGCCCTCTACAACACAAAAGTAGCCAACCCCCATGCATCATTCACCCCCCCCCCCCCCTCCCCCTCCCTAATCCAATCCAACTCTTACAACAACCGGGAGGACAATGACCCATCACAATCCTTGTGACAGGACTATCCACACATTTTCTCAACTAATCAATTCAATTTTACCCAAAAATATATGTATATATTAAAAAAAAAAATTAATATTTTATTTCTTAAATAACAATATAGAATACTTTTTGATCATTGATCCTTCTCATAATACACAGACCAACCGACACCTTCTCTTCTTCTACTGATTGCAAAGACACCAATTTCTAGATGAGTTTTTTTTATGTTAACGGATGATGACATGTTTTGAACCTTAGTGTTTAACGCCCAAATATCTCAAGTATTAACATATCGCGGAACAGTCAAGCAGCTCGTTTACATGTGCTCAATGGGGCACTAAATATACTTTGACAGGCTCTCATTCAAATCTTGTCCACATTTCATTCTTTCAAGAATGACAAACATGTAGTTCAGGTACTAATTACTTTAACAACAACTCATGTCTTTTACAGGAGCACCAACTGCTGCTTGTCCCCATTTCATTTCATATGACACACGCTTGAAGTAAATCATCTGGGGGAAAACCACCCATGTCCAAGTGTGCTGTGATTGAAGGACTGTCTTACTTTTACACATCTCTGCATTGGCTCTAACCACATAAACTAAACTTACATGAGGAGTCTGGAAACCATCCAACATATACTGGTAAGCCTTCTACACAATTAATTCCTCACGGTAGAAGGGGTGGCATGTTAAGAAGGTGAAAAAACTGAAGAATTGTAGTGAAGAGCGGCTGGCGAACCAAATCTTGCTTGACGACTGCTCTTCAGGGCCTTTTACTGAAATAAAGTTCCAGTCCTTCGGTATTTCATTTTGGCAAATGAAATCTTGCAATTTGGAGCTCCTCTATGGGAGCACATCACTCAAATGTTTGTCATCCCCAGATGAGAGATTTTGAACGAATTCTTGACGTTATAACATATCTTCTACATTTCTGAATCGTCAACTTCAGAGCTCACCACAAAGCTAGGAAATGCGAATAAGGTTATATCCCTGAACAGATCAAAGTTGCATGTCTAAGTTGACTCTTAAGTACCAAGATGGTTGATATTGAGCAAAATACAAGAAGTCAATGACTTAAAACTCGAAAGTTTCAACTCTCAACTCAAAAACAGGGTTTCGAAGAGAAATAAATTGAATGACCAAGTCAAAATAACAAATGGTTAACTTCTAGATCAATTTCACTTGACTCAACTACACTGAATTCTTAGAGACCAGGATTTAAATCAGGAATGAAAACTGTACTTGGATCGCTACTCACTTCAAATAAGGAACAGTCATGTTTTTTATCAAAGAGGGGTTCTTTGATACGAATTCCTTCCACTCTTCCTGATCAATCCTTCCATCACCTTTTGTATCTGCTTCACTAAATGTCTGTGATACAAAAAATTCAACATCTAGATCAAATAAGCATTAAAGAGAAAGAATCAAGCTAGAATGATCTGCACCTTATCCACTATCATTTCGACTACTTCCTCTGAAAGCACCAGATCTGATTCATGCAATAGCGCCAACACCATCTCCTCCAGCTGTCAGGTAATAAAATATATAAGAAAGGAGGTTTTCTTATACCATCTTTCTTACCACAAACATATTCACATATTCAATGAAATGATAATCAGGTATGTATGGCTAACATCGACAATGATTAACATCAGAAAATTATAGTCGACCAGGTTCACAAGCAGGAAAACAGAAGTAATTTTGTTTCAATAGCTTAGAATTCAACAGACATGGAATGCAACGTAAGAAAAAAGAAGGGGATTGGAATTTCTAAGGACAAAGAAAAAGACGTTGCAATACTTGCCTCTTCTCTCTCGATGTAGCCAGTGTGCCTTAGATCATACAATCTAAATGCAACTGCCAAAACAAGTCCAAAGTTAGTAGGTAGAGGCGAAATCAGTAGCATAACTGAGGGATATATTCCACACAAGAGTTGACTATACATGACAATAAAGAAAAAATAAGGCAGCAATGTATGGATTCAAAAATGTAATTCTTACATGCAGTTTTGTCGGCTACGGGTGCATTTGGGTGAAAGACACCCAATGACCGAACAAACTCCCCAAACTCAATCACACCGTTGCGTTTGACATCAAACAAATCAAATATCTGCATACACATTAGTCAGAGATGCAAATTAAGCAAAGAAGAACCACTTCTGTAGATTGGAATGCAGATATATTCTTGCCCAACACCTATTGTGCTTCATGTGTCTGACATAGCGGCATGAACAATTCAGAATTATTGCAATAGTAGTAGTTGGTTATTTAGCAGCTATATAGTTGACATCTCCCAAAAAGATGTGTGGTCAATGTAAGTTCAGCATTGCATTTAGATTTCAGTGTGCTTATACAAAGTAAGAGCCACATGAACTGTATAAAAGACTCGATTAACACACCCTGTCTGCAAAGAGATTCCTCTTGTTTCTGTTCCTAAAGAGCGCCAGCTGAAACTCTTCCTGATGACAAGATTGCACAGAAAATGGTATTCAATGTATTAGATACAGACTGAAGCCCACAGAGCGAATCATCTCTGGTTGAATAAAATTAAAAACTTGCAATAAACTTGGATTGAAATTATCATCCTCTATGAAAAACGCACCTTGTGAATAAGCCCATCGTTGACAATGGAACTGCTTAATTTTTTGAATAGTTCATACAAGGCCTCTACTTCGTTCACAGTGACTGCAAGGATAAAATGTGTTTCCAATAAAATATGTTTCATACAGATTGCAATGCAATTTAGTCAGGATGAGTTAGAGAAACATAGTTTTCCATCAGGCAGCATGTGAGCAACAATGTAACTTTATAACCTGTTTCGAGTTTATATTCATTTTGGACTAATTTATCCAAGTGTATGTTAGATTACCATATTGAAAAGTATCATGTCTGAATCCATTCTCCACCATTGAACTCACTGCCATTATATTTTTCAACAACCTGAAGTTTGCAAGCCCAACCATGTATTCTTCCACTTAACAAGAAGTCAACTTTATCATATCCTTATATATGCAAAATTCTGCCTTGAAAGAAGACCTAAAGGCAAGTTTCGCAACCAGTTTTCGACTACTGAATATTAAGGTTCAAAGTAAAAGAAGCCAAATGTTGCTCTGTGCTCAGAACCAAATCATAGTAAAGGATAATTAAAAATGATTGTCTGTAACTCAAAATTAATCAGATTCACAGAAAGATCCTCAAAGTTAAGAGAGTTATGTGGAATCTGATGCATACTCACAAGGAGTTACAGAAGCAAGAACAATAGGCTCTTCATAACCAGGAGTATGCCTGGGCTTCTTTGAGTAAAAGCAGCCCATCAATGAAGGTGGAGTGAAATATCTTGGCAATCAATAGGCTCATGCAATGAAACTACTTTGACTTTGCCACCTGACAAGCTTAAATCAGAAAATTAGCAAATGAATAATGATATGCCTTCAGTACAACTGAGAATCAATATTTTGACCAGCACGTAATATCTTGACATTTGGGGGGTGGAAAGAAATATCACTCAAGCTTAAGGTTGTGGCAAAAACTGAATCAACTGCCTGATGGACAATGTTTTTTATTTTGCAGGCAGAATATTCTACTAACAACAGAAACACTAACGCCCTGTTTGAGTCAAAAGTGGATGAGACTAATTGGATCCTGATTTCACAATCCTCCTTTTCTAATCATCACAGAAGCTTAGTTTTCCCAATTAAAAGGCACTTGATTCAATATGCCCTCTGTCCATCACTTCGCGATGGCTCAATCCAAAATATAATTTGACGTTAACTCGACAACTATAACTATCCAAGAACATAGAAAGATAGGACACATAAACATAGAAAGATACTGCAGAAACAAATCTAACCTTCCCTGATACTTGAAATATTTAGGAGAGAAAAAAAGGGATACAAACTAAGTGTAGAGCCCCCGTTTATATAGTCAATGAGAGTTATAATAAGGACAAAAAGGTAAAAAAGGAAAATTTAATAAAACCCTAATAAACTAGGCTGCTGATATATCTCAAACACCAATTAACTCCTGAAAAACAATACGATTTACATGCATCTAAGGATCTTATTAACCCGAATTAAGCCTTTAAATAGGACACATAATATGGCCCCCAAAAAAAGTTGATATTCACAACTGAAGAATAATAAGATAAACTCAATTTAGTTTCGATCAAATTGAGTCGCTGTTCTTTTCATAGGAAAATCTATCAGATTGTTCATTATTGAAATATTTAATTACCATTTCAAAAAAATATAGTTAAGAAATTATTTGACAAAAATTACAATCTTAAAAAGAAAATTATATAACGAAGTAGGTTGGATCTTCTAAAATTGAAACGTTTGACTGGTAAAGCTGTTGGACCACAAAAACAGAAGATTAGTTGATCTGGAACCGGTACAGAGGAAGTTCCAGGAAGTACTTAACGTTCAATGAGTATTGATTTTTTTTTCAATCATCTTTGGCAACCAATTAATATTGCTTTAGATAGCAAGCAAAATAGTAAACGTAGAAGCACAGAGAAATCGAAATTAGATTTTCCTCTATATTTTCCAGTAATCTGATCATAAGGCGTACGAATTTTCTACCAAAATAATCTGTTCATTCATTAAGAGAGAAGCAACGAAAGAAATGCAAAAACCTTCTTGTTTCCTCCGTTTGGATGGCGAGAAACCGAAGAAAACATAAAGGAATTTGGGTAATCAACAAGATCACTTCTGAATCATTGGAAGAACATTCAAAAAATACAGGAGCCATTGCTTCTGATTTCTTTCTTCTTTTTTTCTTTATATTTTCCTACATTTGGATAACAAGAAACAGTGGTGTTCAAGTATGGAAACATTCAAAGACATATAAATGTCAGACAGACGAAAGTCAATTTTGAGAAAGAAGAATGGCAACTCAAATAGCAGAAGAAAGAAACTATAGAGAAGAGAAGACGAGCCGGAGAGAGAGGCAGCGAGTGGAGAACTGACCTGCTAGGCGTAGAAGGATCCAATGAAGGCTGCGATTGTTGATCCTTGTTTGATCTTTTGTTATGGTTTCTTTATAGAGACCCCTTTGTTTTCTTTTCTCATTTGTTTGTTTTTTTTATTTCGCTTTTCTTACTCTTTTGTTTGGTTAAAGGAAAATTAATTATGGTGACGTCTATCTCTCACCTTACCTTAATGTATANAGAGACCCCTTTGTTTTCTTTTCTCATTTGTTTGTTTTTTTTATTTCGCTTTTCTTATTCTTTTGTTTGGTTAAAGGAAAATTAATTATGGTGACGTCTATCTCTCACCTTACCTTAATGTATATTTTTTGGCTTTCCGTCTCTTTCAACACAAACTTCGCTTTCCGCTCCTCAATGTCAACGGTGTTCAATTTAATATCAGTAACTTGAACACCAAAATAAAAAATATCTACAACATGAAGATCGAGATCGAGAGCGACAGAGAAAAGAGAGTTGACATTTGAACAACNCGGTGTTCAATTTAATATCAGTAACTTGAACACCAAAATAAAAAATATCTACAACATCAAGATCGAGATCGAGAGCGACTGAGAAAAGAGAGTTGACATTTGAACAATGATTTATTACTATTCTTTTCATTAATTTGATGTATTCATTGGTATATACCCTATTATTAGTATATACCCTAAAAGTTTAAATATAGTTCATCAATTTTTACTTGGGGGGTGATGAAAGGAAAAATTGTAAAAACCATAATACCAGAATATATATAGAAGTCGATATTATTATGTGAAGGATATATGATAAGCAAATTAAGTAAATACTTTGTAAAAGGCTCTTAGCCAAATCTCGTGTAATTGTTACATTTTTCTTCAAGCAATACAGTCATCAAAGAGCAAGAGCCTCCATTACGGTGGATGTAATCTTGATCTTTCGACTGAGATGAACCACTTATATCCCGGTTTTTGCCTTAACTTCAATTCTTAACTCCCTCACTGTCTCAAGCACACACGATGCCTTTACTGGGCCTCACCCCCATCACTGTTCNACCATAATACCAGAATATATATAGAAGTCGATATTATTATGTGAAGGATATATGATAAGCAAATTAAGTAAATACTTTGTAAAAGGCTCTTAGCCAAATCTCGTGTAATTGTTACATTTTTCTTCAAGTAATACAGTCATCAAAGAACAAGAGCCTCTATTACGGTGGATGTAATCTTGATCTTTCGACTGAAATGAACCACTTATATCCCGATTTTTGCCTTAACTTCAATTCTTAACTCCCTCACTGTCTCAAGCACACACGATGCCTTTACTGGGCCTCACCCCCATCACTGTTATGTAATTGGGTAAAGAGATTTCAAGCAACATCAGAGATAAATATAAGTGCAAAGTTACGAAGGAGTTATATATGTACGGAATTAAGGTGGCAATGTTGTTTCCATTGTACTGTGATTTATTTTTTAACAAAGATGACAATAATGTAATAGCTAAAAATATAATTTTTCNCGATGAAAAGACTTATTATTAAGCTAATACATTTATTGGGGACATTAGAAAGCATTAGGCTTTTAGATATCTTGAGATTGACAATGAATTTTTATTATTTTTTTTGATGATGGATAAAATGACTTTGCACACTATTTGTCAAATGTTTGAAAATAAATGCAGTAATTAAAGGTAAAGAGAGATGGAGGAGACACGATTTATAATGGTTCGGTCAATATGACTTACGTCCACTCTTAAATGACCTTGGTCGTCAGGTACTTTATTAACTTAATGGCGTAGGGAGCAGAGAGTACAAGTTTTGAGGAAGATGAGAGAGTCGTGCCCAAATAAAAGTGTGATGCCTCCCAAGTGTTGGTGGGGCATGTAATTTATAGTGACCCTCTAACAGATTGGGACTACTTTGTAGCAACTAAACAACTATTATGGTGGAGCTCACGACTTCTTTTAAACAGGCGAGGAGGTTGAGGAACTCTTCATGAGATGCGATCAAAGATGAGGTGAAGGTGAACTATTTTTTCTACGGTGCAAATAAGGCCATCATGCTCTTCCTTTTGATGATGTAGCCAAACAAAAAGTTTGACTGATCTTAAACTGTGTTAAATTTGGTGAGTCTTTTACAAGGTTGAGTTCCTTAATTGAAATTGGGCATTCCTCATAAATTAAGTTATTTAGAATTGATCCCATTATTTTTAAATTTCAAAAGCTAACGGGGGACAAATCTGTATGTTTTTTTGGTTAAACATATATTATAGTTATGGGGAGTGGATCCTATCCCTGGTGTCATGTCAGGGAGAATAATTGCACTTTTGTTTTAGTTATAGCCCAATCACTAAAAAGGGGATAAGACAGCACTATACCACTTTAAGTTTGGTCGCACGCTTAAAGACGTAAAAACTCAAGATATAGTACAAAAAAAAATTCTCTAACAAAAAGAGAACTCCAAGAGAGGGAGATGCTATCGATTTGACACATTCATCATTCATACATAATTTGGGAGGGCAAATATAATAGAGTCTAAAGTTGGCCACTCCCATGAGTTTTTATAACCCTCCTCCTCATATGATTATGGGTGGGTCCAAATTTGCTGGACCGTCCGTGTGTGTCTAAATTATATATATATATATTGTGTACAAATTCAAATTGACAAAATAATTGAAATTTATTTTAATATGATTGCAGATTTGGACCTCTTTCAAATTTTCAACACCTCCCACCTCCCTGGGATGTATCTGCAGTGCATTAAATTTAAGTTTTTTAAGAGTATTTGTCGGCGTGCTCTAACCACGACAGAATCACCGTGCTATTTTATAGAGATATCGGAACCTTCAACTAGTAAGATAGATTTGATCAAAAAAAAACTAGTAAGATAGAGAATATTGATGAGAAAACATATACAAATTAATTAATTAATTAATATTTGAACTTTAGCCACCTGTTTTTAAGAATATATTATTACTAGTTATTGTATGTGTTTGAAGACACAGAATAATAAAAAAATAATAAACAATAAACATATTTGTATTTATATTCAAAATCAAATCACAAATATAGAGAAGAGATAAATGAATTTAAACATCGATTTGTAATGGGGGTGAGAGGTAGTGGGGCGACAGTGGTTGTGGTAGGAGACGGTGATAGTTGTGGTGAGTGACAATGACCGTGGTAACGGTGGTGGCTGCGGCAGTGGTGTTGGTAGAGATAGTGGTGGGACAATTTCAATCACTATTTTTTTGTAAAGTATTTATGAAAAATAATTTTTAGAATTACTTTTAAAAAGTCACTTTAAACACAACCTTAGGAAGCTATCTTTTTTATTAAATTTAAAGTGTTAATATTAGGCGTTAGATTAACTTTAAAGTAAAATTTAAAGCGATTTCAACCGCGAATAATAAAAGTCATTTTGTTTATCTTTTGAGATTTGAATTGTAAATTACTTTATTATATAATTTTTGTTTCCGAAGCAGTCCAACAGAGCCAACAGCTACACCATTCAGTCAAGCTCAAAAATTAAATGGCAAATTTTATTTTATATCTTAAAAAATTTTAAAATTCTTATTTTATATTTTCAAAAATTAAATTTTTTATATTATATTCTTAATGTATTATAAATATTTTAATGTGACCCTTATATAAGTTTTTTGTTAATTTTTTCGTCAACCCCAATAAATTGACTTTTAATGAAAAAAAATAAAACAAAAGTTAATAGAAGTGTCACATTATAATATTTTTGATATATTAAGAATAGTATAGTGTGAAAAATTAATCTTTTAGGATATAAAATAAAAATTTTAAAATTTTTTGAGGTACAATATAAAAATGTTAAAATCTTTTCAAGTCTGAAAAATATGTGAACCTTACTATAGTATTAAAAAATAAATTCTTAGGTCCTATAGGTAATTTATAAATTATTTAAATTCATGCAAGCGTGTGGACAGTCACCAACACACTTGGTTGGGGCATCTTTGACTTTGATTAGATGGAGCGGCCTTTATGTCCTTATTTATACAGCTAGCAATGTCTATACTTTACGAGGCGTGTAGCGTCAGATGGGGGCAGCATTGTGAAATGTGAATCGTTCGGTAGACTTGTCAAAATTTATCTCTCCATTATCATCTATATAATAAAATAATTTATATTTCAAATTTTAAAAATAAATAAAATGAATATCACTTTAAATTTTATTTTAAAATTAATTTAATAACTAATATTAACACCCTAAATTTAATATTAAAAATATGTCTCTAATAATGTATTTAGAGTGACTTTTTAAAAGTATTTTTAAAAATTACACCTCATAAATACTTAAAAAAAAAATGTTGTTTGAAACCTCCTCACCACTCTCACTGTCATCACCACTCCCACCACCACCACCACTGTCACTGCCACCACCACTGCCACCACCAGGGTCATTGCCACCCACCACAACCATCACCGTCTCTAACCACTATTCCTGCAGCCCACCATCTCTCACCCCTACTACAAATCGATACTTAAATTTTTTTATCTTTTTTCTATATTTGTGATTTAATTTTGGATATAAATACAAATATGTTTATTATTTTTTATTTTTTTATTACTTTGTACCTTCAGGCACAAACAATAACTAGTCTTTTATATTATAAATTTAAAATTGAATGGTTGGATGTGATGGAGTTAGCCACACTGAGAGAGTAATTCGAACACATGACAATTAACTTATGATACAATAATTTTACTCTTGTGCTAACATATATGTATACATATATATACATATATGCCACAAATCATTTATATATTATGTGTAATTTTATACAATTGGTCGTGGATTTATACTCGCCATATAATTTGTCTTGTCAATCATATTTTAATTATCATAGTAAATTTCTTTTACCATATATCTTTATTAAATTTGGCGAGCTAAAGTTACACCTACTAATATTATAAAGAGCAATGTTACATGAACTTAAAATTTAGACTTGATAATCTCAACCATTGATTTCACTGTAGGTCCCAGCATTTATTGGAACTCACTACCTATTCAATAGTTGAAATTATCAAATTTAATTTTTAAATCTAGTTTTTAAGTCCATCTAGCATTTATTCTATTATAAATATTCTCCAAAGGGAAGCAGAAGAATATAAAAGCAATACAACCTTGGGTTGAGTGCACCAAACTTATATACTCATTCCAAAGACTTGTTGATAAGAAATTATTAAATTTATGAGAAAAATTATAGTACCCATTTTTGTATCATATCATATTGATCAATATTTATAATTTTTTTAAGGCAGAATTACATCTATTTTAGATAAAAGTTACAATTGAAAAAAATTGTAGAAGTTGTAACTTTTAAAAGTACTAATTATTGCTTGTGTCTGAAGATACAAAATAATAAAAAAATGGTCAATAATAAATATATTTATATTCACATTTAAAATTAAATTACAAATATAGAGAAGAGAGTATAAGTAAGCGATGATAGTGGTGGTGAGTGGTAATGACGGTGGTGACGGTGGTGACGGTGGGTGGTAGTGATAGCGTTGATGGTCGTGAAGGGTGGTGGTGAGGTAATAAAGGGTAGGGGTGGTAGGGGTGATGGTTATACAGTGACAGTGGTGGTGGGATAGAAGTGTCCAACTAATAAGCAGTCTATCAAAAAAAAAACAAAGAAGAAAGTCGGCCATAATGTACTGACCTACAATTTTCTGAAATACTTATACTTATCAAATAGCAGACCACTAAAGAGTACACCCAAACCCATTGTTTTGTAGGCCGTCCCAAGCCCATGGGTGACTCATCCATCCCAATATCCCATCCCCATCGTCTCGGGTGGGTCCCAACACCCACACCAACGCCCACCACAATCCATCGTCTCATTGCAGCTTCTACACAAAAACCCTAAACCCCCCTTGTACTCCATTTTCTGCAAAACCTCTCACTTGGTGTCACTTTTTCTCAACCATGGCTCTTTCCAAACCCACGTACCTATACCACCTCAAAAACCTTACCAAATCCTACTTTCACCACCGCCCACCACCCTCCTTTATCTCCCTTCGCTTCCTCTCCTTCGCCACTCCCGAGGAAGCCGCTGCCGAACGCCGCAAGCGCAAACGCCGCCTTCGCATCGAACCCCCTCTCTCCTCCCTCCGCCACCAATCGCCACCACCCCAACAAACCCAACGCCCTACCCATCAAAACCCTAACGCCCCAAAACTTCCTGAATCCGTCTCGGTCCTCACCGGAAACCGCCTCAACCTCCACAACCGCATCCTCAAACTTATCCGTGAGAACGACCTCGAAGAAGCTGCTCTCCTCACCCGCCACTCGATCTACTCAAATTGCCGCCCCACTATCTTCACCTGCAACTCCGTTATGGCTGCCCAACTTCGCCAATCCCGCTACTCCGACCTCCTCTCTCTCCACCGCTTCATCACCCAGGCCGGTGTTGCTGCCAACATCGTTACCCATAATCTCCTCATCAATGCATACATGGATTGTCGGAAAACCGACACTGCCTTGGAACACTACAAACAATTGATCAATGATGCCCCCTTCAACCCCTCACCCACTACATATCGAATTCTAATCAAAGGACTTGTCGATAGCACTAAGGTTGATAGAGCAATGGAATTGAAAGATGAGATGTTGTCCAAGGGCTTCAACCCTGACCCAATTGTTTATAGCTATCTGATGTCGGGTCAAGCAAAGAATGAGAACGCTGACGGGATTTTTAAGCTTTACGAGGAATTGAAGGAGAAGATGGGTGGGTTTGTGGCTGATGGAGTTGTGTATGGGCCTTTAGTGAAAGGATATTTTTTGAGGGGAATGGAAGAGGAGGCTATGCAGTGTTATGAGGAGACGGTGGGTGAGAATTCAAAGATTAAAATGAGTGCTGTTGCGTTTAATTTGGTGCTTGATGGGTTGAGCAGGAATGGGAAGTTTGATGAGGCATTGAGGTTGTTTGATAGGATGATGAACGCGCATAATCCACCGAAGTCGTTGACTGTGAATTTGGGGAGCTTTAATGTGATGGTGGATGGGTATTGTGCACAAGGGAGATTTCATGATGCCATTGAAGTTTTTAATAATATGGGTGTGAAGAGATGTAGTCCAGATACTTTGTCATATAATAACTTGATTGAGCAGTTGTGTAACAATGGTTTGTTGGGCGAAGGGGAGGAGCTTTACAAAGGTATGGGTGAGAAAGGAGTGAACCCGGATGAGTTTACTTTTGTTTTACTCATGGATACTTGCTTTAAAGAGAATAGGCCTGATGATGCTGCTGCTTATTATAAAACAATGATCGAGTCTAAGTTGAGGCCAAACTTGGCAGTTTATAATAAGTTGGTTGATGGTTTGGTTAAGGTTGGGAAGGTAGATGAGGCAAAAGGGTTCTTTGATATGATGGTGGGGAAGCTGAGGATGAATGATGAGAGCTATAAATTCATGATGAAGGCATTGTTTGATATTGGAAAGCATGATGAGGTGCTCAGCATTGTTGGGAGGATATATAGGGATGATCCAACTGATTTTACCACAGAGTTGCAAGATTTTGTTAAAGAGGAATTGAGGAAAGAAGGGAGAGATGAGGATGTGGTGAAGCTCATGGAGGATATAGACAGGGAGAAGGCCGAAGCTGTGGCTAGGGAGGCTGAAGCAGCAGAAAAAGCTAAGGCCAGTGCCAGAGCGGCCATTTCCTCTCTCATACCATCGAAGTTGTTTGGAAATAAGGAAAAGGAGGAAGAGTTACCAGCTGCCAGTGAAAATGCTGCTGAGGCAACATCTGTAAGTGCAGTCCAAGCAGAAAAAGAAGAGAGTGTTGGGGAAATTACTTCTATGAGTACCGATTCTGCTGGTATGGGATTGGATGAAGAAGTAGTTCAAGGTGGGAATATGACTGAGGCAGAAGATGGAGCAAGTGAGCAGGTAACAGCTTAAGTGTTCAAGCGTTTTGGAAAGAAAAGTGATGTGGATAATTATTTTTCTTTGTTGTTTTATCTATCTTCATCGAAGTGGCTAAGGGTATAAACCTTATATGATATGCGTTGTAACTAGATGAAAGTGATCATGATGTATCTCTTATTGTTGTGGGTTTATGAGTTCTGGCTTTTCGAGAAATAATCAACATTCTCTCAGGGTTTGCGGATTTATGTATGAACTCCATCACTGAAGTAAGTATTGCACTTTTGATGTTGATGCACTATCTGACTTCCATTTATTTTAGTAACCTGTTGATTTTTATGGGTCTTTAGTTATGATAAATCAAATTTTCTTCTGACCTATCACACTATATGCCAACACTAATTGTCGACTCTGAATTCAGTCACCTGGTCCAATACAGTCCTGTTCATCCGTCCTGGGTATGCTTTTAATGCATGGGGTCTAAATCCGAAAAATAAAAGATTCCATCTGAAATTGGGGAAGACAAAGGAACACAGTATGATAAGGAAAAAAGTTACTTATTAAACAATTTATTGAAACTAAAATTGCAGAAACTGCGGGTAATTCAACCTTCCTTATACATTAACAAGCAGAACAAGTTCGTAAGGGTACAATACAACACATACACGGAGTGAAAAACACGAACTGTTAAAAATGCCTTCCAAAATTAACTACCTCAGCTACAGAGATTTGGCATGCATACCCCACCATCTGGACTCTGTTGTTCCTTCCATATTCTTCCTGTAACTCTAAGCTTCAGCTCCTTCCTGTCCCCACCAGAGAAGAAAAGTGCCATATGTCGCTGGATAATGAGACCATCATGGCTGTCCCTTACCTTACGGTGGCTATCGCGGATGCTCCTGGGAGTACCCTCCCATATGAGCTTCCTGCCATTTGCTCCTACCTCTAGGCTGTAGCTGTAAGTGCGAGCCTCAATCTCATCGCCCATGAAACGAAGAAATGCCATGTAAACAGGGGCCATGCCAAGCTGGAAGGCTTCAAAGTGAAGGCAGAAGTATTGACCAAAACAATGGAAGACCTGACAAAAGCAGAACAAACAAGATGTTATGAGACACCAGTAAAAAAAAAAAAGAACTGGAAACATCAAATGTGTGGTTTGTGATCCTGAGTTGTTCAGTCTTGCATTTGTGATTACACAATCCAGTCGCCTCCAATGCTGAGCATGGTACACCAATTCACGTCTTCCAACAAGCTACTTTGTCATCGCATAGATCGGATGACAAATATATTCAACTCCGTCCAACGTGCCCTGATGTATGAATTTGTCATTTGATCATCCCTCACATTTCTCAACACGACACGAACACCCCAGCAGTTGATTTTTATTGAAAAATCTTAAATACTGCAGGTCAAAATCAAACAAATGAATCAAGAAAACAGAGAGAAGGAGAAGCATTTCTGAGGGGTCTTTCCCCCTCCAGCAATCCTCCATGCCTCCACCCTGCCAGTGTAGAACCTCTCTCCCTGATCCACCACGCAAACACCCTATCCCCCCCACCACACAAACATCCAGAGCACCACCCACCCCCTAAACAGGGACTGCACACACACCAAGAACAGTACGGTGTTGCTATCAACAGATACGACACAACTGCCTTACCAATAAACAATCTTATTTCTTCTCCAAGTTTTCATACTGTTTATTGCAAAATTTGCAGTGATTACAGAATTTAAATCACCCAAATGTCCTAATTGCTATGCCTCAAATCTGGCACCATCAGATGTGAAGTCAAGGGGAGACGGGTGGCACAGTTTGATTGCAGAGTAAAATAGGTCATGTGTATCGGACTGGATGGCAGAGAAGGAAGAAAAACACCAAAAAAAAATTGTGTGCCGGGGTATGTTTCTGGTGTGGTTCACAGGGGCTGTGCATAAGCATTACTGCACATGTTTGAATGCTTGTCTGTTTGCGTAAGAGAGACAAAACGAAGAAGATGAGTATTTGGATCTCGGAATAATTTTAACCCAATAAGGATTGAGTTTGGGAATATGATTACTTTGTTCCAACCAGGAACAAAGGGGCAAAGTTGATTTTTGAAATGTTATTTGTTAATGCCATCTTTTTCACTGCCAAGGTGTTTCATGTTGCTGAGGGTTCTTACTGTCCCGACTTCCAAATTTCAGAGGGTGACAAGATAATTAATGCAAAAGTCAAGGGGTTTCATTAATAAATCCAATTTTTTCCTATCGACATTACAAAGTGTGGTTATGTGGAATGAGAAAGTTCATTTTCTGTACTTCATTCACATGACTAGGAAGTAGGAACAGAGAAACCATATAGGATAAATTGCAAGAATAATAACGAGTGCACAAACACACAGACGGTTGTACTAAGAACATTTATCTTGATTCTAAAAATAATTTCATGCATGCTAAATATAGTGATTCAACTTCCACATAAAAACGAAGGGGTTCATTCTGAGACGGTGTAAGATCGTTCTGACTCCATGTTCCAAAGTCTCCCTCAAACAAACCCATCTGCTAGATTGCCTACGCAGACTTTACAGCACAACCGAATGATTAATCCAATTGCACAGCAAGGGTGTGCTGATAAAGCTTTGGCAGGAAAAAGGTCTGGCCCAGCAACTCCGCAAACAGATATTTTAAATGTATAGCTAAACAAGGCACATTATGTAATTTAATTTCTACACCGGTTTTGTTATTGAAAATCCAATTCAAAAATGGAAGTAAAATACTTACTGTAAGCATCCAGGTGGCATTTTCTACTTCACGTGGATTGGACTTCACATACCGATGGTTGAATGTACATCCACTGTGCATGTCCACTTTGTGATCATCTCTCAGATGGCCAACCAGATAAGGAATGTCCCCAGTAGCAGAGCACTCTGATCCAGCATATGGGCAATTATATGGCCTGAAGTTGCACAATGCCTCGTGTTTGAGTTTGCAGTAATACAGAAATATCTCTGGGCATCCCGATGAATAATACTTGCAGGGCAGTTGAACCGATTCTGCTACCTTCTCCAGTGCTAAGCACCTGATATCTCCGAGCTCTTGTCTACAAGTTGGGCATCGGTTATGCACCCTTGTTTTACAGGTGGAACACAGTGTGTGACCATTGTGACACTGCAAAGAAGTAAATCAGTGATCAATTGTTGCTCTTCCTTCATAGATTGCAATCACTACGGCGATGTGAAAAACTAAAAGTTAAGAAAATTGAGAGAAAGAACTACTTGTTTGAGATCATCCATGGCCATACTAGCGAAGGCCCAAAACAAGGACTTTTCACATTCTAAAAGAGATGCTTTTAGTATGAAAGGAAGTCCATTCTGTCAGGGGTGGAGCCAAGATTTTGCCTCAGTAGGGGAAACTTATTCATAGCTGATTAAAAAATAAATTTGTCTAATTAGATTCAAGTTTAAGAGTACGTCATTAAGTTCATAACAAATGAGATAATGGACTACACATAATCAAAATATAATCTATAAATCCCAAATATAATCTAAACTAGAATTTCAGGAAATCAATTAAAGCAATTTAATCATAGAGAAGAAAAATAACACTAACTAAGAATCTCAGATAGTCAATCTGAACATTAGCTTTAACAAAAATTCAAAATAGTTGAGTGGTGATCCAAGACGAAACAAAAAAAAAAACTTCATATATAAGTCCATCAATAATATACCAAACAACCATCAATTCTACAAGAGTANTGCAAAAGTCAAGGGGTTTCATTAATAAATCCAATTTTTTCCTATCGACATTACAAAGTGTGGTTATGTGGAATGAGAAAGTTCATTTTCTGTACTTCATTCACATGACTAGGAAGTAGGAACAGAGAAACCATATAGGATAAATTGCAAGAATAATAACGAGTGCACAAACACACAGACGGTTGTACTAAGAACATTTATCTTGATTCTAAAAATAATTTCATGCATGCTAAATATAGTGATTCAACTTCCACATAAAAACGAAGGGGTTCATTCTGAGACGGTGTAAGATCGTTCTGACTCCATGTTCCAAAGTCTCCCTCAAACAAACCCATCTGCTAGATTGCCTACGCAGACTTTACAGCACAACCGAATGATTAATCCAATTGCACAGCAAGGGTGTGCTGATAAAGCTTTGGCAGGAAAAAGGTCTGGCCCAGCAACTCCGCAAACAGATATTTTAAATGTATAGCTAAACAAGGCACATTATGTAATTTAATTTCTACACCGGTTTTGTTATTGAAAATCCAATTCAAAAATGGAAGTAAAATACTTACTGTAAGCATCCAGGTGGCATTTTCTACTTCACGTGGATTGGACTTCACATACCGATGGTTGAATGTACATCCACTGTGCATGTCCACTTTGTGATCATCTCTCAGATGGCCAACCAGATAAGGAATGTCCCCAGTAGCAGAGCACTCTGATCCAGCATATGGGCAATTATATGGCCTGAAGTTGCACAATGCCTCGTGTTTGAGTTTGCAGTAATACAGAAATATCTCTGGGCATCCCGATGAATAATACTTGCAGGGCAGTTGAACCGATTCTGCTACCTTCTCCAGTGCTAAGCACCTGATATCTCCGAGCTCTTGTCTACAAGTTGGGCATCGGTTATGCACCCTTGTTTTACAGGTGGAACACAGTGTGTGACCATTGTGACACTGCAAAGAAGTAAATCAGTGATCAATTGTTGCTCTTCCTTCATAGATTGCAATCACTACGGCGATGTGAAAAACTAAAAGTTAAGAAAATTGAGAGAAAGAACTACTTGTTTGAGATCATCCATGGCCATACTAGCGAAGGCCCAAAACAAGGACTTTTCACATTCTAAAAGAGATGCTTTTAGTATGAAAGGAAGTCCATTCTGTCAGGGGTGGAGCCAAGATTTTGCCTCAGTAGGGGAAACTTATTCATAGCTGATTAAAAAATAAATTTGTCTAATTAGATTCAAGTTTAAGAGTACGTCATTAAGTTCATAACAAATGAGATAATGGACTACACATAATCAAAATATAATCTATAAATCCCAAATATAATCTAAACTAGAATTTCAGGAAATCAATTAAAGCAATTTAATCATAGAGAAGAAAAATAACACTAACTAAGAATCTCAGATAGTCAATCTGAACATTAGCTTTAACAAAAATTCAAAATAGTTGAGTGGTGATCCAAGACGAAACAAAAAAAAAAACTTCATATATAAGTCCATCAATAATATACCAAACAACCATCAATTCTACAAGAGTAAAACTAATTTTTTAATATAAAAAATCTGATTTTAGATTAGTGTTAATACTACTATCAAAAAATTTGGTTTATAGATTACCTCTCCTTAGCTTCAAAATTATCTCCAGGGTTTCTTCAAATTTGATTTGCACAATGATTGAGAATCCAATAGGGTGATTTGTTGATAAATACACCAAAGGAACTAATAAAGAGACTAAATAAAAGAAAGAAAAGGGGATGTCGGCTAGACGCCTGGACTGGACTAGAAGTTTAGACGAAGAAGACGAAAGCTTACGAAAAAAAAAAGCAAGCGTGAAAAAGAGCAGCCAAAAGTTAACTTTTAAGGGTTTAAAATTATATTAATATACCCTATACTTTAAGAAAATTTTAGTGGGATAAGTTTAAGAAATTCTTGAAATTTTAAAGTTACACTTAGGTCTTAAAATTTTTTAAAATTTCACTAGGGCAACTGTCAGGCATGAAAAATGAGAAAAAGCTGCCAAAAGTTAGCTTTTTAAGGGTTGAAAATTATATTAATATGCCTTATAGTTTAAAAAAATTTAAGTGGGGGGCAAATTTAAGAAATTCTTGAAATTACACCTAAGTCCCAAAAAATTTTAAAATTTCAGTGGGGGCAGCTGCCCCCATACTAAATCCACCACTGATTCTGTCACTAACGGGTTTGTGTGTGTGTGTGTGTGTGTATTAACCAATCAATTATGCAAGCTCCCAAGTCCAGATAGATTATATTACATGACTCTTCAGAATAACTCAACTTTGCCAAGATCCTAGGTTGCATAAGCCAATAAGCCCTGTAAAGTACCATGAACCAAAAGCAACGAATGGCAATCTTTCAAGCCATTGTTATGGGAAAAGACTATCAAAATAATAACATCCCACATTCCTCTCTGATCAACATAATGCAAGCTATAGCAAAAATAGATGAAATAAAAATAAAACTTAGGATGGAACAATGCAGATAACTTGGATCCCTTCTCAGTGAGACCATAATGCCTATCTAATAGAAAAACTGCAAAAGTCTTGCTGAACCCATTATGCTCAAGGAGGAAAAACTGACCGCAGTCAGCCATATACATCTTGCTCAAAGGATCTGAACCCACAACTATTTTGTCCACTCCAAGACCAGTAATTCAAAAGGACGATATCAAACACTGGCAAGTCTCAAATTCCTCATAGAAATGCAATAGATGAAGTGATGTTAAAACTCCAAACTATCAGTCAAACAAAAACACCTATTTTGAAGAGGGGTTGGTTGTCATTGACAAAGCACTCCGTAAGAATGTTCAATTTTAAACAACAATCTGAAATTCTTAACTCTTTTAGGAGCATTTAAAGCACATTAGGGGACAGATCAAATAGTGAAGTCTGTAAGAGAGATGATTATTCATCTGGAGCTGAAATTTCACAAAACAAGTTTGCGCTCTTATTTCCTTTTCTAATCTCCCATCCCGTGGGGCGATTTTCCTCTCTTGTACTTCTATTGGTCATCCAAATTTTATTAACCTTTAGGTCAATTAGACAATAGATCATTGTGACGTTTACAAGCTTCTTGTGTTTCAATCAAATAATCAAGCTGGAGCTACCCATTTTTTAGATGAACAACAGAGGAGAGATTTGTTCACACCACGGCCCTTTTCTATCTCTATGGATTTCCTATTCTGCAAGACTGGTCTGAAATCAACCAAAAACTGAAAAAACGCACATTCCAAATGTAATTTCTTTCTTTTTTTCTTTTTGGGATTCTGTTTTACATGCCCGACGGACTTGAAACCCAACTCTATAGTGCACCTGTCTTTCCATTCTCTGCAGGACATATGTCATAAACCCAAACATTTTCACATTCAGTTCTCATGCACCCCTCACATAAGCTCCCAATTCCATTCAAAATTGCCATTGTGGATGCCTACCAGCGCCGGCAACTTTCTCACGGTCTATTATTTCACAATGTGCCATTGTAATTGAAAATTTTCATACATAACAGACAACTTCCTCAAATCTCTTCATCACACGCCATCTCTTTGAACTCATAAAGTCCAGACATTTGAACAGACTAGACAAGAAAGTTTCCAGAAACGCAACAGCTCCTAGTCTAGGTCTAACATTTTGTTACCCACCTCAACTCTCTATCTTCTCTTTCAAAGAGTACTTTGGTGCTGGCTCGTAAAATCTTTTGGCATTCCAAATATTACTTAATCAAGGGTTAATGTTTCGAGTGTTTTACCCCCAAATCAGAATGAATGGATGGACTTTTCTAATGAGATTTGCAATCCGCAATGCATTACAAGAGGCAGTGTGAAACATTGATCCCACAATATCCAGAACCAAAAGAAACCCCAACACATCAAATCCCAATTAAATAAAATGTAAGGCATTCCTTAAACTCATGTCCATTCCACACACCTCTTAACCAAAAGTCAACCAAAACCTGACCTTGCACCCATAATTCCATGAAATCCCAATTTCAAATTCCTACCAAACCCTGCCCCAGAGCCATCAAATTCAACATACCAAGCATTTCCCAACTTAGGAATGCATACAAGAAAACACATATGTAGAAAAACGACGAGTAGTCAGAAGGAAGAAATAGAGAGTAGACCTACCTGATGGATTGGAGGGTACATAGAATTGGTGCAAACAGGGCATTCCAGCAATTCATGGACGCCTGTAGGGACAATTCCAGTGGGGAGAATGTGATTATTGTGTAGCTTTGATGGGTATTGATGATGATAAGTATGAGGATGATTAGAATTGATCTCTTCATCTTCCATGCCATCTGTAGACGATACGCACTCAATGTTATCCAAATCCATTATTTATGGACAAATCTCAACACCCACTTCGAAAAAAAATCAGAATTCAAGCATGAAAAACTGATGGTCTCCTCAAGTTTCAATTGTTTTCATTTATTTTCTCGCTTTCCTTTGTTTCTTCATTCAGGAGGGTTCGACGGCAGAAAGAAGAACCAAAAGAAGTTGAACGAAAATTGGGAGAGAAAGAGAGAGAGAGTGACACAGAGAGAACGAAGAAAGGAACCTCCTTTTTAGGGAAAAGGGGCTATTTGGTTCTTCAGAATCGATTCATCGCTCTCTCTCTTCCGAGTATCTGTGAAGACAGAAAAGTAAGGATCACCGTCGAAATTCGAAGAAAATTGAAGACAGATTGAAATCCAACGGATGGAAGATCCCCCTTCTACCGCTGGTTATTGTAATTGTAATTGGACAACTAACAATGTTTTGGTGGTTAAAATTGCCAACAAGACAAACTAACTAGGTTCAAGTTTGAACCTTGCCAGACACACTGCCATCATAATAATAATAATAATTGTTATAAATATGCTGTCATACCATACGAAAAGGAGTGTAAATTTCATTTAGCCAAACACCCAAATAAATGTATACTAATTTCAAGAAAAAATTAAATTTTTATTTTTATTTCAATAAATGATACAATAGAACAAGAGTTTTAATTATAAAATTTAAAATATTTAATATTCTATCTTTAATTGAAGTGTTTTTGGTTTAAATATAACATTTTAAATTTAAGGGATCTAAATATAATATATGTTTACAAACTTTAGGAGTCTAAGTATAATTTATTATCTAATATATTAATTGTTACGTGCTTACAAACTTCAGGGAGCTTGTGCGTAATATTTCAAATATTAGAAATTATAAGTAATTAAGGAATAAACTTCAAATGATCTGAATGTAATTCTCCTTTTAATTTATTATGTGAGAGAGAGACGGAAGAAAAATATACTAGTGTTGCCAAGAAAAATGTTTTACTAGAGAGAGAGAGAGTTTAATTTTAATTTTTTCTTTTATATTTTTTACTTATTTTTACACAAAAAGAGGATGGATAAGAATAAATATGAGTTGACTTTTGATTAATTTTAATTTTTTCAACTTATGATTTTTATGTTTCTAATGTTATGAATTAAATCATAGACCTAAATTATTACAATAAAAATTTTAATTATATTTAATTTTTTGAGACTTTTTTTTTAGGGTTTAAAATTTAATAAATTTAATTTTTTCTGAGTTAAGAATATACTTAAAATTTTAGGACCTTTTAAAAATTAAAGGCCTAAAGCCCAAGTTTTTTTTTTTAATACTGTTGAGCCGCCTTTTTCAACTATATGAATCATATTTCTCAATTTTGCTTTATCAAAGATTATATTTTTGTTAGACGACTAGCACAAGTTATACTTTGCCACTCCGGGTTCATATGCACCCAAAATTTGCAACCGCCGGGCGAAAAGAAAATGAAACAGCAGCTCTTTGTATGAACCATAACATGAGATGCAAAAAATGGCTATGAATTTGCACCCACTAATTTTTCCAATAACTCAGTCTAGTTTATGGAGGATGTTGGCATTTTGTTGACAGGGAAAGGGCAGAATCTACTGGAGAAAGGCTCACTGGTGCCCAAAGAAATGGAACAAAGGAAATTAACTGATTGATTCTGAAGGCAAAGAGACACACCTATGTCCTATGTCATTTCAGGAAATCAATGGATGATCCTAATTAGGCCCCAACTGCTAATCACACCAAAAGAGTACAAAACATAGCATATCCAGCTGACAGTAACTAAGAAAAACAAAAGGATATAAAACAAAGAAACCCTACTAACCTAAAAGATAGAAGACTAAGGAACATGTAATATCATCTGAAATTGAAATACTTGAGCAAGGCCTTTCTGGATAAAAAAAATTATGAGCATCAGCAACGTCGTCTACAGAAACCTTCTCAATCCTACACAGTCAAACCTCAAGAAAAATGCAGGATATCCTTGAGCATACGCAATAATGTCTCTAGGGACCTTCTCAATCATGGACGAAAAACAAAACCTGAAGGTAAATGCAGGATATTCACGAGCATCAGCAACAATGTCTCCATGGACCTTGTCAATCCTGCACAAAATGAAACCTGAAGATAAATGAAGGACAGCCTTGACAATATACTGGACGTCACAAGGAGGCCGAACCGGCAAAGAGATATTGAATTCAACCAGTGCACAGTCACAATAGATGAAAGTAGAGTGGAGGTTTTCAAGTTTACCTCAGCTTGAAACAAAGAAGACGCTCAGTGTTGATTTCATCTCATTGTGGCATTTTTTGCACAATATTGCACAAACGTGCTGCCCTCATACTGGAACCTACATTTTCATGCTTGACAATTCGAGTTTCTGCTAATACATCAAAGAGTAGATTTTCCAAGTATGGGAACTAGAAATGCAAATACGACTGACTCCTCTTCTATAAGATCCACATTCATGACAAACTACAATCAGATGCTCTGGGCTATTTACACTAACTGCCAGCAATCATTCACATATAGTATTATATACAACAATACGGGCATCCAAAAATGCTTATGCTAGCATGCCTTGCATTAAATGGATTATTTCAGGAGATAAACACACCCTGTATATTCTTTGGTTGTATTTTGGCTACTTAGAGCTCTCATCTACCATAGCTTGCTCAGCACCTTTCTCGTCTCGCTTTGTTGAACTGCAAGATGCGATTGAGCACCGTTACAAGGAAGATGAACCATCAGCAATAACAATTACAAAGTATCTTATTTTCCCGTATTATGGATGTACAAAACAAAAAACAAAACTGCTGCTTCAACAGACACCTCCCCATATTCTCCCAAAGTACAGGCTGTCTCGGACTTGGTTCTACACACTTGTGTGGAACATGCTGTCTTCATAAACCATTCGCTTCCAACTCAAGGGTGGAGCCAGAAATTTTGCTCAGGATGGGCAATTTAATTACGCACTCTAATTTTTTTTCTTCCTAATCAATCACTGTATAATATATTTATATTTATTATATCACATTTGATACATGAATTCCATTTAACATAAAAAATGCCAAAAAATAATGCATATTGTACATATACAAAAAATGACTAATTATCACCATCATAAAAAATGGAGCTAATTGTCAATTTTGTAATTAAAAAATATCAGTTATTCACTAACAATCCATTAAATTTATTCAATAAATGATGTTCCAAACACACTGAGATATTAATATAGTAAAATTATTAAACTAAAATTTAACAGCTAAACATAATAAACAAATTTAAAATCTATTGACACACAATAAAAACTATAATCGATACTTGAATAAAAATAGAGACGATTTTTCGTAAAAAAAATAAGGTTAAATGAAGGTCGATTGCAAGAACTTTCCCTTGCAAAAATTCATAAATAATAAAATTAAGGTCATCTAGAGAAAGCCTTAATAAAATAAAAAACTTGTCTCATTGTTCTATTTGGCTTTACAAAACTGCTCAGCATTATAAAACTTCATACTATACCCATAACAAACTGAGAAGATATGATACACCATGATCAACTGACAACTCAATCAATTAAAAAATTAGATCGATACCAAATTTCAACAATTTGGAATCCATCCTAAGTTTTGGGGATCAATCCTAACTCAATTTCATTGAGTCACAACTCGATCAATTTGAGTCGCAAGTTAACATGATTTAAGTTTTAATTTTTTGTACGAGACTCAGATTTCAACAATATGGGCCCAAAGTTTTTTTTTTTTGTTTTATGCGGGCTTGGTTTTTTAATTTTTTTTGGGTGTAGTTGGTGGGCCTAGTATTTTTGTCTTTAGTTTTAGGTGGGCACAAGTGATATATTATACAAATATATAATATATATACTTAGGTAATAAAAAAATAAATAAATTGGAGGGACACATGCCCACCCTGAACAATACATAGCTCCGCCCATGTTCCTATTTGTGCATGCTTTTAACTGCTCATTCGCTAGTCCTTCTCTTCTTGCACCAACATATGGTCTTTTCTTGTTGAATTGAATTTCTTTGCCATGAACGGTTGCATTTACGGAGTCCTTGAAAATGGATTTCAGTTGTGTCAGCCCCAACCAGTATTTTCTAAGATCACTTTTTAGAAAATCTGAAGTGAAAATATGAGATTTCCCCTTTCCCCATATAAAGACCTAAACAATTACAAACATACTCCTCCAACAGGGATTATTCCATAGAATTAAATCAAACCCGCCATCCAAGTGGTGCCATCAACACACAGAAATGGGTGTTAGCAGAAGGAGAAAAGTTCAAAAGTGAAAGAAATCTTACTGAAGTTTCAACATCAGGTTTCGACTTTCATCAACAGCCAGACGTGCACCATATAGTGTCATTTTCTTTACCTACATATGCAGATGGACTTCTCCACATCAGTAACATCCATGGGAATAACAAATTTATCCTGTTGTTCATCACATATTTCAAGAGCATTTTGCTGTTCAAAAAAATGTTCTAAAACATCTACTCACTCCATTTCCCAAAGCAATTTTTGTACAATTAGGAAAAAAAAATAAGAGGAAACAGTAATCTCAATTGATTTATTTTCCTTTTTCTTTTTTTTTTTTTGATAAGAAACAAACATCTTATTAATAAATGAAAGAAACATTACAATCATCCAAAGCCATTGAATTTTTGAACCCATGTGTGACTGGAATTTTTACTGATACACAATATTTGGCAATAAGCATGTAAACATATTTCCACGAGTCTTCAACTTCAATAGCATCCAGCATGAAGCCAAGTAATGGTATGAGACTGCAAATTACAGTTCTCATCAGTAACAATTTTTTAACCTTGTTTAGATGTGTTCTCAAACTAACAGAAATTTCGCCCAATACTCAAATCAACAAAACCTTGTCCCAACGTTTGGAGTCGGCTAATCATCATACTTAAGAGTTAAAGGTGGTCTTTTGGTGGGTAACTTGAGGACCAGAAACATAGCTTTGGTCGGAAAAATGACTTTGGAGGTATCCGCTGTAACAAAATTCATTGTCGAATTCAGTTATCAAATATGCTTTAAAGGCTAATGAATTAGATACAAATTGAATTGAGAGGGATAGTTTTCGAAACTCATGAAAATTCAGTTCTAAGACATTACCTTTCTTTGCTCAAAGGGTCAAATTTGTTGTGTGTAATGGGCAGAGAATTTGGTTTTGGGAGAACTTTTGGACTGGAAAGTCATCTTTGGCATGTTCTTACCCTCGCCTCTATAGTATCTCGTGTTATCTGCTCGTATTGCTTCGATAATTAGGCCTTATTTCATTTAGTATCTTGATATTTTAATTTTCGGACAAATCTTAATGATAGAGAAACTTTAGAATTGATCGCCTTTCATTTTTTGCTTAGCATTACAACTTCACATCTTGATTTGTCATTTCGTTGGATGAAATTAGTTGGGTCATGGACTCAATGGGGTCATTCTCTGGCTAATCTTTTTATGATTCCTTGATTGATGACTCCTCTCTCCCAAATTTTTATTCATCTTTGTGTTGGTAATTGCTCATGGCAAGAGTAATACTAATGATTTGCTTCAAAAAAGAAGGCATACTGCATGCCTTTTCCCTCAATGGTGTGTCATGTGTTGTGGGAATCTAGATCTCTTATTTTTGCATTGCACAATTGCATTACAGAACAAAATGTAGGAGGTGGCTGGATCTTGGGTAGTTCCAAGATTCATATCATCTGTGTGGGGTGAATTATAACTATTTTGGAATAAAGAGTAAAAGAGTCACTCTTTGGGAGTGTGCAATGTTTGCCACTATTTGGGTGATTTGGATAGAAAGAAATGCAAGAATTTTTTAGCATAAATGTGAGGTGGTTGAAGGTTTATGGAGTAGTGCCAGTTTCTTAGGATCATTTACGTGTTGGTCTATAAGAAGTTTGGAAATATGCCCCCTGTTGACATTGTGGCTAACTGGACTTTTGTTTACAACTGTTAAAATGTCCATAATTTGCTGGTTTTTTGTCTTTATGTGGAGCTATTATGTTGTTCTGCACTTGGGTTGGACTACTTGTCCCAGCTTTGCTCTCCTTTTGTACTCCATCATTTTATTATTAATAATATCTTTGTTTCCTATCAAAAAATATATTAAAACGCTTTTAATAAATTTTGAGAAGGATATCCCAATTAAGTAACCACTTTCCACTACCCGTCATACATCCCTTGAGGCTCTGAAACGTGTCTTCATAGCTCATAGCCATCCATTCGGTAAGGTCTGATCATTATTATCTTCAATGTAATATACTAGATAGGTATAGAAGAAGTATCCATATACATAGGCGCACTGGCTGACTGTGGAATACACAGTGGTGCATGCTGATGCTACCTTGAGATTAATAACCATCAGGTATTATCGTATTAAGATAGATGAAACTTATCTCAAAACTCCACGAGTTCATCATGTCATGCTTAATTGAGCAAATAGTATGATCAAATGACTAATAAATCTATAACTATGCTTCAAAGCTTGCTAACATCCTCCTTATACCATGAAATCAAATTGCTAAGAACACAGAATTCATGGGGAGTTGTTTGTAACTAAAACTTAATTTTAGTGACATGTACCTCCAATTTATCTTCCTTGGATCTGTGGGACTTTGGAAGCAGGCGAAACTCTTCTGTCAGCTGGATGCACTCTTGAACATGGTCAGGGGATACAAAGTCAACGGCAACTTTGATGCAGGGCTGGAAAAAATCAGAGAACGTACATCAATCACTATGCTAATATTGCAAAGACGGAGACAGTGCTCAAAGATGAACAAAATAAAGGGAAATCAAGATAGATAAATTACGGACACCAATGGCTATACATATCAGGAGCCTTGAATAATTGCAGCTTTCGCACTTGGCACAAACTAAGTAACTATCTTTATAGATTTAAGGGTCTGGACATACAAAAGTTAGAAAAAAGTCAAACTCTAAAGTGAACTTCTCTTCACAATAGAAACAATACATTCTGTCTGCACTTAAACATATAGTTGAAAATCCAAATCGATAAAATGTGGATAAGATGTTGTAGAAATGAAAAACAAAAATGATGCAAACATATAAAGAATATTGGATGATCCTTTGAGCTAAACTTCGAACTGCCTAGTTACTGGACCACTGGAGAATGGATATCTGACACAACTTTTGTTCCAGAAGGAACATAGAAATGCAAGGTAAGTGCCAGATAACCATGTAACACTACCATAAATGGCACAACTGAACAGAATGGCAGCCACGATATTGAAAGTAATGAGAAACTAAGGGGGTCCATCTTGTAGTAGCATCAGATTGATCTTGTACCATACTGTGATGATTGTATTTTTCTTGTATGACCTCATTCATGACTGTAGACTTCTGCTGTCAGACGAAATGCAAGATACAAGGAACTGATTATAATATCAGCCTTATTACTCATCTAAAAAAATTAGTAATACCTCACATGCCCAATAACACTAGGGGAGAACAGATCCAGTTAAGCGTTGATGAAATTGTGTGGAAAAATCAATTGATCACCACAATGCAAAAAGAAGATTAGGCAAAAGAGATATGCATGCCAGCAATCCCAAAGAGAACTCTACTACTCAACAGGGATATTTGACCATACCTGTCTATTTCTCACTTGATGTGGGCATCCTGCAGGGATGAATACAGCCTCACCAAGATATTGCTCAAACGTCCATGGTTCAATATCTGAAAAAATTCACTACCATGAATCCTTTTGCATTTGTGAAAAGAAATGTTAAGAGAAGATTAACGACGTCTTACTAAACTCCTCCTTTAGCTGTTTTTTGTGCTTCTCATTTAGGTAAAAAATTTGGTCATGAATAGGATGAACAACCTACACCAAGAACAATAAGCCAAGTTCAAGAAAAAAAGACTGGTCAACACTGTTGAGCATTGATAAGAAAAGATCATACAGAATTCACTGGAACATTATTGACGTGGCGAAATCTTTTCCAATGCCTCTGCAAGTATTCAATTAGCTTCGGCACGTCCTGCCTACGAAAGATGTCCCAAACAGCACCTCCATGTATAAACTTGGAACAGTCAGTATTACTCTGAAGGGCATCTTCAGCTGAAACTGGATTTTCCTTCAATGATGCTGAACTACTGGTGCTTCGGTTTATCCTGTCTGGTAAGCAACCTCTTTCTGGAACATCAATGTACCTTCCACAGCCGATTTCTTTGAATTTAGATTGATCGATTTTTTTCTCCAAACTCATGCACTTAGGCAAAACAGATGAACTAGCATCAATGAAGCTGGTTGTCTTATAAGGCTGATGGCTCAGAGAAGAATAGTTATACTTTTCAACTTCCACATCCATGACTCTTTCAATCCCAGAGGTGCCCAGTGTGCTTTTTTCCTGATTCAGACACTTGGGTAATGACTTACTCTCTGTGGGGATCCCGCTCGTTGACGAGCATTTCTTCAGATTGTCCTGTTTACTTTCAAAATTATAGCTCTCCTCACAGTCTCTTTCCAGAAAAGAGGCGATGGATTCTTCCAAGACGTGCGTGCCAAGACCATTAATCTGATCCATCACGTTCACATCTACAGCAGATTGCCAATCAGCATTTATAGCAACTGTATCTTCAAGAGGAGGAGGGCATCCCAGATCAGGCCGCGATTTGTTGAATCCCGCAGTTTCCAAACACACCGAGTCTAACATAGGAAAGGTTCTCTCTTGCTCTCCAACCGATGTCACATGCTTATTCATGTTTTCCAGTACGGAAGAGTAGTTTTCACTGAGGTCCCCTTTCTCCTCATATGCAGAATCCATGGTTTCATACCTGCAGAGCTGCTTTGGTGGTTTTCTTTTAGATGTGCAGAGTCTCTTCTGCGTCCCACTGCAAAGCTCATTCTGATCTTCATGTTCATATTCTTTCTGTAACTTGTGGATGATGTTGCATTGCCATGGGGGAATCTTCACATTGCCTGTGTTGGTCAGTATATTTACCTGGAATGAAGTTAAAAATGCAGTGACTGCACTTTGTAAGGCAGAATGAATTGCTCACAAGAAAATATTACATAACTCATAATGTGAGTCCATGAAAACATATGCATGCATCATATCAGAAATATAAGATTTAGGAAGTAAAGTTCATGAGCAACACAATGCCACAAAAGGAATTGGGGAACATGGAAAACATTACACAGCATCATGTGTAAAAAAACATTTCGGAATGTTGCATTAGGTTTTTCAAGGAAACCTTATCATTTAAAAATTGGCAGCCCATGAGATTAAAGTAAACAACTCAAATGCAACAGGGGAACTGTTCAAAAAAAATGCATCTGGGAGACATTTACAGGATAGGGGAAATCAACCAGCGTATTGAATGCTCATATCAAAATAATAAAAAGTTAGTCCTGCAGATCCAAATCAAACCTAACCACACAAAAAGATCAGCACAGATAAACTGGGGAAAAAAAAGAATAAACATATCCTCCAACAAACAGGAGGTAGATATTACGAAAACAGAGTGCAGAAGAAAGAAATCTATTCATTTCCAGAATGAACATACCGCATCAGAAATGTCAGAATGCAGTTTTGTCACTGAATCACCTCTCCCAAGCTCTTCAGAATATCCATAAGCAATATAAGTTTTGGGTCCCAAGTCTGGCTTTACAGCACCATCAGGAAGTTTTGTAGCAAGATTCAAAAGGCCTGATCTAGGATGGGTGTAATCACTGTACGGAAGCATGGCCATAAATTCAACACCATGCCGTGGCAGACATTCTTCAAACGAATTTGTTGGAGGCCAATCCTTCAGTTTCAACATCTCAGGCCACCCACTTTGATGCCTACGGCCCTCTAAGTAGCCCCTGAAGAACTGGTGAATACTAATCTCAACCTGCAACAAAAAAAAAGAAGTATAAATGGTCAAAAATTGCAACAGCACAAGATCTTTTTCACGAAAATGTCAGAAACTATAGGTCAGAATAAGGTTATATGTGGGCCACAACAGTCCATCAGTATTCTTGACACACTAACATCGTTCGGCGTGATAAAACTGGACAGAAACCAGATACTGCCAACAGTGATTCATTTATTTTAAAGACATATAGGATAGACAAACACAACTTCTAAGATCAATTGAAAAAGTAACTGGATAGAGAAATTCCTAGGTGCATGCATGGGAAACTAACCTGGGACATACCAAACATTGTAAGGGCCAAAGACAAATAAAAATACACAATTCATGTTCATACCTCACACCAATCCAAACAATCAATGGCCTTAACAGAGAAAGTCTCCTCTTTTAATTTTTCTCTTGCAGTTCTAAAGGCCCTCCACATGACCATTGGTTCCCAACTAAGACCAGATGTCTTTGCTAGTACATTTCTAACTATAACGGGTTCACCTCTCTGCCAGTGCATTTGAAAATGCTCAAACTCACTGTCTCCCAAGTCAACTGCATTTGGGCAGTAAAGAAAATTATCATGACTGTTTCCCCTGAAGGCTGCTTGCCTTACTCCAGCGTGATTTTCCTCATCTTGTGATGTGCGGGTATGGAGGCACAAAGAACATCCTTGTGAAAAGTCAATATCTGGTGAATGGTAATGGGAAGTTAGGTCCTCCGCATTCTCAATTAGTTTGACCACCCAATCTGCTTCAAAGATGCGCCTGAGCTCTAACATTCCAGTACCACAACCACCACGCTGTTTGGGAGCGCAAGGTATGCTACCATCAATCTTCGCACGCCATTCGGGAAAGTTACAGGGCATATGAGCCAGACAACCATTTGCTGGAGGAGCCATTCGGCTTTCCCAATCATTTGCAGAAATTTGCCCCTTTGCATCAGTAACTAGGCTATGAGATCTTTCAACAAACTGTTGAAGAGAAGATTCTGCTTCATTACCTCCAGGTTGGAGACCTTTTCTGAGTTCCCGACAACAATTGAGACAGAGATCATAAGAACAATCAGGATTTAGGCAGCTTCTGTGAAAATTGACGATGGATGTATTGCAATTGTCACTGTGAATAAGGATATGGTAAGCATAATTACCGATTTGTGCCATCATGAATTGAAATAAGAAAATACATTGCCTGAAAAATCTAACAAATTTCACGGCTAACCAACTATAGGAAGCAGGAGTTGAAAAAAGTTTGGAAGTAGGAGTCAAAGTCACACAAACGCGGACACCATGACACACAGAGGACATACCCATGAACACTATAAAATAGAAAAATACCAAATTCAACAGTTGTCATCCTTAAGGAAATGCTTGTGTGCCATTTGTGATGTTTCTCCCCCGCCCTGAGTGTTAATGGGTATTAATGTATCCAAAAACTTTGCAGTATTGGTGAATGGAATGCCTTCTTTTCCTCCCTTTTTTTTCCCAATAATGTTGATTACTGACATTCGGGCACGGTTTTGTCTCAACAACTCCAAACCATAAAGTAAAAGAGGGAAAAAAAAACACAAAATTCCAATAAAATGCAATACCATTTCTTTATATGCCATGATTTCGCTGATGAAATCTTCAACTATCAAATAATAGAGCAAGTTGCCAATCTCATCAATAAAAAAATTATAAAACAATTAAAGTTTTTCCTACCTTGCCTGCAGTAACTTCAATGGACATAATTTTTTACAAAATCTTCAAATTTTTCTCAAAAAATACAGCATATATATTTTGTGTACGGAGTTGAAAAGTTTTCAATTGTCAAACCACCAATTCATATAAAAACTTAAAGTTGTTAAAAGGGGTTGGAACATAAGTATTTATGTACTTCAACACATCCCCCGCATGTGTTGGATAGGTTTTGAGCTACGCAAGTGAAAGTCTTTTAATAGTTAGGGCGACCGCTAGTTTCGAATACAGGAGGACCTCTTGCCCTAATACCATCGTGATCCACCAATTCATCTAAAAGGTGTAACATAGGCATGTCTATATTTCAGCTTCAATCAATGATAGATGAAGTAAGATTTCACAGCCTAATAATTCTAATTAATAGAATTTGTTCCTCCCAAGTTTATTACTAGTTGGAGAGCTGACAGTAATGCAGACTTATTTTTGTTTTCCCAAAGGCAATACACAAAAAATCATTGTGTGTTAAAACAGGACATAACAGCAGAAGTCAATGCTGGGCCAAATTTTACAGAAATAAGATACTTAGAAGCTGTAGATCATGTTCTTTCCAACAAAAATCATACAAACAAGAAAATTCATTAAGGTCCAAAAGGAGTTTCCCCAGGAGGGATGAGAATATACCACACACACTAAGCTTTATTGCAATTACCAGACGGTTACAACTAACTCAAAAAAGCTGTGGGCTTTACTATTAAGTTTAAAGCCCATCCAATCCAAAAACGCAAAACCTTGCAACCCATGTCCTAAGTCTAACACAATCATTAGACTTCAATTCCCAATAATTTGAAAGCAGGTGCTGTAATTTTATAGATAGAGCATTTGAAACAAAACCGGAGTTTTCTCCTTTGTTTCCAGATCAGAAATGAAAACTGGTGTTTTCAGTCCAATAATTGGGAATGGGAGCATGAGAGTTTACCAGTACACTCGATCATCTTCATCAAGAATAGATTTTATTAGATCACCCTCTGTCAATTGGACGCCTACAAAATAACAGAGGTACAAACACATTATTAAACATCCTGAATTATATTTTTGTAGAAGAAGAACAACCTCCATCTTAAGCAAACATAATACCAAAGATGCCGGCTTCCGTCTCTAGTTCGGAGCTCTGCTCTTCTTGAATATGCCTGAGGAGAGGCAGAGTTTTGTGTAGCAAATAAAGCAATCTCTGTAATCTGGTATTCTCATCCACTTCTTTATGACAACCCTATTATAACCAAGTTACAAGGAAGTAAATAAACTACGTTAATTGGGGATGTTTTTCCTGCTGTAAATGACTCAGTAAATGTTCTGAGTAAGGAGAAGGAGAATACAATGGATAGGGAGGTTTCTAAGGGGAAGATGAATGAAAGAGAAGTTCCTGTTTGTGATATTAGAAAGCAATTTTCTCCATCAGCTGATTCTTCTTTTTGGGTGAATAATGAGCATTGTGCTCGTGGTAAATGTTCTTTTTCTGTAGATGATGAGAATGGTTTGGTAAGAAATAAAGAACCTCCTGATAAGGGGTTTTGCTCTGATTAGGAGAGTCCCATGAAATGGGCAGATCTTTCAGATAATATGGAAGGCATTGAAGAGCCTTTGGTTGATCAAGAGGTTGCCAACTCTACTGGTTCCAGTCCTAGGCAGACGCCTAGAGGTAATCTTTCTTTCTCTATTTTTTGATGAATTTCATGTTGTGGAATGTGAGGGGGAGCTAGGAAAGATGCTCTGAGAAGTAGATTAAAGAAACTAGTTTACCTGAACAAGATTGTTTTACTGGCTATCTTAGAACCTAAGATGGGATCTACTAAAATTAGAGGATTTGCATCTAGTGTGGGTTTATCTTCTTTTATGGTTAACTCTCTTGCTGAGAAGAATTTGTGGTTGTTATGGAGTGAAAGAGTGGAGGTTAAAGTGGTTATGGAGTATGAACAATCTTTATCAGTGACTGTCTCACACTTGGGTTCTTGCCCCAAAATAGTTACTGTGGTATATGCCTGTTGTGACCATGTGTTGAGGAGGCATTATGGCATCATTTACATTTGGTTGCAGCTTTTTTTGATTTACCTTGGTTAGTTATGGGTGATTTCAATACTGTTCTCAATTATGCTGAGAGATTAAGGGGAGTTTATCCTTCTAATGTTGCTATGAATGAATTTGGGAATTGTATTCATGAAGAAGGCTTAATTGATTGTGGTTTTGAGGGTAGTAGCTACACCTGGAGTAATAATCACCATGGGGCTACTAGAATGTGGCAGTGTTTGGATAGGGTACTTGTGAATAGTGCTTGGGTTACTAAATTTGAGAGTACTCAAATTTCTCATATGGCAAGAGGTAGTTCTGATCACTGCCCAATTCTAGTCAAGGTGGTGGAGTCTGGGTTCAACAAAGGATTTCATATTTTAAATTTTTGGATATGTGGACTTAAGATCATTCTTTTATGGATTTAATAAAAGTAAATTGGTGTGGAAGGTATTCAGATAATCCTATTGAAAATATGTTTTTGAAGATGAAGTTTCTGAAAGTTGAATTGAAAGAAAGGAACAAGAACGTGTTTGGTAATATTTTTGAAAAGATTCAGGCTCAAGAGGTGGAGTTGAGGAATGCTGAGAGGTGTATGGAAGTGGATAGTTCTGCGGATAATCTCAGGTCCTTGGAAAATGCTAGAAGACAATTGGAGTCCACTCTTAAATTGGAGAAATCTTTTTGGAGACAAAAGGCAAGTGTTAAACTATTGCCAAAAGTAAAGCTATCAGAGGAAATGTTAGCAAGATTAGAATGAGGAGGGAGTTTGGTTGGTTACTGAGGAGGAAATTTCTTCTCATGTTGTTTCCTTTTTCTCTAAATTGTATATATCTGAACCTCATGAATTGCTGGATAATATTTTTGAAACTATTTCTCCTATGGTTGGTGAGGTTGAGAATGAGAATTTAATTTGGGCTGCTTCTATGGAGGAGATTAAAGGTGTGGTGTTTTCAATGTCAGTGGAGAGTGCCCCAGGGGCAGATGGGTTTTCAGGCAAATTTTTTCATGTAGCATGGGAGATCATTTAGCATGATATGTTTGAGGCTGTTAATTTCTTTTTACAGTAACTTTTTATACAAAGTGTTTACGAAATTGCTGGCTAAAAGATTGGCTTTGTTGTTACCTTCATTAGTTTCTGAGGCACAGCATGGGTTCATATAGGGAAGGAGTATTGGAGAATGCATTTCTTAAGCTCAGTTTATGATAGGTGAGCTTAATAGAAAGGTGGAGGCTGGGAACATTGTTCTTAAACTTGATATGATGAAACCGTACGATAGAATGGAATGGGACTTTATTCAGAAAGTCTTAAAGGTGTTTTGGTTTGTCTGAGCTAGTTGTGACTATTATTGGTAATTGTTTCAAGAATCAGTGCTTATCAGTGTGCTTAAATGGACAGAGACATGGTTTTTTCCCAGCTTCTCGTGGTTTAAGACAGGGAGATCCTATTTCTCCCTCTCTGTTTATTCTGGCAGAAGAGGTTCTCAGCAGGGGGTTGACTAAGCTTTTTGTTGAAGGGTTGGTGAAGCACTTTCATGCTGGTAGAGGGACAATAATGATTTCTCATTTGCTGTTTGCAGATGATACATTATTGTTTCTAAGGGGAAATAAGAGTTCTTTGGTGAAGTTGCTGGAGTTTTTGAATTTGTATGAAGGTTGTTCTGTGCAGAGAATCAGCAGGCAGAAAAGTTCATTGATTTGTTCATCCAGAATTCCTCAGCACAGAGCTTTAATGTTGTCCAGATTAGCTCAAATACCTATTAAAAAGTGCCCAATTACTTATTTGGGTTGCCCCTTGGTGAGTGGTAGGAGTCGATTGAGAGATTTTGAAGAGCTTGTTCTGAAATTTAAAGCTAGAATAGAAGCGTGGCAAGCTAGATTACTTTCTAACATGGGGAGAGTGGTGATGGTGCAGTCTGTGTTAAATTCTGTTCCTGTACATTTTCTGGCTTGTTTGATTTTGCCTAAAGGGATTCTATCCAGATTGAATTCTCTGATGGCTTCTTTCATTTGGTCTGGTAAGGCAGGTGTTAAGAGAAGGCATTGGGTTTCCTGGCAGGGAGTTGCTAGACCAAAACAAGAAGGGGGCCTGGGGATTAGAAGGTTTGAAGATGTTCAGATAGCTTTCAGAATGAAGCAGATTTGGGGGATTTTACAGGGACAGTCTCTTTGGGCTAAAGTTTTCACTGCAAAATTTTTGAAGGGAGGTCATGTTTTGAGATGTCTCAGTCATGGTAAGTTGGAAATTTTTAAAATGCTGCAGCCTTGGATTGATATGGTGGTAAGGAATTCTTTCTCAATTGTGGGGGATGGAAGTTCAGTGGATTTCTGGTGTTCCAATTGGTTGGGATCTGGTCCCTGTTGCTAAGGGTTTCTGAGTTCCCCGTCGGTTCTCTCAAACTTTCTGAGGTATACGTTGATAATAGGTGGCAGTGGCAAGTGTTGGGGTATCTTTTTAATGATCAGCTTAGAGAGGAAATTTTATCTTCTGATGTTAGTTTGTCTAACAGGTCTGATTGTTTGGTCTGGAAGCCCACTGTTAATGGTCTTTTTTCTGTCAAATCAGCTTGGCAGCTTGTTAGGAATGATGGGAGGGTCAATCCAGTGACTTCTGCTATCTGGAAGCTTTCTGTTCCTCCTAGTGCTAAGTTGTTGGGATGGAGGCTTCTGAACAATGCTATACCTTTGGATTCCAGATTTCAGTCCATTGGGGTAAGTCTGGCTAGTAGGTGTTCTTTGTGCTTTGCTGAAATGGAGACTGGTTCTCATCTTTTTGTTCATTGTAGTTTTGCTGCTATGGTTTGGTCCAAATTAGCAGCTTTTTGTGGTTTTCATTTGATTAATAGAGAATCTCCAATAATTAGGATGGTGAGAATGGGGAGAATCTTTAAGAAAGGTTCTCTGTATCATGCTCTGATGAGAGGACTGTCATTGGTAGTGTACTGGCTTCTTTGGAAGGAAAGATGTAGGAGGGTTTTTGATGAGGGTTGTTTGTCTTCTCATGCTATTTTTTTAAGGGTTTGTGAGGTTGTAAGGATGCAAGCTAAGGTGTTCAGACCATGTGCAGTAGAAAGTGAAAGGGGCAAGGAGGTTTTGCAGGCTTTGGGGATTGAGTATGTTCAAAAGATTCAGATTATTGCTCTGTGGGTAAGATGGTTTCCTCCTTTATATGGAATGCTGGAAATTAATGTTGATGGGGCTTCTAAAGGGAATCCTGGTAGAGTGGGGGGTGGAGTAGTGGTTAGAAATCATTGGGGTCACCTGGTTCTTGCTGCCTCTTTTTATTTTGGGGAGTGTTCAAACATGGAGGCAGAGTTAAGAGCATTGGGAGATGGTCTGGTTTTATTGGAGAGGCATAACCTGCTTGGTAATCAGTTTCAAATTGAAACTGATTCTGAGGTTATGGTACAGATGGTCTTAACAGGGCACTATAGAGCTTGGAAATTCTGGGGACTGTTGAGACAGATTTTGGGGAGATTGGACTGTTTGGAGTACACTCTGCCGCATGTTTACAGGGAAGCAAACTGCCTGGCAGATTATTTTGCTAATCTGGCAGTGCTGAATGGCTGCTCTTCTGAATTTTCCCAACGCCTGTCTATTCCTGTGCAGGCAAGGTTGCTGTTATTGTATGATCAGCAAGGGCTGCAGCTGTGAGGAAGAAGAGGAAATTTCTCCAAATTTTCTTTATGCAATTTTGATATTTTTGGAATTTCATTGATGTAATTCTTTGGATTATAGGATGTCTTGAAGGATTAAAGCCAAATTGGTTTTAATTCTCTTTGTTTCTTGTAATTTTTGATTCATGCAAAAAAAATTCCTCTTCTTTTAAAAAAAAAAAAAAAACTACGTTAAGGATGAATATTCAAAAAAGACAATAAAAACGAGAAATCCAAGGCACATACCTTTAAAATTACATCCTCTTGAAGGCATGCATTACAATTGCAATTACCACGACAGAATGGACAAGCACTCCTGATTTCCTCGTTCGTTCGCTCAGGGTACCTATTTCATTTATTTTTAGCATGTATGACTACCAACACTTCAGGAAGAAAAAAAAACAATTCACATGACATTATGAAACAAATATTTATGAGAATGTTCTATCCCCATCCTCTAGAATTTCAAAAACTGATGAAATCATAAACAAAGCCAAACAATGAGAAGGTGCAAATTTCTTTTTGATAGCATTTCAATCCCAAGTTTGCTGAATTTCTAAACTGAAGGTTGTCTTAAAACTAAATTTTTTAATGAAAAAGGCTTTGTAAGTTCTTGTTACCACTTCGTGATGCACTTGTAGCAGTAGCGTTTCCGTTTACAATTTGAGCAGAAGACAACACCAGTTTTATCATTTTTCCGGCATTGGTGACACATCAAACTCCCCTTCTCCTGTTTGCAGTATGTAGCATCCTGGATTAGAAATCTGGATAAAATGACAGGAAGATGCAACATACAAATAAAACATAATACATTCAGATGCTATAATTTTAGATATCCATCAAATGACGCACAAACTAGACAATTAACAATCTGCTTGACAAAACAATCGAGTGTAACTACTAACTAGACAACTAACCAATAAATGATGCACCAAGTACAACAGTGCAAAAAAAATGATATATTTCCTTCAATTTTTCCCCTTCTTCCTCTTGCATGACTATTTTGTTTTGCAAATCTTCCCTCTTTTGTTACTACTCCAGTGCCCACCACAAAAAGATGACAGAAAACAACTTGGTGAGGGCACGGAGACTGATATAACAAGGACAACGTTCTGGGGATTCTTGTACAGTTCAGACATAGTGATGCGTATGCTTATCTGATAAATTTCTGGTATTGACCACATATATGAATCAATGCACCCTATTAATTAATTTTATTTTTTTTTAATCAAGAAACATTTTACTGCACTTTCAAAACATCCTATTAATTAATGACACCCAAGCTGATGTCCTTTTAGGTACTCACATAAACTTCTTCACGGATCACTTGATTACCACTCAGGCATTCAGCTGCAGTTGGTAATGTCCTTGCATTTCTTTGACTAAAAGATGTCTTGTTTTTATGCAGATCGAGCTCCAGATTTGATGGGTTATTATGAATCTTTTTTCACATGGTTAATCTTAATACAAATTTCTCTGTAGAATCTAGTCAGCACTTACTAGCTTAAAAGACTGACAAATTATAGTTTCCAAGGGAGCGGTAGCAACCAATTCTTGCTCTCAACATCTATTAACTGTTAGCTATTAACTGTTAAAAAAGGTAATCCCAAAAAATGGACAGCCTCTATTTACTGTTAGCAGAACATTCTGTTCTCAACATCTAAATTGAGTATGATATCTTGCTCAATTCCATAAACACGCCCTCCAACAGTGCTATGGAGCAATTTGACTTGACAACATGCTTCTTAGCAAAGTAAACCATGCTAAAGCAATTTAATATGTCAAAATGCCATAAACTGTCATGAAAGTGGTCACCAGAGCCCAGGCCCCCTTGACTTCTATACTTCATATAAGTGATTACAACTATGATGTCCAAAAAATTAATCACCCAATAAAGATGAAGAATTTGGATGAACTTACTGATGTTCCTGAAGGTGCCGATTCATTTGCCTTTCCTTTCTCACTAGAATTTTCGTCAGATAAGCATCTGGGTTTGTAAAATTCATCCCCAAACCTTCTTGGCATTCCTCCACGCATTTCCAGAACACCCTTGGATTCAGCAAAAAATTCTCCAGCATTCTTGTCTATCACTAAATCTTTTTCCTTTCTGTTAGAACAGGCAAAGATTTCACCAACCATGATTAAACGTGGTGTTTTCACAGATCCCTTGGGTCGGCCACGTCCACCCCTCCCCTTAACAGTTGTATTAGTACCTTCATTACCACCCACACCTTCACCTTTATCTTCATCTGCAGCAAGAACTTTCTTCTTCTCTGAACCCCTGGGTTGGGCAAGTATATCCTTCTGCTTAACACTTCCATCTCCATGGTCATTACCAATCGCTATTATGCTTAGCCTTCCCATATTTCTTTCAGCCGTAAGAAGTTTCTTCTTGTTCTTTGAACCCTTAGGCCTTCCGCGACCACCCTTCTTTTTGACAATGCCATCTTCCCCATCATTACCACTTGCAGGTTCACCCAGCATTGCTTCATTTCCTTGAACTGGAAGAAGTTTCTTCCTGTTCTTTGAAGCCTTCGGCCGGCCATGACCATCCTCCTTTCTAGCAATCCCATCTCCACGATCACAATCGGTTGCAGTTTCACTCAACATTCCCTGATTTTCAATAGCTGCAATAATCTTCTTCTTATTCTTTGAACCCTTAGGCCCACCACGACCATTTACCTTTTTAACAATTGCATCTCCACCATCAGTACCAGAAGCAGTTTCACTCGGCATTCCATGATTTTCAATATCTTTAACAATCCCATCTCCACCAGCAGTACCAGTGGCAGTTTCACTCAGCATTCCCTGATTTTCTACAGCTGCAATAATCTTCCTCTTATTCTTTGAACCCCTAGGCCGGCCACGACCATTGACCTTCTTAACTATCGCATGATTGGCATCTCCACCATCATTACCAAAAGCAGTTTCACTCAGCATGGCATGATTTTCAATATTTTTAACAATCCCATCTCCGGCATCAATTCGAGCAGCAGTTTCACTCAGCATGCCCTGGTTTTCAACAGCTACAACAATTTTTTTCTTATTCTTCGAACCCTTAGGCCTGCCGAGACCATCCCTCTTTTTCACAATTCCATCTCCACCATCATTACCAGCAGCAGTTTTGCTCAGCATACCTTGATTTTCAGCTGCTACAACAGTTTTCTTCTTATTCTTTGAACCCTTAGGCCGTCCACGACCATCCTTCTTCTTATTCTTTGAACCCTTAGGCCGGCCACGGCCATCCTTCTTCTTAACAACCAAATCTCCACCGCCATGAACAGCAGGAACATCACCTAACATTCCCCCACTATCCTCAGCTGCAACAGTTTTCTTCTTACTCTTCCAGCTCTTGGGTCTCCCTCTCCCATCCTTCTTCCCTATAATAACGTCACCGTTGCACCTGTTTCTTGCAATAACCTCATCCAACCGCCCTTGAAGTCCTTCACTACCAAGAGTCAGACCAGCATTAACGCCTGTGACTTCACCGAGAATCTTTTTCTTCTTCTTATTCTTTGATCCTAACGGTCTACCCAACTTTCTTTTCCGAACCAGGCTGTCAGTTCCACCACCATTTCCACCGTGACCTCCTTCACCATTAAGACTAGAACCCCCAATTTCAGTCCAAGAGACCATAAATTCATCACCGTAAACGACCAGACCGTAATTTCCGCTGGACGGCACCACAAGGGAGTTGTTATCGAGAAGTGGATCGTCATAAACGCTAGTAGCTCCACCGGCCTCCAGCGCCATTTCCGACTGAACTACTTGACGCTCCGGTGGGTCGAGATTCATGTGCGACTTTGTCAGCGCTCTCTCTGTACACTTCCAGTTTGGTTTACCTCTCCTACACCACCACTTGTGATGCAATTGTTTCCAATTTCTTCACCCTAACAAAAATCTCAATCTGCTGATATTAAGTGACACCAATCCTTCCGAACAAATGCACCTTGTTTCGAATTCGAATTTTGAAACCCAGACGGCAATGATTATAAATCTACGCTGGTGCAGCCATTTTTGCTTTCACAGTAAAATGTCTATGGTTTTTCCCTGTGCGAAAGATAAGGGAGACGGTGATTTTCATGGTAATCGGTGGAGATTTTGACCATTCTTCTTTTTGATCAACGGTTGTTAGTTAAAGTAGTGTCCTAGCCCTAGGTTAATAATAACTACCTACTATTCTTTCATATAAATTAATTAGTCACCGCGCATGTGCACGAAAGTACGACAAAACATAAAATTTTAACCTTCAAAAAATTAATTTTATTATATTAAATAATTATTTTTATTTCTTTCATCAAAATTTTTTAAACCCATTATTTTTTAAAAAATATTGACAATTTTTTTTTCAATATATGTATATTATTGTGTGTGAATAATGTCTCAAATAAAAATTATTTTAAATTATAAATTAATCAAATATTAAATAATTAAATATGTGATAGAAATAAGTGATACGATAATTTTGGGAAGAAAATGTACAAGGAATAAAATTCAATTTTTTATGTATTTTATTATATAGATTATACAGAAGTTGCTTACCCTTTCCGAGAACAATTGCATATATAGTCATAACATGTGCCAAAAAATCGATTTCATTATATGAATTCTTTCATTTCTTTGATTATATCATTTAAATTTAATTTTATCCATTATTTTCTTTAAAAAACTAAACAAAATTTTATCAAAATACGTAATCTTGACAAAAAAATTTTAACATGCGTACACTATCACGTATGCCCAATGTCTACAATAAAAATTGTGTTAAATTACAAATTAATCAAATACTAAAGGAAATGTGATAAAAATAGATGATGTAATATTTTTGAGAGGGAAATGTGTAGAGATAACATTTCAAATACCTAACTAACTTATTATACAGATAACTCCTCAAACAGAATTTACTTTACCCAATTAAAATTTTATTATTAATTAGTAACATCATTTCGTTAATGTTAATATGGTATTGGATTGAATAATTACTGAGTGATACTTGAAAATTCTTCATACCATCCAATCCATTTCAAGTATGACCCGACTTGAATTTAAAATGCCTCAAACTTGATAATATACAAAAAATTAATGTAAGAAAAATAATACTATTTTAGTACGAATAATAAATAGATCATATTAATTTTAAATACAAATAACTTAATTTTGACACAATAAACTTGTTTAGATAATAATATTGCATGGAGAAGATAATTAATTTTTTCAATACTTTTGATTTAGTGATATATGAATTTGCATAGAATTAAATAATTTTTATTTAATATTATTAGAATGGGGATCATCTTGAGAAGAAAATATTTCAATCTTCAGATTTTGAACTGTCAACTCAATTAAAATCCCAAGTTCACATAAATCAAAATATCATGATTCAAATATAACNGGAGAAGATAATTAATTTTTTCAATACTTTTGATTTAGTGATATATGAATTTGCATAGAATTAAATAATTTTTATTTAATATTATTAGAATGGGGATCATCTTGAGAAGAAAATATTTCAATCTTCAGATTTTGAACTGTCAACTCAATTAAAATCCCAAGTTCACATAAATCAAAATATCAACTTGAAATAATATAACACGGTCATCCTTTTTCAGTGCAGTGTTGAACAACTCGCTAATAACTTTCCATTACCAATTTTATATACCAAACTAATGCTACTAATTAGATTAATGAGTCTCATGGACTCCTACAAGATACCCAAAAATTGTAAGTATCTATTATATCATTTGGGGTGGAGCAAAATTAGATGCAAGAGTCTAGTATACATGAATTTATTCNCTCATGGACTCCTACAAGATACCCAAAAATTGTAAGTATCTATTATATCATTTGGGGCGGAGCAAAATTAGATGCAAGAGTCTAGTATACATGAATCTATTCTATTTTATTTACGACCAGAAATTGTAAAATGGTTTAACATCCTCAATCTTTTGGAGTGCACTTCCCTACCTCTATGGCTTTTGTCAATTTTCTCATACAAAAATTTCACGTGGACTATGGGATTGGTGAATCTTGTTATGTTGCACTAATAAGTAATTATCCAATGGATGTAACTATACCACGTCATCAAGAACAACATTAGCAGGGAGAAAAAGGTCATTAACACTAGCAACAGAGACCCAATCACGCCACTAAAAGGTCATTAACTCTTTATCTCTAATCTAATTATTCTCTTTCATCCATCTAGTCATCAAAATTAGGACAGCAAAAGCAAGTGTATGCAGCTGACTTTCTCATACTCCCCCAAGATGACCAAGCATTGTTTAAGCTAAGCCAAGCAAGCTGAGTAATCTGGCAAATTCAAATGCTCTGCCTGTAAGTACTAAAATCCCCAAGTCTTGATGAGTCAACAGCCTCATAAAGTACTTCTAATTCACTGCCCAAAACTGCAAATTATATACATGATTCTACTTAAAGTCAACCCAACCCCCAAAACACATCGACTGTTGGCCAAACCACATGGTACCTATATCCATCCACTTTCCCCACCCCACCTCCAAGACTCGATCTAAATCATAGGATAAAAAATAGACCCACAGGAACACAATGACAAATGTCTATAGAATTTACCCCCAAGCAATAAGGAATAAGGATGCCTAAGCTAATCCTGCCTCCGCAAAATCTGGGTTCAAAGAAAATAATTCCTCCAATTGAACCCTATAATGCACATGCCTTGCATTTCCACCAAGATTCACATTCACTTCTAGTCCACAAGGATCCCACAATAAATTGAAGTAGGAATTGATTAACAGTCCATAGAGCTTTGATTTCCTCAGCTGGTTGATAGTGCACTCGTTCCCCATGCATTTATCAGCTCAGAGTTGATCTGTCCCGCCCTGCCTGAGTATGATGCTGCACATTATATTCAGACATCTTAAATTTGTTGATGAACATAAAAATATCAGATAACTCAGGAGAACGTGTAAATGCAAAAAGCTTTCTCATCTGGCCTCTTCAGATCAATAGGCCTCGATGTACATCATTTGACAAACAAAGTAATCCTTCCCAAGCATTTTTTCATCATCTTAAAGAGACTGCATCAATGGGTAGTGTCAACTATTTTTTACTCTCAATTGCATTGTTTGATGGGCTTGCTAGAGTTGTAAAGATAAAAAAAAATGGGAAAAAAGGAAACAAGTTTTTATAAATACTGATTCACTTCCTTTTTTTTAATTGACAACTAATTCAGCAATTAGATTGTCAGAAAAGCCTTTGAGCACGTAAACCAGAAAATCTTCAACTTTTACACCAAATAACACCTTTGCGCTGAATATTCCCAGGACAAATCTTCTCTATGAAGAAGATGATGCCAAAAACTGTACCAANCAGAAAAGCCTTTGAGCACGTAAACCAGAAAATCTTCAACTTTTACACCAAATAACAAATTTGCGGTGAATATTCCCAGGACAAATCTTCTCTATGAAGAAGATGATGCCAAAAACTGTACCAGTTAATGAGGGTTTTAAGTGCTATTGAATGTAAATAGCACAAACAATCTACATCAATAAGAAAAAGGGTAAAAATCCCACCACAGTAAGTACATGGTGACAAAAAGCAAAAGTGGGCAAATAAAATCATTTTAGACCTGAACACTATAATAGTTGATGAGCGTCGAGCAAATAATGAAAAGGCATATAAACAAAGCAGCTGAAAATGCTGATGTTAGCATGGATGTGTGGTGAGAAATGACAGAATTATAAATGAATACATCCGTCAAATGATAAAAGTGAGACAAACAAGAGATGAATTAAGNGCGTCGAGCAAATAATGAAAAGGCATATAAACAAAGCAGCTGAAAATGCTGATGTTAACATGGATGTGTGGTGAGAAATGACAGAATTATAAATGAATACATCCGTCAAATGATAAAAGCGAGACAAACAAGATATGAAGGATATGCTAGATTATGTTTGAACCAAAAAGGGAATTAACTACAATGATTGGGACACACTTAAAGAATAGTGCACCAGTGAGGAAGATTGGTGTAGTTCATGTTGATGGTAATACTAGGAATAGAAGTAAGGGGTAGAAGTACAGCAAAATAAACATTGACTGAAATAGATATGAAGGATATGCTAGATTATGTTTGAACCAAAAATGTGACCCTAGACAAAGTATAATGGCGTATTGGCGTTACAGGATTCACGTAACCGATAACAAAAAGATGTGTTTAGTCATTGTTGAGTTAAGGAGTCAAGGAAAAATAATTGCTTGTTTAATGCATCATTTTTTAAAACTATTTATGTTCACCATAAAGGGAAAGAAGAAGCAAGAAGAAAACTAAGACAGAATCCGCCTGCAGAGCATTTTCAAAAACTGTTTTTTTCAAGTTTCCTGAAAATGGTCCATCTTCAAGATCCTACTAGAAGTTGTTTTCTGTCTTTTAAAGCACTCAAGTTTATCAAAATGCAAACAGCCACTGTTCTTCAGAATCTTCATTGTTCTCATTTGCAGTTTGGAAAACAATGTCCATAGCATCGTTCTCAGCTAATTAAAAGAAAGATGTCACCAAAATAAGGATTCAAGATTATAAATTGTAAACAACAAGAGACCATATTGGTATAGACAATTTTATTTTTCAGTTCCAATGAAAAAAATGGAATGNGATTATAAATTGTAAACAACAAGAGACCATATTGGTATAGACAATTTTATTTTTCAGCTCCAATGTAAAAAATGGAATGTTAGTCATAAACCAAGTAAAACTACAATACACTGCTAATTAAGATATGCTCAGGGTATTACCTGAGTAGCATATGATGAGCTTTGTGCAAGGAACTTGACAAACTCTTGCTTCTTTATTTCATAGTTGAACTTTGCAAGATCCAATAAACCTTGTTCTCTCTGCATATCTTCCAGTATTCTTTCCTTTTTCCATTTCATATCCTTCATTCGATCTTCAGTTTCAAAATATTTCTCAGGTAAATTTGACCTCCTGGAGCTTTTTGGAAATTTTACATCTAGATCTTTCCTGAAATAAGAGAAATTTAAAGAAAAAATGTAGCAGCAAAATAACAAGAGAATCACAAATGGTTTTAAGTCCACAAAAAAAAACAAGAAGCTTAACACGATACAGTTGAGACACATAGGTACCTAGCCTGCCCATCTATACTTTAGCAGGTCAACATTTTCTGCAAAGGGTTTCAACATAATCCCTGCATAGACGCAACTGTTGGTGATAACAAAACCAGTAAAGTAGAATAAATAAGGATTTCATATCCCTGGCTCTGAACTGTACAAATTTTCAGCAAGCTTACAAGCTCCAAGTGTACATGACAAGCAATTTGTGCAGAAAGTGAAGAAGTTGCCTCTCTTTTTTTTTTAAGACCATCAGAAGTAGTTGAAACTTTGTCCTCACACCATTTGGAGATAATTTACTAAGTGACAGATTTCCATAGATTAACTTCTGCTGCAACAGCCATAATTGTTACCTTACCGAAAACATATACTGCCACACAATATTGACTACTGCTTACAAGAAAATCATGCACATCATGACAATCCCAACAATCTCAAGTTGATTTTTGCAAGATTTCGAAGGCATGATCAACACTCCACTCAAGTCCTACCATTCCAAAAGCTAGAAATGTTTCAACTAGATGACTACAGTTTAAAGAGAGTCATCGGCTTCAAGGATATTGAAATCAAAAGGAAAATGTAAGCTTCCTCTAAGTTGCAGCAAATCATATGCTTTAACATTTTGAATAGAAATATCTAAAAAAAAATATTTATGGTGTGTTATTACAGAAAATAATGCAAGGGTGAGCTCCTTACTTATTTCCCAGGGAAAACACACCAGTGCTCCTTATTATCCCACCATCCAAAGATAGGGCTCCATCACTTATTAAAGGGAGAGCCTCTAGCATGTCTGCCCTTGTTCTGTAAACTTGCAGTCGCGAGAAGAGACTATAGAAGAGAGTCTCTCTAAGTCCATGCCCAGTGGTTGTGAGACAGTATAAGTTCATACTATCGACACTGATCATATTCACAGCAAAACCAAGAAAGCCAGGTGGAGATTCGCCATTCTGTAATTTTGGCTTTAGAAGATCAAGCCTTCTTTGTGGGTCATTAGCTATGAACTCACCAACATATGGTCTGAGCACACAACCAAGAAGTGGGGGTGAGATAATAGAAAAGAGAAGTCTTCAGGGTATACATAAGCTTAAACTTCAGATTCCCAAACAAAGACATCATATGCACCACATACCTAAGGTGTTCCAAACAAATGACAAGGAATCGACCGCTCAATGGCCTCCCAATAGAAGCTCCAAGACCATGAAGACCAGAACCTGTAACTATAGAACCATCTTTTTCATATGTCTCCAAAGCTTTAACACCATCATACGTCTTGCAAACAACTGCCATCATAGTTTCCATCCCCAAGTACTCAGAGAGACGCCTGGGTTACAGAGTACAACACGAAATCAAAAACAGATTAATAAAGTAGCTATTCTCACAATACTCCTCACTTTCATGCTTTCTGGCTTCATCCACAAACTAGTTTCATCGGAGATGGATCTTAATGATAGGCAGAGAAACTGAGTGTGACTCCTAACCAGTTGGCAACTATGTAACACCNCAAGAAAATCATGCACATCATGACAATCCCAACAATCTCAAGTTGATTTTTGCAAGATTTCGAAGGCATGATCAACACTCCACTCAAGTCCTACCATTCCAAAAGCTAGAAATGTTTCAACTAGATGACTACAGTTTAAAGAGAGTCATCGGCTTCAAGGATATTGAAATCAAAAGGAAAATGTAAGCTTCCTCTAAGTTGCAGCAAATCATATGCTTTAACATTTTGAATAGAAATATCTAAAAAAAAATATTTATGGTGTGTTATTACAGAAAATAATGCAAGGGTGAGCTCCTTACTTATTTCCCAGGGAAAACACACCAGTGCTCCTTATTATCCCACCATCCAAAGATAGGGCTCCATCACTTATTAAAGGGAGAGCCTCTAGCATGTCTGCCCTTGTTCTGTAAACTTGCAGTCGCGAGAAGAGACTATAGAAGAGAGTCTCTCTAAGTCCATGCCCAGTGGTTGTGAGACAGTATAAGTTCATACTATCGACACTGATCATATTCACAGCAAAACCAAGAAAGCCAGGTGGAGATTCGCCATTCTGTAATTTTGGCTTTAGAAGATCAAGCCTTCTTTGTGGGTCATTAGCTATGAACTCACCAACATATGGTCTGAGCACACAACCAAGAAGTGGGGGTGAGATAATAGAAAAGAGAAGTCTTCAGGGTATACATAAGCTTAAACTTCAGATTCCCAAACAAAGACATCATATGCACCACATACCTAAGGTGTTCCAAACAAATGACAAGGAATCGACCGCTCAATGGCCTCCCAATAGAAGCTCCAAGACCATGAAGACCAGAACCTGTAACTATAGAACCATCTTTTTCATATGTCTCCAAAGCTTTAACACCATCATACGTCTTGCAAACAACTGCCATCATAGTTTCCATCCCCAAGTACTCAGAGAGACGCCTGGGTTACAGAGTACAACACGAAATCAAAAACAGATTAATAAAGTAGCTATTTTCACAATACTCCTCACTTCCATGCTTTCTGGCTTCATCCACAAACTAGTTTCATCGGAGATGGATCTTAATGATAGGCAGAGAAACCGAGTGTGACTCCTAACCAGTTGGCAACTATGTAACACCTAGTTCGACTTGCTTGTTGAAAAACATGCTCACCCATAAACACACTTCAGTGATGAAACTATTTTTAGATGGTCACGGACTCGACAAGTAAATTAAATGGCATTGGACAGAATAATGCAATGCAATAATTTTTGGTTATGGCCAAACAAAGCAACAAAGAAAAGATTGAATGCCGCTGAACTATAAATTTTTGTACAAGCACATTGCAGAAAACACATAACAATAAAAACTACAAAATCAAACCAACCTGCTGAGGCTATCGTCATCTACTTTGCCAAGAGTTGCAACAATCCCAAGCACATCCTTGGTCAGCGGAATATTAAAAGCCTGAGTTCCATGACGTGTTTTCAGCTGGCACAAAATGCCAGCTGCAGATTTCTCATGCTGTAAGATATGTTCCACCGTCTCATCCTCACTCTTTATGTGTGAAAGGTCCTCGTTTTCGGTCATAGGTAAATTTGATGAATGAAACTTGCCAAGAGCAACTATAAGAATACATGTTAGCAGAAAGTAACAAGAAAACAGTCATAAAGGTGCACCATATATGATATCATGATAGCCAATGTCTTAAATTTCTTTGACTTTTAAGAATTTATATTTTAAAGTGATCAGTTGATCTAAGTTTGAAATAAAACTTATTAAAATAGAAATATAATTCTTTATTTACCTTTCATAAGCTCCTTAACTAAACTCCACTTCATTGTAATTGAATGAACAAACTTGATGCTTATAATGTCTTTCCATGTACTTGAGTTATGCCTCTTGGCATTTTTCACTAAGTTGCCATTGTAAAAAATAAGTAAGGAAAAAGATGAAGATGATGATTAGGAGGTATATAATCAGTTTCTGTAAAGAGGAGCTAAACCTATGAGAGATTTTCGTCAATGGGCAACAGTCACACCATGAATAACATCAATAACCTTTGTCAAATAGCTAAAGGCAGAAAATGTATCTGAAAGATTGGCAAACCATGACCTTATGGAGATATTGTTTCATCTTAGACGTGATACCAAAGCACCAAATGTTTAGTCTTAAATATGAAATACATATGCATTATATCCACTTTGTCATTGTGTGCCTAAACGTCTTGACCCTCTTCTTTCCAATCTGCAATTTTCAATAGAGTAAATAATTCATTGCTGACATTGACAAAAAATGAAACTTGGAGATACCTTGCATGTCTAGAATTGAGTCATCCAGTCTGTTTTTCTGATTCTTTATGGATTTAATATTATCTTCGTGCTGTTTAATGCTTCGACCAAGCATTTGAAGATCATCCTGAAGTTTCTGCTATGATTAAAGCAACTCAATGTTACACTGCTTGACCACTTACTCCTCAGAATTGAAAAAAAAAATATTTCAAACAAAAAAAAAAAAGAATAACAAAAAAGAAATTCAACAAGTTCTCACATTTTCTTTATAACTATTACAACTCATTATAGTAAAATGCATGGCAAAAAACCTCTGAAGTTTTGAAGTAGTGTTCACGACCTTAGAATTATCAAAAACCGATTGCGCCTTGCAAAGTTCTCTGTTTTGCATTTCATTGTTTTCATCACTTCCAAACATACCGGAATTATTCTGACCCACATGCTTCAGTGATGATGAATCTTGGANGTTTTGAAGTAGTGTTCACGACCTTAGAATTATCAAAAACCGATTGCGCCTTGCAAATTTCTCTGTTTTGCATTTCATTGTTTTCATCACTTCCAAACATACTGGAATTATTCTGACCCACATGCTTCAGTGATGATGAATCTTGGCTGGCTAATGCCTTTGCATGGAGAACAATCTGTAATACAAAACCATCATGCTTATCTAAATATCTGATATAAGCAAATGTGCTTAGGTATTAGGAAAAGCTCAAAAAGCATCTTAAGAATATAGTGAACACTAATCACGCATACATGGATCAATATAAAAACAAGAATAAAAGACATCATTTCAGTTTGTTTAGAGGGTCAACTCCAAACCACCATTGAAAATATCCAACACTCTGAGTTACAAAGTTTGAGAAAGACGATTTTCTGATACTGACAGAAGTGTCTCTGTATCCCCCTGATTAACTTTTCTGAAGCAGAAAAGAAACATACTTCTCAAAGAGTGAAGTGTTGAATTTATCCTTCTTTTTCTGGAAAGTATCATGACTTTATTCAAAATGCTCCTTAGAACTTTTATCATGAAAGAATCTAGCTGATGTTTTCAAACCATTCTGCACTTAATCAAAAAAATTGTCTGCTTTCTAACAATTGCACTGTCAAAGTGTCAATACACAGATAATATAATGTATCACTTTCATTCAGTCCACCTAATTAAAATTCTTCAACAACTTAACTCACTGATACCAAAATACCAATGGTAGGCAACCTCCTACTATCATTATACACATTCCAATGGGTGTTTTCCATAATTTCAGTTGGGCAAAGCTACTTTCAAATTAAACATATGTTTATCTTTCAAATCCAAATTAACAAAAGTTTTTTTTTTCCTTAATTTTAGAACTTCCATGATTTGTGAATTTTTAAATTGTGTGTTCTCTTTTGAATATGTATATACATATATAGGCACATATACATACACACATACATGTAAATTGTTAATTAAACCCTTTTACAACACACACACACACACACACAGAATGCAGCTCACTGAGTTCACAAATTATATGACATTGGCAAAACTTATACATGCAACCTCAAATAAAAGCATTTTGACTTGAATTTTGGCAGTTAAAGGTACTAAAATACTCGAGATAGCAAATGCTAAACCCTAAGAATCGAAGGAGATACATACCTGATTGTTAGACTGAAACATGACCGAAACTATCTAGACCCCCCCGTCTCTCTCTAAATCAATATATGTAAAAGCCCTCTCTCAGACTGTTGTCTCTCTAGATTTCCCCTGCTTGGGGATTGTAGCTTGGCCACAGAGAGAGAGACAGAGAGACAGAACCATGCGGCAAGGCTCCGGTACTGATTCCTTTCAATTTCTTTAGATAAATCATCTACCGTCAATTTCTGTTCAAAAAAAAAATCATCTACCGTCATTTCAAATACGATCCAATTATATTAAAATGAAGGGCCCACAATTATAAAATAGGAAACAATTAAACAACCATATGACCCGTACATTTAGGAGAAGACTAACTGGTTTTATTTTGTTTATTTATTTTAAAATTTATATAAATAAAATATAACGTTTTAAAATATCTTTAATAGGTTCTTTATTTTCACTCAATTCCCTATTTTAGAAAATTAACTCTTAAAAATCTATTTCCAATAGGTTCTCTATTTAGATTAATTATAATATAGAGTCTGATTTGATTATCTATATTTGNAGAAAATTAACTCTTAAAAATCTATTTCCAATAGGTTCTCTATTTAGATTAATTATAATATAGAGTCTGATTTGATTATCTATATTTGAAGAGTCAAATTCACTCTCTATTTGATCATTAATGAATTATAAGATGACACATGTACCTTTTTTATTAAATGAAAAACTATTCTCCTATTAAAACAAATAGGCTATTGGAGTAGTCTAAAATAATTTATTCTCTATTTCAAAATTTTATCAAAAATACTCTATATTTCAAAAATTTATCTAAAAAATAAAGAGTACTGTCATGTCCATCCCGATCTCCCAAGGATGAGACGTGATTAGATTTTTGATATACATGTGTTACATATATAATCTAAATTAATAAAATACTAAATAATTCTACATGTGCAACAACACTATCTATCACCTTAGTCATTAAACATAATGGTAAGACCTAACTCATAACCTGGATCATTTATAACGCATGTACCATTTCTCTTTTCAGGTCATATAAATATACAAAATTTCACACCCATATAACATACATCACAAAGTATGTTTGCTGAATTTGTTTACAATTTATACATCATTAACCTGTTATAACAACCTCTCACTCAATAAACTTATTAAAACTAAATACATAATTAACAAACATACAATCTGAGTAATATCACTCTAATTTCGTTGGATTACTCCGGACTGAATTCAACTGCACGAAATAATACTCAACCGACTAGACAATAGACTGATCTGCAACTCCCTCGATAGTACATGAAAAAGAAAAACTACAAGGGTGTGAGTTAAATTACACGCTCAGTGAGTATACATGTTGTATATAAAATGAAAATTATAGTAATACACAGAAATAAGTAAATATTACATATATACACGTATCAAACAACAACATTAATCAAATTCCAAAAAATTCACAAGTCACAACATATTCATATTATCCCTCGTCGAGTAATCAATCCAACATGGATTCATATCTCCCAAACCTCCCGGGAACACCACTGTGCTAACACATCACTACACGCCTAGTGATTAGACATCGACGCTCTTGTCTCAGGCAGTTCGCCAAATTCCACAATACACAGTACAAAACATCATTTAATTACATAAGCACATAGCACATAATCCTGGAGAAATGCTATTAAAACATATAATATTATTTTTAAAACATATAAATATATATACCCACCTCAAGTGTACAAATCTATGGGCCTTTGGACTCACCAGAGGATCCCTTCGGTATTACTGTATTGTCTCAACACCGACTGTCCTACCTATTCCACCTAACATATTTATAATTAAAATATTAATATATTTATCACATTTAATAGTTGATCATGCACTAATGCATATAAGATGATTTAACCCAAAGTGTCCCCAGATAACCCCGGTTACCACACTGGCACATTAGATTTAGGGAGCACATTTCTTCCCAAATATCCAAAATCATTTACATTAATTACAATTAGGATAAAATAGTTCAAACACATTGACTAGGGGGCCATTTTCACACATTTTGACTCTGAATCTAAAAATCGCATTTTCGGTATTTCATACATTTACACCGGATATTATATTTATTTGCATTCGAAATTTATATAATCACATCAAGCATCAATTAAAAATGCAGCATGCAAAATTTTGGGTCAATTGAATTAAAATTCACACATGTGATAATAACATTTATAAATCAAGGTTTTGGTATTACCGACACTCATTTTCAACTTCTATTGCACTTTTCATTTAAAACAACCACTCTTAAACTCACAAACACATTTAATCATGCAAAACAACCCTCAATTTTGACTCTCATAAATTCCAGTTTCAATCTAGCCCACTAAAAGCATCCCGAACATCTCAAATGTTCCTTTTTCACACTTTTCTCGTACCCGATTGAACACCCCCTTAAAATCCTTTCTTAACAGCCCTTTACTTACACTTAATTAGACTCCCACAAAATCTGTTTTGAAATTAAAATAAAACAGCCCCCCCCCCACACACACATACTTAAATTTAATCTCTCACACACACACAGACACTAACTAAATTGAATACACATACACCCTTACCTTCTCTTGCTTTCTTCTTCTTCTTTTCCCACCTTTTTCTTGCTTTCTCTCACTCTCGGTCTGGCATGGAGCCCCCCTCCCCAAATTCCTTTCTTTTCTTCCCTTTCTTCTCCCTCTCGGTTTGAGCTAGGAACACCCACCAAACTTGGTTTTTCTCTCTCCCTCTTTCCTTCCTTACCCTCGGCTCAAGAGACACACCCACACATGTATTTTCTCCTTCCTCTCTAGCTCTCCCTCACTCACGGTTTCAACAAATACAGAACACACACACACTAGTTCATGTTTTAAACATAAACACACTTCTACACTTTAAATTACACACACACACACACAACCACCTGGCTAAGTGTATGACTCACCCACCTCATATTTTTACACATGTAAGGATGACTCATTTAATTTAGGTAATTACGTTGGTCTCCCCCNGACATACACACACACAACCACCTGGCTAAGTGTATGACTCACCCACCTCATATTTTTACACATGTAAGGATGACTCATTTAATTTAGGTAATTACGTTGGTCTCCCCCAAGTTTTTAACTGATTTCGAAATCAATCACTATTATTTTCTCACATAAAATTTCAATACATGGGTCTCACTAATACTTCACTAACGCGATCCACATACTCGATGTATGCTCACACACATCATGACTATAAAGAGTTTACTTAAATTAACCCTTTAATAGTTTCACATAATTACAATTTAGTCCATATAATTATGCTAATATGCATGCAATGTAAGATCGAGTCTCACAAGTACTATTGGAGATGCTCTTACATACAATTCTATCTATATTTATATCTATACTATTAATAAAAGTACTTTAGAATGAAAATTTTTTAATTCACTATTTTACCCATATAAATAATTTTAAGTACCATAGTATTCTTCGGTAGTTAAATATCTAAATTACCATCATGTCATTATATGTTTAAATCTCAAAATTACTACTAACATTTCTTTTAGTTCTCTATTTGCTATGTATAAAAATTAAGATCTATGAAAATTTTTAATTGACTATGTTACCCTTTAAAAATAAGCATTGATTACAATATATTAATAATTATTGTTATTTTATTCAATGAATTATAAGTTCAAACTTAATGAATTTCAAAATGAACTATTTTTATCTTTTTGTCTTATAGTTAGAACAACGAACCGTTAGGAATAGATAATTTTTTTTTGAATTTTATTGTATATACAATCAATAAAAATATAATTTTTTATAAACTTGAGATGATATTTAATTTAGGTATAAATATACTTAAAACTTTTTTACTAATATTTTATATACAAAAAATATTCACATGCAATGTACNATTTTTTTATAAATTTGAGATGATATTTAATTTAGGTATAAATAAACTTAAAACTTTTTTACTAATATTTTATATACAAAAAATATTCACATGCAATGTACGTGGTGGTGCATGACTAGTACAATGTTAAATATAAATATAAATAGTTATTGTGACTAAAAGATTAAAATATAAGTAACAAGAAAAGTCATTTAGATTTAAACGATCAAGGTCGTTGTTGTTCTTTTTTAAGTTAGAAGCTTAAATAAGATGCTATGTTTTATTTATATAAATATAAATAATTTACATAATAAAATAGAGTTGAGTTTGAATTTTAGAGTCAAAGAAATGTCTAAATTATTTTGAGCAAAATATAAACACATCTAACGGACAACGTAATTCTAACATAAAAGACGATTTAGATCATCTCATAAATATTGATTCGACTGTCTACAGTGAGTACTGAATTTTGTTTTTCCATCTAACAACATTTTTTTTAATTATCAGGGCTTTTAACTTTTCTCAAATTCACGTTAGCAAATCTCCCATTTTCTCGCCTGAAATATTACATTTTCTTACCATTAATCAAGGTTAATTGCCTAATCTATGTATCACTCAAATATCTCTATTTTTTTTTCCCTATATCTCCTTTCAAATTCACAACAACCATGATTTTCTCACAAATCTCTCTCTCTTCTATGAAAGCCAATTATTTTCTTAGCAAATCTCTATTCCTCGTTCCTTTATCGTCACTGAATTCGGCTCCCCTTCCCAGTTCTCTCTTCCCCCTTTTTGCTCTCATTTCAATCTCTTCTCTCTCCACCAACCATTGTTGAAAGTGACGCCAGGTTTCTCTGCCTCTATCTCTCTCCTCTCCTTCCCCTTCTCTCACACTCACTTCCATTCTCGCTCCTTTCTTCTTCTCTCTATCTTTCAAGTCTGAGTTAGTTCCTATTATCTATGTTTGTACACAACGCATATAGTTTACACATGAGACATGCAAAAAACACACACAACACACGCAAATCATACACAACACAACACATGCAAATTGCACACAACACAACATAGCCACTAACTCACCCACACCAACACGCATACACAACATAACACAACCATTCACAATCACTCTCTTTGTCATATTCTTAGGTTTAAATTGCTTACAATTGTCTGTGATTTGTTTGATTTGGGTTTGTGATTTGTTTGATAAGTGCCAAATCAGGCCATTACAAAATTTGACATGTTTCTTGGCTTCGGAGTAGATTGCCATGCGAATCCCCGGCGAAAACCATCCACCGCCTTTACTCTTTTTAATCACCTTTACTCCTCACAAGAATGTCTCGCTCTCTCTCTCTCTCAATCAATCACCCACCGTTCCCATCCACTACCCAACCCACAACCAAGGCACCTGCAGAGCCATCAACCAAACTACCAAAACTCAGCCACCACTCTCGCCCTCTTCCCTTTTCACGACCAGTAGCCACCACCAGATACCCCATCATGCACATGAGTGTTTATTGACATGCATGAGACACCCCCATACAAGCTTAATGTGTGTGTGCATGTGTATATGCATGAGTGTGTGTTTTTTGTGTCTGTACATTCTTTGTGTGTGTTAATATGTGAATTATTTTATATGTGTGTATTTGTTTTAGATATGCGAAGCTAATTCCCATACAAAACGTTCATCTCCCTCTCTCTCTCTCTCCGAATTGGTTTTATTTTTTGGCTTTTATGAACTGTTAAAATTGAACTTGATAACAAATTAGATTCATTTTATGTTATTGATTTGCTTATACATGTGAAACTTTTTTATTACTGTTGGAGAAATTTTAAATTGAGAATTATTATTTTTTATGAACTGCTAAAAGAGAACTTGAAAACTAGATTGTTTCTTTTAAGCTAATTTTTTTTTCCAAAGGTATTTTTTAAGCTAAATTTTAATTTGTTGACTTTCTTGTGTTTTCTATGCAATTTATGTTATATGGGTTGAAAGCAAATTAGATTCATTTTATATGATTGATTTACTTATACATGTGAAACTTTTTGACTACTGTTGGAGAAGTTTTAAATTGAAAATTATTTTTTTATAAACTATTAAAAGAGAACTTTAAATTAAACTAGGTTGTTTCTTTTAAGCTAAATTCTAAGTTGGTTGCCTTTCTTGGATTTTTATTATCTGTGTTCTACATAATGCTTTGTGGGTACTATGCAATTTATGTTATATATGGGTTGAAATCAAAGTAGATTTATTTATGTAATTGATTTGTTTATACATATGAACCTTCAATTCATAGTCCAAATTTGAATACGCACACATCAAATCTCACTTTCATGGTCTAGGTTTGTTTATAGTTTAGAATATATATAAGTTGAGTTTCTTTAATTAAATGTCTGGTTATATAAGTTATGTGCACATGGTGATATTGTTTATGGGTTATATTTTTAATGGCAATTTTGTCCATTTTTTTATAAAAAAAGGCTCATATTGATTTGGATTTTTTCTCAATTTTCTTGATCGAATAGTTTGTGTAATACAAAATATTGAGGCGTAGACAATTACTTGTAATTGTTTTTACGAGTTATGTACTGTCTCCAGGTACTGATAATTACTAATAAAATAATATGAGGGGAATGAAACAAAAAAAAAACTAAATTTTCGTTGCTAACAAAACAAAATAATATATTTTGAAAAAAAATAAAATATATTTCAATTTTGAAATCTGATCACAAAATATTAAAAAACAAATTATATTGACGTCCCCTATAACTTTTTTTAATAGTAATGAAAAATCCTTTGTATTTTGTAAGATTACATTAACACTAATGTTTACAACACAATTATAATAATAACTAAAAAAATAATAAAAATTCAAAATTTTACCCTACTTCATATAAAAATTTCAAGTAGATCTGGGAGGAAACGCCAGGATGAACTATCAAGAAGTTATAACTATTGTTGTAAATATTGTAATACATAATTTGGGCAAATTCATTTGTATTTTTTGGAAATTATATTACATGTGATTTTTTACTTATTTTTATAAGTAATTAGAGCTTTAGTATGTGCATTTGTAAATATTTTGTAGAAAAATTGTCAATTGATTTATTAAATAATAAATAATACATTCGGGAATCCGAGGCGCTGCGTAGTTGGTATCAAAATTTAAAAATCAGATCTTATATTGGTATCGTAGGTAATAGGTTACCTAAGTTTCGGTTGTTATAATGTATAATTTGAAAATGGTATCAATATACAACAAAAGTACTTAGTTTATAAATTGAACTGAATTTTGAGAATTCTCTAGTGAACTGATTTTTTCAGCTAAATATCAACTACTGTGTTGATTCTCCGGTGAACGAACAAATATTCATTACAATGGTGATAGCACGTCATCAAATATAAGATAAGTGAACTCTATTATTCTAACTTATTAATTTTTATATAATAAAGTAGTTTACAATTCAAATCTCAAAAGATAAACAAAATAATTTTTGTTATTTTTAGTTGAGATCGTTTTAAATTTTATTTTAAAGTTAATCTAACAGTTAATATTAACACTCTAAATTTAATAGAAAAAATAGGGCTCTAAGGGTGTGTTTGAAGTGATTTTTTAAAAGTACTTATAAAAATTATTTCTCATAAATACTTAAAAAAAAAATAGTGTTTGAAACCGCTCTACTACTATCTCTACCACCATCACTCCCACCATCGCCACCACTACCATCACCGCCAGCACCACCATTATCGCCGTCGTCACCTCCACCACCGCTGCCATCACCACCACCACCATCGCCGCCGCCACCGCTACACGTTCATTGCCACCCACCACAACCATTACCTTCTCCTACTACCACCGCTGTCGCCCACCACTTCTCACCCCCACTACAAAGTATAAACCGATGCTTAAATTTTTTATCTCTTCTTTATGTTTGTTATTTAATTTTAAATATGAATATAAATATATTTAGTTTATCATTTTTTATTACTCTGTACTTTTAAATACAAACAATAACTAGTTAGTCAATATGGTAGAAGTTATTAAAATAATAAAATATATTATATATACACGATACACTATTATTAGTTAATAATATCTTGCGATGTTAATGATATAATATTATCATTATCATATTTATTTTCTCGCAGTATACATGTTCTAAAAATTTGAGGAGTTTAGTGAGGACAAACTTAGAATTTAATCCTTCAAAGGAATGATCACATCATGAAGACTTAAAAATCTTAATTCATGTGAGTAAGGGAAGAATATGGGTGAATGGACGAGGTCAGTTCATACCGGGGACAAAAATAAACAAATGATTAAGATTTAGATATTTAAATTATGAATGCGTCTATAATTATGTTAAATTATCATTTAATTCGTTTTAGTATTGAATCGATCAAAATATTTTAGATATAAAATTCTTTAAAATTAATTAAAAAAATTTATTTTTAATATGACAAAACTAAGTTGGATTTTTTATTATTCTAAATTTGTTTGTGTGGCACAAAAAGAAGCGAAAAAAATATCCAGCATCGGGTCGACACCACCACAAACCCGTTATTACCTTCTCTCTCTCGTTGGACCCTTTCTGGTGAAAGACTGAATGGTCTATTACTCCTCGGATAGTCAGACGGCGTCGTGTTCCCCAATCTGGAACCTGATACGATATCGTATAAGACTGTACCCGTCAATCTTTAACTGTCTGTCCCCTGACCTCACCGTTATCACTTTGAAATCAATGCCACGTGTCCGACGCCTATTTTGGCGATAAGTGCCACCTTGCCAGTCCCATGAGATTTCGAGAAAATAATGATGTTTGGATCTCTTTTCGGCTTTCGCGCTTTCATCATGGGTATCCCATTCCTGCCCCCCTCTCTCAAATATATCTGCGGTCTTTTCTTCTTTCCAGATTTTCTTTGCTCTTTTTGTTCCAATATTACGATCCTTTACGTCTATTAGGAGCACTCTCTGCTTCTCTCTTTTCATTCGCAATGGAAACTCTGCGAACATCTGGGATTCTTTCCTGTAAACTACCTCTGAAATTAACAGAGACGCCTCTGAATGTGGGTGTATCTCGGCGAGTTGGTTTTGCTTACCTGCGGAATCAAAGACGGACCAATATTCAATCTCTCTGTCTTACGAAATCACTAACGGATAACAGTGGAGGTGGATTCAGTAGTAGCTCTCAAGATGGGTCTTCAATCGTTGAAGATGACAAGGAGGAGGGTCTTCTTTTGGGCACAGAGAGGGATGATTCTGGTTCTGTTGTTGGGTTTCACTTGATTCCTCAATCTGGTACGTTCATTATCCCGCAATATCATCTTTTTTTTTTTTTTTTTTTGGCCGACGATGCTGAGTACTAGTCATCTCTATCACACTAATTTAATATATATATTTGGTTGTGGCATTGAATTGTGAGATCACATGCTGTTGAGTACTAGTCACAACCCCTAGAAGGGTAAAGTTGATGTGTTAATGGGCTATTAATGTTCATGGGAAGGATTTGTTTACTGAATCATAATTTTTCTGGTGGAGCAACTCATTTTGAAGCATGTGTTTAATCGCATGGGACTTGTAGAGAATTTCAGCAAAATGCTAAAAGCCTAAAAGGGTGATGTACTGATGTGTTAATAAAGCTGTTATTATATATGACACTTACTAAGATATGACTGTTCCTGTAATGGGGCCATGAACCATTCCTGGTGGTTGTATCATCTGAAGCATCTGGTTTTCAAGAACTATAGGTTGTCCTTGTGTAGTTATTCTCTTGGAGTTAGGGCTGGTAATCGAGCGGTTTGTGAGCCTAAATCGAGCTGAATTTACACATAAACGAGCTTTAAACAATGTTCAAGCTTGGCTTGATTACCAGCCCTACTCGGAGTCTCAAGCTCAACATGCATGTGAGTAGAGTACATGGTGTACCACATGTTTAAACCCTGTGGTTGTAAATGTTTAAATATATATTTCACTGGAAATGTAACTTGTGAACTGCTGCTACATTCTAGGAATTCGCAGGAGATATCTGTACCTTCTGCAGTTCAGAAGACTATGCTTCGTACATTTTTATAGTTTGTTGTGATTACAAGATTGCGCGGCGTAGCATTTGAGCCAGTATGTCTTAGGTTGATCAACCTGCATCTAAATTTTGCTCCTTTACATTCCCAAATTCTATGCCCTTTGTTGTTTAGTTAATTATCCTGTTTCTAAATGCTACCATTTTTAAGGGGCAAATTTTTTCTTTCCAGCACATATATACAAATTTTGATAATAAACGAATTGTTTGCGAATAATTGGAATAACATGTGTTCCCCCTAATTTCCTACTTTTTTTTTTGTGTGTATGTGGACCATTTCGATTAGCAATTTTCTAAAACCGACATTATACTGTTTCCTGACTCTTGCATCTCTTGTTTTTAGTAATCTCAAAAATTGTGCCAAAGTGTGATCAATTCTGTGATTATGAATACATTCGAAGCGGAAGAAAATAATTATTGACTTAACTACAGGAGACAGCAAGGTCATTGACTCACATGGTAATGGAGCTAACGTTAGGGAGGAAGTGAGTGAGGACATTGAGGGAGGAGAAGAACCCGCAACCCTGGTAACTCACAATATTGTTTTCGTTACTGCTGAAGCAGCACCATATTCAAAGACAGGAGGTTTAGGAGATGTCTGTGGTTCTTTGCCTATAGCATTAGCTGCCCGTGGACATCGTGTAATGGTTGTCTCTCCTAGATATTTGGATGGAGGTCTTTCGGATGAAAAATTCGCAGGTGCAGTTGACAGTAAGTGCCAAATTAAGGTCTACTGCTTTGGAGGGGTGCAGGAGGTTGGTTTTTTTCACGAATATAAGGCTGGAGTTGATTGGGTAAGGAATTTTTGTATGCTATCACTCATTAATCAATGTAAGAAACTTTTGTTATTTTTCTTGTTCATCTTGTTTCTCGCTCTTTAATATTTGATTTCTTGTTACATTTTTTTTTTGTTTTTTAGAGAAAAAACTTATGTCATTTCTTATAAATAAAGGAAGGTGCCTATTTAGCTGGTTATATAAGAAATAAGTATCTTCTCTTAGTAATTTCACTGGAGCCTTTATTGTTTTGAAGATGAGCTATTTCTTCTACTGCTAGGTATTTGTGGACCACCCTTCATATCACCGACCTGGAACTCCATATGGTGATATTTTTGGTGCTTTTGGTGATAATCAGGTCTGTTTTATAATTGTTCTTGCTATTGGTTGGTTGAGCTTGATGAAACAAGGGGCTATCTTATTCATTGACAATGACAAATGTTTATTTTGTTTTCCCCCCTTTTTGGTTAAGCAGTTTCGGTTCACTTTACTTTGTCACGCAGCATGTGAAGCTCCCTTAGTGCTTCCATTGGGAGGATATACCTATGGAGAGAAATGTTTGTTCCTCGCTAATGATTGGCATGCCGGCCTGGTTCCAGTGTATGTAATTTAGTGCTCATCATTCCATTGTTTGCCTGTATTATTCCATTTTCCTTCTGTCCCCTGCCTCCAACCAATGTGTTGGATGGGCAATTGCTTCTCAACATTTTAAAATCTCAAGATGTAAGGTTTTACTTGTTATTTCAAATACTGAATTATGGATCCACATTTGCTATTAATGGACGATAATTGAGATAGACTCTTTCCTTGCATCCATTTTCAGTGCATGCAGTTATTGATCTTGCTTCTTGCCTCCCTTTTATTTCCCGTTGAGGGTCTAGAGGAAACAGGCACCCTGTTGCCTTGTATGAGAATTTATTGACGGGTCATTGGTTCTTGGTCCTCGAACGACATCAGCATGCTTCGCGGAAGATAGTTGTAATTTCCTATGACTATTTTTCAGTTAATGGTCACATTCACATGTTTTCTTCTCTCCTGAGTGCAGTTGGTTGTGATTTTCTGATTGCGTGCTGTTTCTTACTAGAGGAGATTCTTTAGAATCTGGAGAAGCTTTTGTTGAACATTTTCGGAAAACATTCTTTTGTCAAACTGGTAAGATTAGTCTAAATACTGGGCTTCATGTTTTGTGATTCAGACTTTTGGCGGCCAAGTATCGTCCATATGGAGTTTATAAGGATGCTAGGAGTATCATTGTAATACATAACCTTGCACATCAGGTATTTATTTTGTTCATAATTGAATCTCGATGATACAATGTCCGTATGTTAATTGTCCAAAACAATGACAAAAGTGAAAAGTTGGAAATATCTTGATAACAATTATTACAAATAACAGAGGTCCTTGTCTAATTTTCTAATCTTTTACAGCCGTGTGCACATTTCTTCCTTTCAATTCCTTACCTATTTATGGGATAACAGAAGTCTGAGCAACAATGTCATAATAAATTACAAAATGTTCCCTCTCTATTCAGCCAAGAACCTTGAACCATGTACACAGTGGCAAAACTGAAATTGAGGACCACAACTACATGTTTGATGTAGATAGTTTTTTTTACTCTTAAACCAAGCCTATTACCTCTGAACAGGGATGGATTTGTCTCAAAAGTAAGACCATTGATTTTCCTATGAAATATTTTGAGCATAGTCCACCAGCACAGTCATATGTCTCAATGTATGACCCATGATTTTCCTATGGAAATATTTTGATTATCTAGTGAACTATGCTGCTTGTGGCCCATTCGTTCTCTAGCATCGACAGTGGTGGTAGTGAGAGAAGATATTACTCATACGGCACATTCATGAGGAATGACTCTCCCATAGATTTTTTTGATGGGTTTTGGAATGTAATTGACAAATTGTCTTACATCAACAGTCAATACCTTCGAAACGTTTCATTATTTAAGAATCACAAAGCCACAATAATGTTCTATTCTTTTGTTTGGGATTGTGGAAGGGGGTGGAGCCTGCAGTAACTTACAAGAATTTGGGATTGCCACCAGAGTGGTATGGAGCGCTAGAATGGGTATTCCCTACATGGGCGAGAACGCACGCTCTTGACACTGGTGAAGCTGTCAATGTTTTGAAAGGTGCAATTGTGACTGCAGACAGGATACTAACGGTTAGCCAGGTCAGTTCGAAGGTGTTTCTTTTGATGGATTATAGGGGTATTGTCTGGTGATCTGTACAGATGATCACCTAATGAACAGTCAGCAGTCATGCAGAGATTACAGTCGAGTAAACCATTCCAAGTTAAACAATAAGATACATACGAGTTGTGTATTCTGCCATCATTTCATTATAGAAGTTGTAAATATCACACAAGTACCTTATATTTCCGTTTTCTTGTAGTTTTTCAGTGTTAAATTTGTATTTTTCTGGTGTCAGGGTTATTCTTGGGAAATAACGACTGCTGAAGGTGGATATGGTCTACAGGAGCTGTTGAGCAGTCGGAAGATAGTTCTGAATGGTCTGTGGTTTGCACTCTACATCTAGTATGTGAACTTTTCCTTACTGAATAAGGCTTGTGATGCATGGATAAGACATCGTGATGCTATGGTTGGGTATGGAGTTTTTTTCACACATGGTCAAGCTCTTTAATACCGAAAATTTGAAATTTGTTTTGTTCCATTGCTTAGAACAATAATGCCTTTTTGTGGCCAAATGTAAAGTGGTTCTGAAATTCCATGAGTATTACTGATGAATGCTTCACCTTCAAAGTGAAAAATACCACTAAAGCATTATGCGCTTGCCGATCCGGTGAATCGGTCTCCGGTCTCCCGTCTCCCCCACTTGATGTTCAATAATCTAATCACTCCCTTTTTGAGTTGTCGGGATGGTTTGGCCATTTAGTATAGTTAGCTAAGACAAGTATGTAAATGGTCTGGCCGTTTACTACCACGGGCCTTAGCACAACACAAAGGTTACTCAATTGTGGCCTAGCTTCTGGACTTCATTGTGGTGAGAGTTTTATAAAAGTGTTCTGATGCAGATCGTATTAGCTCTGATACCAAATTGATGCAGATCATATTAGTTCTGATAGTAAATTGATATAGACTAGGAAGAGAAGAATTAGGGATGAGAAGAGAGGAAGAAAGGGATAAAAAAAGAGAAAAAAAGAGAAAAAATTTGAGAAAGAATCAATATCAATATTCAATAACAATCAATAATAATCAAAGTCTAATCTAAATAAAACCTTTACATGCATCCCTTTATATAGGGAAACTAAAACCCTAAAATAAATCAGTAATGACAAATAGACCCTTAAAAGTTAAAAAAAATTACTTAAAAGATAAATATTAAAAGTATCTAAATTACTCTTATGATTAATCTAAAATATCTATCCAATTCTTACACGATCTCCATCATTCTCCCCCGATTGAGAAAAACTCTCATCTGAAGAACATTCAAAGCAAAAGTACCATAAGAGAGCAGTATGAAGATGATAAAAATGTAGACTAATACTAACATTCAATGAAAAATTAATCAAATAAGTTTTAGATTCAAACTCAAGAATAGGAAAACAATTCTGATCAGACTTAAACAACAAGCAGTNATGCCTCATCTAGAATGAAAGAACCATTAACATCTTTCCATTTGTTAAGATAAATGCAAGAATCTTCATCTGTAGAAACACCGACTATCAAAATAGGTTGCTTTGGAGTACCTCGATTAAGTAACATGTCCTCCAAATAAAAATGTAGACTAATACTAACATTCAATGAAAAATTAATCAAATAAGTATTAGATTCAAACTCAAGAATAGGAAAACAATTCTGATCAGACTTAAACAACAAGTAGTTAGCGGGACAAGACTTCAATGATAAAGGAGGAATAATAACGCGTTGGTGCTGAAAATAATTAAGTACAAACTCAAGTGAACACTTGGCAGTAGGTAGAGGAACAAAGTTAACAATCTTAAATTGGGAAGAATCAGTAACAAAGTCATGATGACTTGGACAAGTAAACATAGAATAGTCATTAGTCGATTCTGCAATAAATAACTAGATTGGCTTAATATCTTGCATAGGTGTAGACTCAACAGACTTTTTTTACAATTTCTAAGACCAATGATGGTTCAAGAATTGACACAAGTAAAGACTCACACACACTTTCTTTCGATATGAACTCTTGTAGGTGCAAAGGAGGAAAACTCTAATCTGATGAAACTGAATGAGAGAGTTGAAATTCAATATGAGTAACATTTTTCTCTTTATCCGATATTAGTATATTTAAATCTTTTGCAACATTCGGATTAGAAAAGCATGCAGAAACAACATGGACATCGTTCAAGTAATTATGATACTCATATCTGGTGGAATTAAAATTGGAAGGTATCCTATCACACTGTTTAGCAGACTATGATTGAGAACCTATCAAGTTATAATTGGATTTTTTATGAAATCTCTCAACCTTTATAGCATATTGATAGACTGCAACTAACGTATTAAAAGTGTTTAGCTTGACCTCCCTACTAATTTTTGGTCTTAACTCAAGAATAAATTGATCAATTGTCTAAAGTTCATCAACAATGTCACACAAGTACATGAGATAATCGAACTGAGTAAAGTAATTAGAGACACTAGAAGAATGTTGTCTAAGATTGAGCTATTGGTCATAAAATTTATTCATGTAGGACATAGGTAAATACTTCTTTTTTAATTTATATCTTATTTTAATCCAAGTGATAGGTGATCCGAATCCTCCAATATCAATTTAGCAAAACAGACGCAATGAGAATCTGACATGCCATGCCAATCAAAATATTCTTCTAAATTAGCAAACCAATCCAAGAATTCAAAAGGATCTAAAGTGCCACTAAATATAGAAGGTTATTTGACTAGTTTGGTCATATGGGTTGACTCCATCTAAACATCCCTAAACTTCCTATGATGATGACCTTGACGAGAGACTCTTGAAACATGTGCATTAGAGGAACTCATGAGTGACTCTTGAAAGATGAGAATGGTATACAAACAAGTTCAATAATGCAATTGACAATTTCAAGAAGTGAGAAAGTTTAAATAGAAGAAAATGTGTTTTGGATCCTTTTCAAATTCTATAATTTCTCAATGAATAAAAATATTAGTCTCAAATTCTTTGGGGGTATGCATATCATAGTCAAAAGGAAATTCTGAAATTTTTTGGAGATGATTTTGTAATTTTTGAAACTTTTGGGAGATGGTTCTGTAATTTTTGAAACTTCTTAGGTAGTTCTGGAATTTTTGAAAACCTTTTGGGATGTGTCTGTAGTTTTTGAAACTTCTTGGGTGATATTTCTACAATTTTTGGAGGATATTTCTGCAATTTTTGAAACTTCTGGGATGCGTCTGTAATTACTGAAACTTATGGGGTGATTCTACTATTTTTGGAATTGTTGGGATGTTGCTGCAATTTTTAAGACTATAGGGGCAATTTCTTTTTTTTTTGGCCAGTTCTGTTGGAACAAGAGCAAGAACAGTGCAAAACCAGTCGTGATGAAATAATGCGCACGATGAACAATATATATATATATTTTTTTGGTGATTTGTACGAATTAAANTGGCCAGTTCTGTTGGAACAAGAGCAAGAACAGTGCAAAACCAGTCGTGATGAAATAATGCGCACGATGAACAATATATATATATATTTTTTTGGTGATTTGTACGAATTAAAGTTGGGCTCTGATACCAAATTGATACAAATCGAATTAGGTCGGATACCAAATTGATGTAGACTAGGAAGGAAAGAATTAGAGATGAGAAGAGAAGAAGAAAGAGATGAGAAAAGAGAAAGAATTTGAAAAGGAAACAATATCAGTATTCAATAGCAATCAATAATAATCAAAGTCTAATCTAAATAAAATCCTTACATGCATCCCTTTATATTGGGAAACTAAAACCCTAAAACAAATAAGTAATGACAAACAAACCCTTAAAAGTTAAAATAAATTACTTAAAAGATAAATATTAAAAGTATCTAAATTACTCTCATGATTAATCTAAAATATCTCTTGAATTCTTACACGATCCCCATCATGTTCCATATAATACATCTTAATATCTCTCCTCATTTTATGTTAATAAAATCGTATTATCAAACATAATTTGTCTTGCAGCTGCTATGTTTGAGTATTTCTATAGCTTTTCATAGTTGAACATGAAAATCATGTATTATCCTTATTTTAACCCGGAATAGTTATTCTCTTTCCTTAACTCTGACTCCATGCTGACAATGAACTAAAGCAGTGGACTCATAGTGGCTTTAATTGGAAGTACTATGTTAGCGGCTCAACTCAATTCAACAAAGTTTTATCCAAGCTATTTGGTGTTAGCTACATAAATCCTGTTCTGCCATTGTGCTAAGTCTAATCTTGTTATTTTGTTAAAGCACAAGCTATCATGTCTTTCATGTTAATGTCAAATTTGCTCTACATCTACCCCCTTGGCATTGCCATCCATAGGTATTACATCATACTTTCTATTTGGATATCTTGGAACATGTCCAAACCATCATAGTTGAATTTATCCCTAACTTTTACCATTATACGAATTTATCTATTCCTAATTTTATCTTTATTGTATTTGCACATTTTCCTTAACATTTGCATTGTAATCACACTTTGTTTTTGAACATGTTTCTTAGTTGCCTTGTATTATAAAATATGGTTGGGCTTCTCTCTCAGCTAAAATGGTATAAGTTAATCATATGCATGCACAATTATGCACTCCTATTTATCATGTTTTAATGGTAAAATTTGTAACATCTCCAATCTCAACCTCNATTATGCACTCCTATTTATCATGTTTTAATGGTAAAATTTGTAACATCTCCAATCTCAACCTCTGTAACTCCCAAAAATCAAAGCCACTCTTTGATATGATTCTTGATCTTACTACATTCCCATTGGGTTTCTATGTTTGTTTATAGTTGTATTTCGTATATGGAGTTTAGAAAATCTTTTGACTCTAGAGCTTTTCTCCAATTTTCTTATTCAGCATTAGTCCCTACACTTTGTAACGGTTTCATTGACAAATAATATATACCAGAGAACCTCATCCGGAACGTATCTAGCTAATTCATTTTGATACATTAGGGATAAAAGGAGATCTGTTCAAGGTTTTATGCTGGGTACCCACCTGTGCAACCCTCCACCTTTAGCAGTTTGTGATGGACATTTGTTTTGTAGCATAAATCTTCACATTCCTGATGCAGATGAGCGGTTTTACGTTCCATGCCCGTCGAATTTTGCAATAGTAAAAACACTGCTTTTGTTTGAGCAAATCTGCAAGCACTAGCTGGTTCCTGATATATTTGGTGTTATATTTATTTGGATGTGAAACTGTAAAGTAGCTTCTGAAACTACACTAACTCTTAGTTTTTAAATCATGTTATCTATTGAGGCCTCAGTTGGCCCCTTTCGACAGTGTATTCAGTTTCGTTCTCTCTCTCTCTCTCTCTCTCTCACACACACACACACACACACAAATAGCAGTTTACCTGTCACACAGTTACTTGTTCATACGTTTCATCTGGTTATTGGTAGGGTTTTCAGGGCCGTTAGAACAGATCTTCATTAGTTCATCTCACTGTTTGGCATGTTATGGTGGACACACCCACATACATATCTTGATTCTGAGTCTGTGCTATGCAGGGATCATAAATGGCATTGATGTCAAGGAATGGGACCCATCTTCGGATAAGCATATTTCTTCCCATTACTCCATCGATGACCTCTCTGGAAAGGTGGGTAAACCTCATGTTTTTGGGAAGTTTTTTTCATGTATAGTTGTGAGATTGCTATAAAGAAAAGAATTACTGGCTGAAGATTGTATATTTATGTGCTGAGGGAAGGCTTTGTTTCACTGACAGTGTATCTCATTAATAAGGCATCTTAACAACTGAAAGTATGTTATTGTCATATTTCAGTAATGGTAAAAGGACTGCAAGATAGATATCTAGAACATGCCTGTTTGTGACAAAATTCAAATCAACAAAGCCTTATCCCAGCTATTTGGGGTTGTCTAATAATATGTGTGCTAATCATAGGTTCTTTATTTGTTATTTGGAATATGATGTTTTTTTAATATGAACAAGGTCANACTCAACAAAGCCTTATCCCAGCTATTTGGGGTTGTCTAATAATATGTGTGCTAATAATAGGTTCTTTATTTGTTATTTGGAATATGATGTTTTTTTAATATGAACAAGGTCACTGTAGGTTTTCCAAATTTGTTTTTCTTGATGTTTTCTTACCCAGTCGCTCATTGTTGTAGGTTCAATGCAAGATTGGTTTGCAAAAGGAATTAGGCCTTCCGAGTAGGCCTGATTGCCCATTGGTGAGGATAAATTTATAGTCATGGAATGGCTAAATAATCCCCCATAGAGATAATCCCCTCTAATGATTGACTCAGAGTTTGATTTCATATAGATTGGATTCATTGGAAGACTGGACTTCCAGAAAGGTGTTGATCTGATCCTAGCGGCATTGCCAGAGCTTTTGCAAGATGATGTCCAATTTGTAAGTGATCTTCTTGTTTTCTTGACATGGCTGTTTTATATGTTTGAGGCATGTGAAAAGCAATTTCAGGTAAGATGATCAGACATCCCTGCACGAATTGATGGGCTAACATCAGTTCAACAAGTCAAAATTTTCTCTCTTTACAAATTTTGGGAGACTTTCACCTTTGCCTTTTCCCTTCTGTGAGGGCATCTTTAATTGGTAGGTTTTTTTTGAACAAATTTCTAATTGGTAATTATTGGTAAATCTTGTCAAAACTTCTTATCATATTTCAGAGACATGCTTCCAAATTAAAAGATTTTGATGCTATTAATTTTTTTTGGTGAACATTTTCAAAACTAGAGTTTTAGTGTTATTATTTCTTTAGTATATGCTTTGATTAGAGTGATTATATACCTCTTGAAAAGCTAAAACCTCAGTCGGTAGCATGAGATAAACAGACTAGCTGGTCTCGTTATGGTGAATCCCTTTGTCAGGCAGGGATTCTAGCATTTTCTCTGGAAAAAATGAATCGATCTACTATGTTCCAGGTAATGCTTGGATCTGGGGAGAAACAATATGAAGACTGGATGAGAGTAACAGAATCCCTTTATAAAGACAAGTTTCGCGGTTGGGTTGGATTCAATGTTCCTATTTCTCACAGGATAACAGCAGGGTAACTCAAAAATTTTGTTATTGAGGTTTAAATCTCCCAATAAATGCTTATAAATCTGACTTATTTGAACTCCACATTGTGCAGCTGTGACATACTATTAATGCCCTCAAGATTTGAACCATGTGGTCTAAACCAGTTATATGCAATGAGATATGGCACTATACCAGTTGTTCATGGCACTGGGGGTCTTAAAGTGAGTTAACTTCTTAGATCGTTGGAGCAATTCTTGTATTCATTGGCTCGTCTTAAGCAACACTTTTTCTCTACCTTGTAGAACACAGTGGTGAATTTCAATCCATATGCTAGAGAAGGCAGGGGAGAAGGTACTGGGTAAGTTTTTATGGATGCTTTTGAGTCAAACAGTCCATGAGCACTAGATTTTAATAATTTTTTATATTGGTCTCGTCAAATGGAAATCTCAATACTTAGTACTTGTTAAGTTATGAAGATATCCTCAAAGNGGACACAGTGGTGAATTTCAATCCATATGCTAGAGAAGGCAGGGGAGAAGGTACTGGGTAAGTTTTTGACCATGAGCATGAGGTGTTAATATTTTTTTATGGATGCTTTTGAGTCAAACAGTCCATGAGCACTAGATTTTAATAATTTTTTATATTGGTCTCTTGTCAAATGGAAATCTCAATACTTAGTACTTGTTAAGTTATGAAGATATCCTCAAAGTGACGGTTTATATGTTCCAATTCTCTGGCAGTGGCACCAATTTGTGTTAGGGTCATTACCACAAAAATGGACCATGTGTTCAATTGAGGTTCTTCATGTACTGGGACATTACTATTGCGACTCAGCTTTAAGCATTATTGANGCGGCACCAATTTGTGTTAGGGTCATTACCACAAAAATGGACCATGTGTTTAATTGAGGTTCTTCATGTACTGGGACATTACTATTGCGACTCAGCTTTAAGCATTATTGAATCATGACACTTGGATGCCAACTTCTCCTATTTAGAAATATGAAGGGTGTTTTGTTGTTTGTTTTTTTCCCTTTTCTCTTATCGGTTCAATTCCACCAAGTTTTTCCTTGAGGCTATATATTAATGAGAAAATGTTACAAAACAAATGGAGGGACATTCAGTAACTTCATGACTACAGAACTGTTTAAGGTTTAGATAGTGTAGGAAATGCAATATGTAAGACCGTTTTTCCCCTGGCTGAACGAAGGGTCGGAGGATGAAGTGCTGCCCTCTGTAATGAAGATTCGGTTGTTGGAAACATCAAATTTCTAAGAGAAGTAGTTATTTTGCACCTTCAGCATGCTAATGTCTTTTTTCCTTCTCTCTTTTGTTCATAGACATGTAATTGGTCTATAATGCCTCCTTTGCTGTAGTTGTAACTTTGTTCTGGAATGTTCTGACAGGTGGACTTTTTCTCCTCTAACGAGAGAAAATATGCTGGCGGTAAGCTCTTTTGCACTGTTAAATTCCTGGTTTTCCTCCAACAACGTTAACCCCAATTTGCTGCATAATCATGAAGTTTCTTTGTCCAGTAATTTTCAGACTACTTTAACCCCAATTTGCTGCATACTCATTTTCTTTGTTTAGTACTTCTCAAGTCTAAGTGAACTTGCTTTTTTTTTTCCTCTTGGATGCAACGCGACTCTGAAACTGATCATTGTGTTATGTTGTGGTTCGTGGCTATTTGTAATATTATTTCATTGACGTGATCTCTCTCTCTCTCTCTCTCTCTCTCCCCAAGCGACAAAGAACACTATGTTGACTGGATTTATTATGGCATCAAGGAGTTTACACTTCATAATATGGCTGATGAAGAAGTCCCCTTTTTGATGGCTGACTTTGAACTGCCACCTACCANGATTTATTATGGCATCAAGGAGTTTACACTTCATAATATGGCTGATGAAGAAGTCCCCTTTTTGATGGCTGACTTTGAACTGCCACCTACCAGTGATCTGACGAGTCAACACACAATTTTCTATACTCGTTTCATCATATACTCTCTTGAAAAACTTGTTAAATTAAGAGACCTTTCAACTTAGGCTGCTTTCATTTTTGATTCCTTTCTAAAGTGGAGGAGACAAATAGCTTCGATATAACAATTCAAAGTCATATATCATAATGGCTTATGATATGTAAACAGAACTATGGCCACATATTGATGTCGCTTGAGTGTATACTGCTCATATCTTACCTAGTTTCATGGCATCCCTCAATTGGTGATATCCTTTGCAGGCACTAAGAGTTGCTATTGGAACATACATGGAGCATAAGTCTTCATGGGAGGAGTTGATGAAGAGAGGAATGGAGAGGGAGAGCTCATGGGATAATGCAGCAGTTCAGTATGAACAAGTCTTCAAATGGGCCTTCATTGATCCGCCTTATGTCAGCTGAATAATTGAGAAGAAGAGGAAGAAGGTTGGTTCAACAGGCACACTACGAGTTACTTTTGGATATTCTTTTTAACCGGGCATAACTTACTCTGCCTGCCACCATATCTTATTGACTTAGTTACATTTTGGCCTTGTGGGTATACAAATCTCTTATAACTCCAATAGCTCTCCTTCTGGAGAGTATAGGAGAGGACATGAAACCCCTTGAATGTCTCATTCTCATGAGGCCAGAGTACATGATACCTTTTTTTGTGCATAGTTTTTGTACTATTGAGCTGTCTTTGGCAAATACAAATACAGAACTTTTGAACAGCAACCCTATACGGTCAAGAAGGGGATGCAATCGTGGACTAAATTTGTTTGCAACAATGGAGGAGACTATATGGAAAAATATTATTCACTTGGATTTTCTTTGATGATAACTGTTTTATAGAAGAGTCAAAATTTCAAGTGATAATGGCAATAGGGGTAATACACAATATAAGTGTTGGATAGTAGTTATTTAATTCAAGCGATTTTTTGGTTAGAAAATTATTTTATCGTATTAACATTGAATTAACAAAAATATCTCCAATTAGTGTTTGTTATATTGATGACAATTTGATTTTATCAGTTAAGGGGTTATAATAGTAAATGTGTAAAATAATACGTTTGAGTTGGATTATAATACCACCTCTCTTGATGGTGTTAAAAAATCTCTATAATACAGAGTTATCGTATAAAAAATATACGATAAGTATACGATCAATATATGTTTTTGAAATTAATACGGTATCAAATTTGTTTACCAAACAAAGTATTATGCCCGATTAAATAAAAAATAGTGCAATCTACTAATTAATCCCCTTGTAATACGTCTACCAAACGAGCCCTATGTGTACAAGGAAGGGACTTTTATTTTAGAGCTTGTTGAGCTTCGCTATTATTAGCCTCAAGTATTGTGAAATTTATCACGGCTATTGAATATTTTTATTAGGACAAAAATGATAATTGGCCTCTAAATGATAATTTCACGGCCATTCCATCCATCAACACTTCCCGGTTTGCTATGAAGTAACTGGTTTGAAGATTCTGCGTTCATGGTTTATATCTAACTGCTCTCTGAAACCTCAAAATCAAACAGTGGTTGGACTTGTACAGTACAGATAAATAAACAATGGAGTTTTTGGTCAGAATATCTTTATTATGCCACCATGAATGCGCTGACAGACTACTTGAAGACAATATTGCTTATCAAAGCTTTGGCCAACATATAATTATTTCACCACACTTCATGTTTTATTGGAAAAACGATGATGGACAAATCCATAAAAGTTGCATAATTTGTACACTGTCAGACACTTGAATTATATATAGAATTCAAGGTATTCTGTGTTGTATTTGCAGCAAAAGGGTTTTGATGGAGAATGAGTTCATTATGGGTACCAACTATCAACCATCCTCTACAATAAGAGTCTCTTTTTTTCCTCTCAGTTATTCCAGGAGTATACGCACAACATGAACAGTGCCTCTGAAAATAAAATATTGAGAAAATTCCGAGGGCATGTAGTCTCCTCTAGAATCAAATCGTCAAATTCTTTTTTTTTTTTTGGCATTGGAAATAATATCTGGCTTGGCGATTGTGTGTCGTTCACTCCAACGTGGCGAAAATGATATAAATTGGAGTGAAGAGGTAAAGTGTTTCTTGATGAGCCAGGAATGTTGGATAATTTGGAATGGTGCAGAAGGTGAACCAGAGGATGTGGCAAATAAGAAGCTATTTTCATGTTGTTCTGGTCTTAGGGGGCTATGCATGTGATCATTGTGTCTGTACCTGATGAGATGTGCCTCCATATATGGGGGCATTACAAATCCAAGAAAGGTATGACTTACTTTGAGGGAAGTTAATGAACATGCGACCGCAAGTAAGCGTCAGTGCTGGGAGACTGAACAACATGGCCTGAAGCGGGCTAGTTGGGGCTCTTTCTTGTTACTGTATTAAGGTGAAGCACCTTTGTGATCGGCCAGGGGTTTTTGGTATGAAAAACTATGATGCCGATAATCTTAATCAGATCATAAATGGTATCAATTTCAAAAGATGATGGGATAAGACAGTCTTTGCTACTGCATTAGCATAACCCTTCCTTATTTTCTTAATACAAAGGTGCATGATAAGACGTTTACGTATAGAGGATGAATAAGCTGAACATGTCTGGACAAAATGTAGATCCTAATCCTAGGGATATACTTTTGTTCACCTCTACATCCAAATTTCATTTAAAGGGAAGACAAAAGCAGAATCAGAGAGCTCTTTCAAGAACAATANAGGGATATACTTTTGTTCACCTCTACATCCAAATTTCATTTAAAGGGAAGACAAAAGCAGAATCAGAGAGCTCTTTCAAGAACAATATGCGTAAGCTAGGGTGCGTGCCTGAGGTGTGGGCCAATGGGGCACTACATGATAGAGTGCACAACAAAAATGCTTTTTTGTTACGGAAGATAATGAGGAGAGGGAAACAAAGGGGCTACGACACAAGTATTCTAAGTTTTCGAAAGTGAAGAGAGTCCGCAATGTGGTATTTGACTTCAATACATACGATTACGCATTATTCGCTGAGGTTGGGTCTTTAGTTTCTTCACAGGGATAACATGGTAGCTGTTCAATACCTGATGTGGTTGATCAAAGGAGTGCAGATTTTTGTAACGGTTTTCTCCTAGTTGGACAGATAATGGTGCCATTTAGTTCATTGTAGCACAGCCCGATTTAGCTCTCCAAGGGGAGCGTGTGCCTGCTTTAGAAAGGAAAAAGCCTGAAAAATGTACTTGCTTTAACAATGGAAAGAGGTTCTTTCAACAGTTCAGCTTTAGGTCTCGATTCAGATGCTGGCTCAAGTACTGGTGAAAGTGATTGAACCTAAGCATCTCGCTTGACTAAGGGTGTGAGTTCCTACTTTAGGCTTTCAATATTTAGCTCTAACAACGTGCTTCGCCTGCTCCCTACTCGTGTCCACTAGCGCCCCAGTCTAGAGTGAAAAGAAGGCAAAAAAGCGCTGCTGAAACTACATAAGCAGACTTCTATTGTTACGTAACAATAGAACAAGATAGCATTTTGCACCCACGTGTTTGAATTTGAGGATAAAGAGCTCCCTTGTTGTACGGGATCCGAGCATCCACTATAGTGAAACAACTTTCCATTCTTTTCGGCGGCATCCTTCCGCATTGACGGTGAGTGGAGTGCCACAATCCCATTCATCAATTTTGATCTACATAAACCAATGCCTATAGCACTGGTGACATCTCTGACATAAATGCAAAAAAGATATATAGTTGATATAGGATTTTGTGGAACAAGATTTGATTTTGCAAGTGGTTCTATACGAACGAAGAAATTTTGAACAAAAAGGTCAAAACTCACTAATAGTAAAAGGGAGAACAATAAAGTAATGCCAAGAGTTCCGTCAATTCGATGTTCATCGATAGATGAAATTCTCTCTTTATTATCTCGTACCAGATGCAATAAAAGATAAGTCCTTTTTTCTTCTCGCAAACCACAGGAGTGCCTAGCGCCGAGAGGAGCATAGTTCATTTTCCTTTCAAGGTAAAACAGCGCATAAAATAAGGTAGGCCAGTTAAAAGTCCAGTTCCTTTGCGAATGAAGTTCAGAATCAACAAGAATTTGTAGAACGAAGGGAGTATACACCTCGGGTGCAGCCCCACTTTTTTGTTCGTAACGAGGGAGAGATAAAATGGAATTCTTCACGAAGTTTGAGACAAAAAAATAGAAAAGAGTTTCTCTATAACCCCCTCGTTTCGAGACATTAAGACTTTGGGGTCGACCCCGGTAACAAAGAATAAATTCATAAAAACTAAGGATTCCACTTTGGGGTCGACCCGGTAACAAAGAAGAAATTCATAAAAACTAAGGATTCGACACCATAATAAAAGACTTTTTTGCAGATTTGAGAATATCTCCAACTCGGCTGGCATAAAAGATACTTAAAAAAAGCATATATACTGCTTGGAAGGCACAGAGAGATAGATACCAATTTTAATACTACATATGCAACTAATATACACGCAAATCAGTTAAGCGGGTAAACAAAACTGGTATTACAAATATCAGTCAACCAAATATTCAGAGGAGATGACTGTACTGAGATGTTTAGTAGATTTCAGAGAACTTTATGCTTCACGCAAAATGTAACCACCAGATGCTCTTAGCCACAGGGGGTGAGCTTCTTATTGCCTGCTCCACGAGGGTTATCATCTTTCCAGTCATCCCATGCCCTTGCCTTCTCTACGGCAGCATCATCGTCCTCATCTTCCTCCTCACCAGGCCTCAACTTCTGCCTGTCCTTGTACCACGACGAATTGGCTTCTTCCATGAGCTTAGCATTTCTCTCTTGCCATTTATTCATCATCCCCATTTCTCTTAATCCAGCTTCCTCAATGCTCATGGTTGGCAATCTAACAATCCCACAGTTTTAATCAACGACTTCAAGATTGATTTCACATTCTAGGAGCAGTAATTTCAGTTTACCAGACACAAATATATATACCTGTAATGAGGTTGAAACACCTGTGCAGCCATCCTTTCCCTTTCACTTGTTGGATTTCCACCCACGAGACTTGCTGGTCCAAATATCATTGGCTGGTGTTTGTGCTCATGTGCTTCTGAAACCGTAGCTCTTCCTTCTAAGACATCTTGAGCAAAAGTAGCACATGTAATAGGTGGTGTTGGCTTCGTGTATCGAGCTCGAGCTGCAGCATCACGATGCCAAGCTTCTGCTTTCATGGTACGCTCATCAAGAATAGCCTCTGAAATTTCCGTGGCCCCTTCCTGTGAATAAGGAATCTCTAAGTACACCTAGATTGTATTCATGAGACAAATACGACAAGGGACACCCATGTCGTAAAGGAAAGTAATAAAGGAGTAGAATGAATTCCACTAGAAACAACTTCTAATATCTAACAGTTTCTGCAAACGGTAAAGATAAAATACACTAAGCTATATTCGTCTAACTGACCTACTGGTATGCTTCTTCGTAAATCTAGGGAATTCAGGACCATTATTCACAAAGAAACATCAAACAGGCAAAAGGTTGACTTATCACTGAACTAAGTGCTATTCACACATCAAACAGGTAAAAGGTTGAGTGATCGCTCACTAATAGGAAAAGAATTACAAGTGAGGGAACATAAGAAACTGCGGAACTTTGATATGAAGTAACCTAGCCTGGGCGGCCTCCAAGAGGCTCACTCTTCCCTCCCTGTTGGGGGATCAAATCTCCCAAGCCAAAAAATACCCTTCAATGTATCTCTCCCCCTCCCCCACTCGAAAAAGAAAAAAGAGAACCAAATAAAAGCACCACAGAGGGAGGGGAGAGATAGAGAGAGAGAGAGATACCTTTTTCTGTTCTGTATATAGAGTTTCAACTTAAGGATAATCCATGTTTTCTTGTACGGACATATTTATTTAAGAAAGAAGAATGCTTCAGGAATAGGTAAATTCCATTGGACAGAGACATCAAAAAGTTTCAAGAAACATTAACAATAAGGACATTCTTCTTCTATTTTCAGCATAAAGCATTACTTACTACGGTGATTTTACAACCACTTGAAAACTAAAAGTTCCAGCTACTTTACAAAGCATGTCAATACCTGCAATTGCTTTTCCTTTATAGCAGAAAGCATTCCTTCCTCCATCTTTAGCATTTCCAGCAGATCAAAAGCCTGCAACAGGGTTAATAGCAGACAGAGTATTCTGAAAATATGAAATCAATTTTATTGCAAAAATAAGGGGAGGCAGAATATGTCGAATATACAAAACCAACCTTACAAAGATCCAAAGAGATGGTAGTAAGCCATGCCTGCACAATAACCACCCTGTAGTTTAGAGAAACTAAGGTTGCAACCGTATGGAATGTGATGATGGTGTTGGGCATTAATGGCGAAATTAAATAGGGGACCATGATGATGCAAGTTATAAACTAAAGACTATATCTAATTTTATTCTAATACCTTTGAGAATTTAAGTTATGCCTAATATAAAGGTCATTACATAAGTTATGAAAATTGTAGCTAACCTCCCTTTCTTCTTCTCCATCATCATCCAACATATCCTCCTCCCCTGCCTCAATAGGAGTAGACAAAGCAGATGCTTTAGTTGAACGTCCACGACGCTCCTTTCGCTCCTTTATTTCCAGCAGCTTTGACTCTGCGGCTTTTTGGCGTTTGAACCGAGCAATCTGAAGGGCATGATCAGAATGAGCAGTGAGATGTAAATAATAGCTTCCAAAATTACTGAAGTGCAGGAATAGAATCACTAGAAAACTGCAAAGCAAAGAGACATATGGGGAATACATTCGAACACTAGCATTATTCCAGCACACCACATAACCCAAAACTACCTTCTTAGCCCTTCGATCTGCAAAAGAAATAGGACACCCTTGAGCAGATATTTCTAACTCCTCCTCAGGTACAAGCTCCATGGCTTCACAAAATGAAATGAATTCCTAGAAGTATAGCCATGTTAACAAAGTTGAATATTAAGCCCAGCCATAAACTTCCAGCAGAAGTTAAACAAATGTTTGCTGACAATAAAAATAGAAACAACAAAAGTCCAAGAGGGCTCCAATTATGAAAAATTTTGCGCTAGAGAGCAATATGGCCTCATTGACTAAATTGAATGCTAACACAAGACATAACAAACACCTAACAGAAACTGCTAGACACATGTTTGCGGACAAGAAAAAATTGAACTACAGATGCCCAAAGGCTCCAATTTTCAAACATTTTGCTGGCACAGAACAACATTTACCTTCAACTCTTCTTGTGAAGCCTTAAGAATTTGTATCCTATCATCTTGGGCAGTTTTTTCTCTCAATTCAGCAAGATAAAATGGCACCTGTACCAAAAAATCATGAGTATCTGCCTATTCAGATCACCATCTCCGCAAAAGGTACACCCAGTTGGGGACCAACTCCATTATAAGGTCGAAAAATTGTGGAAATTCAAACTCAGATCCATTTATAAACATTTTATCACCCTATTTAAGAATAAAATAGAAAGGAAAAGTAGGCAAAGCAGATAAATCATATACATCAAACTCTATAAAGCTAAATACAATATTAGCTTATAATTGGCTGTCAATTAAACACAATACAGCACAATCCATACTGCAAAGTGAAGCATGACAGAATAATCTAGTTGATATCATGCTTCTTTCACTTATCTAATATGCTTCTAGAGAGCAAAAACCTAGCTTTCAATGCATGTGGACAAATCCAAAATTCAACAATCAGATTTTTTGATTTCTCCTGTGCTGCACTTCAGAAAACTAACAAGTATCAGAAAGCCCTGTTGTCTTTTGATGACACATTTGATGGTCAAGATTAAGTGCCCCACATATTTTTTAGTCAGGATCATCTATACTCTGCGCATCAATTGAGTCTCCCATGTTGTCCACACTATTCTCATAGACACATTAGCTGTAGGCATGGCGGAGCAAGAGAAATTTACTATATTGGGGCAAATTCTAACAGCAATAATACTACAAATATCTAATTTAGAGATCTAATACATTGCCGCCGTCAGATTAGCTAATAGACTGCATTCAATGCTGAGACCCACTGAAAATTCAATGATGGTAATATATTGGAAAATGTTATTTGGACCTAACAACGGCAAGAGAGGGGAGAAAGATATTGGAAGAGATAACAAAAGACTTCAGAATGATTTCTTGAACACCTATGGAGAGATTCATCTAACTAAACATTATTTAAGTTCACCTAATTAAGCATTAAGGAATTTTCATTCAAATGTAAGAAATGACTAAGTAGATTAAAGTGAGATTTTTTTGTGGGGCAACAAAAAATTTGCCAAGAAATAAAATAAAATTGAGTGGGGGCAACTGGCTGTATGGCTCCGCTCCTGCCCAGTGATTGCTCACAATTCCCTTTTTCTCCAATCCTGAATAGAAAGTGAGATTAATGGCTATTTATGGATTCCCAGAAAAAAGCTATGGTGTTGTCTTCCAAATTGGTTTCCCTCTTATATTAACCAAATAATCCTCATGCCAAGTGCATGCAATAGTTGCACAAACCATCATTCTACAAGAATCCCTATATAAGCCACATCCTACAGTCCACACCACCCAGAAATTATTCTGTAACACAACAGATTCCAGTTAATATCCAACTTGAATTATCACTATCAGATGACATGTTTCATAACAAGTTATTTGTTCTACGTCAGTAGATCGCATCCAGTGACCATGATACTACTTAGTAGTACAATGGAGCGATGCATATATTTTCCAGGAAAACCCAGCCTTACTGCTAATAAATTCGCTTCCAATTGTATATATAATTAAGTCTTAACCACCCATTTTCAATAAGAAAATATTGCAAAAGGCACACACCCATTGATTCCATGATTTCCTTAGGAGCTGATCCTTTCAAACTTCCCCTTGGTAGTATTCTTATCACAATAAAAACTCAAACTTGATCTCTTGGCTTCAATTCTGCCATTGATGTGTTTCTTGTTGTTTACTGGAAAATTTATTAGTATAATATTCCCTACAAGAAAATGTCTTAGACGCCACACATCCACATATAAAACATATAGAACAACGTTAATTTGCAACAGAAAGAAAAAGACTCCTCCTGATGAATGAGCAAACAAAGGAAAAGAAGACTTCAAACATGGAATCTTCAATTCAGTATTCATTGGGTCCCACCCAACAAAAACAAAACGTACCACTTATCATGCTTTCTAAAAAATGTTACATGTTTCACCATCATAGTGAGAAGGTGCATCTCGCAAATGACCACTTTTAAGATGATAAATTCCCATTACAATTGATGTCTAATTGTTATGAAAAGCCATTCCAAATACTCAAAAAGGGTCTAATTGCACCCTAATACAATAATAAAAAACAAAGCAAGTTCATTAGTACAAGAAACCCTGAACTGGAAACCTTTTTCCCAATATAGTACGAGCGAAATGCCAATATCCAATCAGCGTTTACATAATTAATTTCCTATCAACTTTCTTGGAGAGCCAAAGTGTGCATAAAAGTTTTAGGAAAGCTAAAGTCCGTAGGTCAAGATATCATGAACTCAGACGCTAAAAGGTAATAAATAGGGGTTATCAAGAGGAAAAAGATAATTACCAGAATGTACTTGAGATTTGTGGTGCTAATATCATCTTTGGTCTCGTTGGCGGAAAACAACCCTAATTTACTTATCATTTCCTCGCACTTTTTCAGAGCTTCGCAACCCTTTCTCACAATATCCTGGGACCGCATAAAAAGAACACAAAATGTAATTAAGTCGAACAAAATAGCAGAAAAACAACACAAACACACATACAAAGACAGAGTGATGAAAATACCTGATCAATGCTGGATTCGGAGGCCATCATATTAATCTTACAAGCTTGCTCAAAAAGAGTAGGCAGGGACAACTCTTCCATCTTCAATTCACCCATATTTGATGTTATCGAAACGAAAACCCTAGAAGCTGAACGCAGATTCGGTGGAGAGGGAGAACAATAGAACGTGAACTCGAAAAATAGGCTTTCGATCTGCTCAACTGAGAAGGATACCGTAGGTTTCAGGCATATGTTAGTGCTGGTCGGTCTGTGTTGGATTTGAAGACCGTGCGTGAATGTCCAAGAGAAACGAAGGAGAGGATGGGGAAAGTCTTGGGTATGATTACCCAGAGCTTAGTGATGATGTGCGATAATACAGACAGATGATTAACGGTTTATATGAGAGAAATTGGTGGTGGCAGCGCATGGCACCGACTTTCGGAAAGACAGACAAACCATAACGGAGGAGGTAACGATAAAGGGTTGAGATTTAGCTGTTAAAATGACCGACGTTTAAAGAGTATGAAAAATATTAAATATGAGATCTCGCAATTATCATATGTTAGACTCAATTATTGAAATATTTTTAAAAATTTTAAGAGATTAAACTAATAAAGACATTAAGGGTATGTTGCCTCAACACAAATAAAAAAATAAAAAATGACAATGTAAGTAGCAGATGTGATTGATCTTAGGTTGCTTTTCTTTGAAGTTTGTAATCTTGTTTTTGCTTAGTATTGTACCTTGATTTCCCATATTAAAGGGGAAAAAAAATTAAGTGGTATATAAGATGTAATTAATTGGATGAGTTGAACGATTGAGAATGAACCATTCTCCTATTTTTTATTTTTTTTATTCCCCAAAGATTTTGACTTGATATTATGTTTTGCAATTTAGATAGGTCAGTGGTGTTACATTATTCTGTTTTTGGCGGGTAGGAGGTGCGACTTGTTTTCAGGGAGGGCTAGATGAGGAATCTATTACCAATATACTTTATTTATCAAACTTATTTATCGATCTACTGTCGTTTTTAATTTATTTGTGAAACTATTATTGTTTTAAAAACAGATTTGACAAATTCAACTTCATTTAAAAAGCAGATTTGACAAATCTGACTTCAATTGAAAAACGAATTTGATAAATCCGACGGAAAGCGAACATACCAAATTCGTCTTTATATAGAAAGTAGACTTACCAAGGTGCAAGCATTTATATGTATAATTGTGTTGATCGCCAAAAGAGTATTTGACTATTTATTGAATACGTTTGGTCTCTCTAATTCTATATTCTTTATGAATAAATTATTCACCTTTATTAGTCGTTAAAAATCCACTAATAGATTCTATTTAAATTTATTAGTTATAACTCGTACCTAAAGACACAATAAAATATAAAATTCGAGCATCCAAAAAATCGATCCCACTATATTAAATTTTTTCAAAATATATTAATTACAAATTAATCAAATATTAAATAATTAAATATATGATAAAAATGAGTGATTTATTTTTTAGGGAGAAAATATATAAAGTTATGAATTTTGGGTGGTATCCCAGTAAGAAAATTAGATGAAATATTAAAAAACGGATTTGGTATGTCTGCTTTCTAAATGAAGTCAGATTTGGTATGTTCACTTTCCCTATAAAGTCAGATTTGTCAAATCTGCTTTTCCAATAAAGTTGAATTTGTCAAATTCGCTTTTCAAATGAAGTCGAATTTGTCAAATCCGCTTTTAAAACAGCGATAGTTTGGTAAATACGTTAAAAACGGCAATAGATTGATAAATAAATTTGATAAATGGAATAGATTGGTAATAGACTGGCTAGATAACAGTAATAGTAGTACTCCTAAATATTCCAGTGTGTCATTTTTTCCAATTTCCCATTCACACTGATACGAGAAGAATTCGATCCTCCGACCTAAGACTTAAAAAAAAGATTTATCAATTGATAAGAATAATAAATGGATCATGCAAACACCAAAGAACTTATAAATTGATCAGAATTTTATCACTTCACATCATTTTTTAATTTCTTGTAATATCTCTTTTCTTAAGACTTAAACTCTTTATATTCATTATTATTTTTGTTTTCTTCTTGGCAGAAACAAAGACCTATATAATTTTGAAAGTATTTGGGTTTGATTTTGTTTGTGTATTATACAATCAGACGTCTGATTCAATTTTTGAATTTTGAAAACAAATTTGTAAATTGATTTACTAGAATTGGTGAAAACATATATTATTTTAAGAAAAATGACTTTGTAACACAACTACAAATATATTACAATCATCTTTTCTATCACAAAAATTGTGCACCAACACTTTCCTACAGACTCTATACTGTGACCTAAATGGTCCGAAAGAAAAATATGAGATTGAGATTTTCTGAGTTTGTACAATATGGGTATGGTTGCTTAACAATGGGATAAAATAAGGCCAATTACAGTGGCATCACTTTAAGGCTAACAGAGTGGAGAAATTAAGCTTAAGGCTTCAAAATTGTAAATTTGGACAATACAAAATCTTGGTATAGGACTGCCACCCAAAAAGAAATCCAAAAGACAGAACACATCTCTTCCCAAATCCCAAACTATCCCAATGAATTTAGCAACAGATCTATATGTGATTCACAGAAACAGAGATTCAAAGTGGAGTCCAGCATCGTCATCAATGCCCGGAATCCAAGATCAGATCTTGGAAATAAAAATGGAAGGAGGGGCTGGTCACCGGCTTTCTCTCACTCATTATAAAAGGCAATTTGCCTATAAATCAACTTAGACTTGTTAAGCTTTTGTTCAACAAGTTCCTTCTTTACAGATCTCCGAGGAAGCAAAAGTTGGAAGGAAGGCCGACTAATCTCTTTATGGACCCACGAAGAACTGGTTTCTTGGGTGGCCTCATCATTATGAACTGACATCAATGTTCTTCAATGCATTGTTTGGTCATTTTCTGCACTAAATGCCCCTCACAATTTCGACCTCATTTGGGACCATTTGACAGGTACAGATAATTCCTTTACATTAAATGGTATCATCGCATACTGGGTCTACTCTAGTTTCTATATTCTTGAATGAAGAAATTGGTTGGTAGGTATTCTAGTTTAGGTTGTGTAAATGGGATTGCTTTGGTTGGGGATGGTACTTTAACAACTTGGGTGCTCTCTGTGGTTTTGGTCTGTTTGCCTACAGTCATAGGTTGCATATTTAGGACTATCAGTTCATTTAGATATGAATTGATTATACGCGATGATTAATAAAACACGCATGAGTAAAGCAAAATTTAAGGCTAAAATTTATATTTATTCGGGTCCATTAACAACATTGAGTATATTAGGTCAATGATACAACTGTACAAGAAAATAAAATACCAGAATCGTAATGGCTAAATTATTAGAGGTGGGTGAGACATACAATCAACCTCAGCAAAATATCTCTTTCGCATGGTTTAAAATAGAAACATAATAAACAAGGAATAGAAAGATTAGTTGTCATGGAATCCGAAATTTACTCTCATCTTACTGCGTTTGTACATACTCTCATCATGCTACATTCACTTCATACAAGCTGGTCAATATATATAACCCATAATATGGAGCGTGGCCAAAACACACAACAGGACAGGGTGTAAAGGCAAGCCACCCTGGAAAATACAACATGGGATGGGACTTGGGAGGGTTTGATGGAGATGTGCTTTTTCTTTATTTCCGATCTCTAATCAATTTCTTAGTAGCAATGGGTGACAAAACTACCAGGAATCTAGTTCTTTTGCTTCCCAACAGTACTTATTTACCATCACCTCCATAACTGAAAGAACAAAATGAGGAAAAAGGAGAGCAAAAAGTTATACGGGTCAGCCTTTAACTGAAAACAAGGGAGCAAATTTCTTGATTTTTCTTCTATTCAGTTATTGTACAACACTTTTTTTTTTTGTTAAAAAAAACTGATTTTGCAGTGTCACACGTGTAAAGCGCATGATTTTGGCGTTTTTATATATTGGAAAAACTTCCATAACACACGAAATACCAGGTTTTGTAGTTCTGGTGGGGCTTTAGGATCTGCACTCTTAAGCCTATTCCTTTGGGGTAAACTTCATTCCCCAAAGGCAATTTCTCTGGTTTTTGAGCTGATGAGGCCTTAACCCATCATATCCTGTAAGTTCTCTGTTGTTTTGGTCTTAAATTTTATAGTCTCATGGCCTGGGAGTACAATTAATTGTTGTAACTTGTATTCCTTGCAAGAATAATATTTTTCCTGATTTGAAGTGAAGAAACTTTATCGTGGTTATTTTTCAAGTGGGTTATTGCTGTTTTTATTCTTGGTTAATGTTACTTCATGGTTTCGTTTCTGGCACTCTTCTTTTTTGGTGTTCCTTCTGTAATTCTGCATGGTTTAGGTTTCTTTTCCTATTTATTGTATGTATATACTGACCAAAATTATGCCTACCCTTGAAGTATTTTGACAGAACGCTTGGGATTCTGAATGTAGAAACTAAAATTCTTAGTTTTAATCTTTACTCTGAATTTTTCGCAGCAGAAAAATCATATTCTTGAATAATGGATGAAAAGGAGGTCTCCGTGGTTGTATCCGAAAAGAAAAATGATAGCTTGTATCCGATGTTTTTTGGTGTTTCTTGTGCATTCTTTGCCCTCAGATTCTTGTCGAAACCTGAAATAAATGATGAGAAATTGTTGGAAATAAGACACAGATTGCTTCAAGGAAGTGCTCACCTCTTGGGACTGCTGGTTTGGAGAGTTCAGAGAGATGAAGCTTTCAGTGGAAAGTGTGAGCTTCTCCACAAGCTGGAGAATGCCGAACAACAGATTGAAGAGTTAAAGAGAATACGAAGTGAAGATGCTAAAGCCAACGAGAAAGTTGTAGGCATATTTGCTGCGCAGGAACAGGACTGGTTGATTGAGAGAAAAAAGCTTCGACAGCAAATTGGAGCTCTTATGAATGAATTGAGAATTTTTGAGACAAAAAATGACAAAGCTTCTTCTGAACTAAATGAAAAATTGCAGGAGAATGAGGTTTTGGTGCAATCGAAGGATAAAAAGCTGGAGGAAGAAGAGAAAAAGAGGAGGGAGCTGGAAGAGAAACTTAGAGAGGCTGAAAATTCCGCAGAGGAATTGAGAGACAAGGCAAAGCACGAAGCGCAACAACATTCCACTGAGCTTTGGAAACACAAGACTGCCTTCATTGAGCTTGTATCTAACCAGCGGCAGCTTGAAGCAGAAATGGGTCGAGCCCTCAGGCAAGTTGAAGCAGCAAAACAAGAGCTAGATGCAGTTTTGGAGCAAAAGGAGCAGTCTGTCTTGTTGGCACAAAAATTATCCATGGAGCTTGTCAAAATGCGCAAGGATTTGGAACAGAAAGACAATATTTTGTCTGCTATGCTGAGAAAATCCAAATTGGATACAGCAGAGAAGCAAATGCTGTTAAAGGAGGTCAAATTATCAAAGGCCAAGAAAAAGCAAGCTGAGCTAGAAACAGCAAGGTGGAAAGCTGTTTCTGAGTCTAGACATGAAAGGCATTCATTGGGAAGTATGTTATATAAGCATGCCAATTCAAAATTGGAGGCCGTCTCTGGTAGAAGAGCTGTGCTTTCTAATGCAACAGTGCCATCACAAATTGGAAAACCGGAATCACAGCCAACGGATCTTCTGCTCGAGTATGATGAACCTGGGCTTAGGAAAGAGACAGAAGTGTCTTCTCCTCTATCTGGCCAATACTTTACACAGGGAAGTGATGAAATGGGTAAGGTCAAATTCTTGATGTCTTTTTCAGTTTTTAACTGGCAAATACGTATACACGCAGTTACCAACAAGGAACGTAGCCAAACTGTGATGGATCTTATTGATTGTATCTCTTTTTCTTTTCCTGCTACAGAACATAGCCAATTGGTACAAAATTGTATTACGTACCTGGTTATCTTTAGTGTGTCTCCTTCTAATGCTGCAAGTAATGGTTGTGTTTTTTTTTCACTTTTCCATCTTTGGATGAAGTTTTTGCAGCGGACATTAAGCAGTTGGAGGGTTGGGTTCGATCTGAAGCTGAAAAATACACAACTGCAGTGGATCAGAGGCATCACCTTGAAATAGACGCTTTTGCTGAACAACTTAGACTCAAAGATGAGAAACTAGAAGCTTTTCGTTGGCGTTTACTAAGCATGGAACTGGAGTCCAAGCGACTGCAGTCCCATATCGAAGGGCTTGAGTACGATCTGTCGCAGCTTAGACAAGACAACCTGAAACTGGAAGCTATATTATTGGACCGAGATGCAGAATTACATTCCTTGAAAGAACAGATCGCAATGCAGTTAAATGCTCCAAATTTCCAGAAGACTAACTCAAAATCACCTCCACATAATCTGACTATAGTCCATGATACCGTGTGGTCCAGAGTCAAGGTCATAAAGAGAAAACCAGGGGAGAAAGAGCAAGACACAAGGACAACTCCTGCGGAAATTTCTCAAGAGGTAAAAATTGAGAAAGATGATGAAACCTTGGTTGAAAACCAGCCCAGGGATGTATCTATGACTGCCCAAACTCCAGAGAAGGATTTTGAAGAAGAGAAAGATGTTGGCTATGCTGCCTCGGATGCAGGTTCCATTCAAGAGGAACATGCTAGTCCAGAGGAGATTGAAAAATCTGCAAAATTACAANAAACTCCAGAGAAGGATTTTGAAGAAGAGAAAGATGTTGGCTATGCTGCCTCGGATGTAGGTTCCATTCAAGAGGAACATGCTAGTCCAGAGGAGATTGAAAAATCTGCAAAATTACAGTCAGCAGGTCAGTGCTTGAGTGCAAAAATTGATTCTCAATGGAAGATGGATCTTCATGCTCTTGGAGTCTCTTACAAGATCAAGAGGCTGAAGCAGCAACTACTTATGCTTGAGAGGTTGACAGGAAAGCAAGAAAGTTATGAAGATAGTGAAAGCAACGCNATGGATCTTCATGCTCTTGGAGTCTCTTACAAGATCAAGAGGCTGAAGCAGCAACTACTTATGCTTGAAAGGTTGACAGGAAAGCAAGAAAGTTATGAAGATAGTGAAAGCAACGANTAGTCCAGAGGAGATTGAAAAATCTGCAAAATTACAGTCAGCAGGTCAGTGCTTGAGTGCAAAAATTGATTCTCAATGGAAGATGGATCTTCATGCTCTTGGAGTCTCTTACAAGATCAAGAGGCTGAAGCAGCAACTACTTATGCTTGAAAGGTTGACAGGAAAGCAAGAAAGTTATGAAGATAGTGAAAGCAACGATTATGGGCACATTGGGATGAGAGGATTCTATACACTAATGTCTTTGCTGAATAAACAAGTCAGCCGGTATCAGTCCCTCCAAGGAAAGACTGATGAGCTTTGCAAGCGGATGGTAAGCTCTAATTTCAGTTTCAGACATTCTCAAAATGAAAGCATATAGGTCAAATTTGACCTTTCAGCTATCTAAAAACTTCCAACCATCTCAATAGCATTTGGATTTTCTTCTGCATAAACAGGGAGTTACTTGAATAAAACTAGGTTCACCATGTAAAGATTGATAACAATTATGTTTAAATTGAAATTAGCATAGTTTTCAAGTCTTCTAGGAACTATCTAGCCACACTCATCTGACTTTGTGTATTGTTACTTGTTTACACATGCTTATAATTTTCATATATGCTACACAGCATGAGAATGATCTGGATGTGAACCGTGGAGGTTCCAGTATTGCAAGGAAAAAGGAAGAAACTAAAATTCTGGAGCACTTTCTTGAGGAAACATTTCAGTTGCAAAGATATATAGTTGCAACAGGTCAGAAATGGGCAGAAATACAATCCAAGATTGCTTCTGGGTTTGTTGGGGTTACAGAAGAGCTTGACAAGCCTGCCAACTTTGACATGACGCGTTTTGCTGATAATATTAGAACACTCTTCAGAGAAGTTCAAAGGGGTATTGACGTTCGGATAGCTCGAATAATTGGGGATCTCGAGGGGACCCTGGCCCGTGAAGGGATGATGCATCTGAGGAAATAATTGAACTTAAACATCAGGTCCAACAAGAGCTTTGAGGGCTTTGAGTTTGTAACTACCTTCTCCTGCTGAGTTTTACAGTGAATTGTGTATACTGAAATTACGCAATAGCTTACAATAAATAAAAATTCCTTTTGTTTCATCTATGTTCTAAACTGTAAATGCATGTTATACATTAGCTAGAATGTTGTGTAGGTGATTAAAAGGAAGAGACTATTGATTGTGATTAGTCAACCAACAACAGAAGTAACAATGTTGCCGCATCCATCCATTATGTGTTAAGCGTGATGGTAGTCTCAAAACTACGAGTTAGATTACTAATAAATTAATAACTGTGGGCAGAGGATGCAGACTCCCCAAGTAAATTAAGCTGTTATACACAAACAGTGTACCTTCTGTTTATTTCTTCTCCCCC